AATTTTTACGTTCAAGAATATATTTTTTTTTTCGATAATTCAAATTTTTTGACTCTCTATAGTTATTTGCTTTAATTGCAATTTAATATGCAGTTTGTAAACAATAAATTACAATTTCGACATTGCAAACAAGGAGAATGACGCGTTTAATAAACATGTCGAGAATATTGCACGTATATATATATATATAAACACAACTTGGCAAAGTTGATTGAGATGGGGACAAAATTTCGCAAAGTTTTGAGCGCACAGTTTGTATCCAAATCGTGGAATAACACTGTATCATTCCTGGAATTAAACTCGGATGCATTTTACATGAAATTGCTCGACATTTAAAGTCTGTTGCGTGTCTGGTAGGAAAAACATTTAAAGACATTTCTCGAATATATATATATAAGAGACCGCGAGGGAAAACTGACTTTCTTTTCTTTGTTTTTTGTTTTCAAGACTCTAAAACTTAAGTAAAAGTAAATTAAAGAGAAGATCCTAACAACATGAAAAGTTGGACAAGCCCCTTTTTTCGTTGAAGCTTTCTAAACCAGAAATATATAAAGATTCACACAGTAAATGTAAAATGAAAAAAAAAATTTTCTTACAAAAAATAATCTTGAAAATATTTATAGAATTTTTAATTTTTGAAATTTTTTCTAAATATAAAATTAAAACAAAAATTCGAATTGTTATAATTTGTCAGATTTTTTTTTTGCATTTTAAACTTAATTAATTGTGATAAATTTTTAATTATCAATATAATATTATTCATTATAATGGAAAAATTGAAAATCATCCCTAAATTGACGTCTCAATCAATATCTCGAATTTCACGCAGAGAATATACCGTGACGGTCAGACAAAGCCCTATATCAAAATTTAGACCCTTCTGATTAAAAGTGAATTCTAATCAATTTGATAATGTAAAAAGCCACATCATTTAATTTAATAAGGATTTAAATTACAAATATATGGTAAAACGAAACTAAAGAAAATCACAATTTTATTTTTAACTAAAACAGAATTCAAAAAACTGATTTAATTTTTTAGAATTAAGAATTTCTCCTAATAAATAAAATAGTTATATTTTAAAATACCTGTTTTTCCTTGATATTCCCTGATCATTAAAATTTCCTCAAAATTTCCAATTTCTTTCTGATCTGGCGCTGTAATATTTTTTTTCCTTACTCCAATAAAACGTTTTTGAGAGATTAAAATAAATATTTCTGAAATGAAAGAAAATAATTTTTTTAGGAATATTAACAAAGCTAATTTTTGGTAATAATAAATTAATTCCAGAATTTCTGGAAAATATAATTTTTTTTTATCCAATATTTTTAGTAATATTCATTCCATTAGAGAATTTTTTTTTTCCATCTACTTTTCTCTAATATATGTAATTGAAAAAAATCACCATTTTCTCACTACATTTCCTCCATTCATTCGCCAAGTTTCAGTGCGCCGCGTATCTCTCAGATTTCATATCCCCAAACATTAAATTCGATAATTCAAATTGCCTTCGCATTTCCTGAATAAAGGAGGGAGAGCAAAAGAGAGGAAGAGAGAGAGAGAGTGAGAGTGAGAGTGAGTGAGAATGAGCCCAAATCGGAATCGACAAAGCCCTTTATCTAAATTTAGCCACCCTTGATCAGTAGTTGACTAATCAGTTACCAAATGTGTATTGTTACATCGCGAGTCACAAGGAGTACCCCAAATTAGCAATCCATAGGCTTGATGTGCGTTTCGATTTGCTTCCATATACGTATGTTGTGGTCAAGCTATAATAGTAAACAGGGGGGATGGTTCGAGCATGTATGTCGACACGGTACATGGGTTATATAAACGTCAAGGGGTGAAAGGGAAGAACGTCAGTGAATGAGAGAGAGAGAGAGAGGGATGAAAGGGTAGGATAGTTCAGAGCCAAATCATCATTTCCTCGGCACGACCATAAATTAAATGGGTGTACCTAGCTTCACCCCCTTTTTGGCCTTCGCCAACACTCACCCCCCTCCCCCTCACCTCTTTTGTCCCAAAGGGTGTCGTGTGATAGATCAACGCTCGAACAAATTAATCGACGTGATTTTTTTTCCACCCGCTCACGTCTCTTCCGGAATTGGCAATTTCCCCAAAACAGATGTATGGGGATAGCTATTTTTATATACATGTGTTTTTCAAGGGAGAGGATACTTTTATTTTTTTTTTTTTTTTTTGAAAAATTACCCTTAAAAGATTTTACATTTTGCAATATTGATAATTCTGACAGCAAATCTTTTACCAAAAAAAAGAGAGATATTTGTCATTCTTATCTCTCCAAGAAATTCGAAGGTTTTTTTTCCCCTCCTTCTTTTTGAATAACAGACAAATTCCATTCGGTGGATTTTAATAATATTGAAATGTCAACAGGGGAAAATAATACGAAGAATTGAATGATTTATGAGATAAAGAATTAATAAATTATTATGATGATTTCAAAAAGATAAATAAATTTTTTTCTTTTTGCTTTCTTTGGAAGAATATTTGAATTTCTATCAAAAAATTATTGATATAAAATTAAAAGTACATGTATGATATATAGAGTTAAAAGTAATAATTTTTTAATACGAGTTAAAAAAAATTTTTCCCCTTAATATCGGTGAGTTAGAAATTAAATTCAGGCAAACTTTTTTAATATCACAAATTGCTATGTTGGAAATTTTTTCTCACTTACGTAACTTTTTTTTATTATTTTTTTATTTTAGATGTGCCATGTTTTTGGTAGATTTTTAAAAAAGTAAAACTTCTCATTTTCTCAAGTCCTTATATAATTTTCTGTTGAGTTGGGTGCGGTGGTCTGATGTCGTTATAGAGATACATTTCTGCGCGTTGGAAAATTCTTGGGATAAATGTTGTGCTGTTTTCTCAAAGGACTTTAGGAAACATGCTAGAAGGAGATAATATGAAGGTTGCTTGCCTCGAAAAGTTTAACTTTTCGACACTGTCGCTGAGCTTTTGCAAGCATATAGTTTGGTTATATTAAAAGTTTTCACGGTAGGCAAAATCCACGTTGCTGACTACACTCGAGCAGCTGTGCATTTAAATTTAATTTTTACCAATTTCCTTTTTCGACTTGAAAATATATACCAAAAGTCTAATTTATTCATAATACATATCATTTCATAAACTTAAATCCAGGAAAAATTCTTTTTTTCTCTCTCTCTCTCTCTTATAAACGAAATTTCAAAAACAGTTTTTTGTTTTTTTCTCATCTTCCACAGACTTTAATCTCTCAATTTCGTAAACCATCAACAATTTTACTGAAAAAAAAACTAGAAAGCATTTGTTTACATCTAGTTTTATGTATCGTCACGCCGCATTTGTTTCGGAAAAAAAAAAAAATCCTCGATGGCAATTTTCCTCTTCAACAATATTTTCCTATAATCCACATTTTTTCGTTTCGATAACAATTAAAAACAAATATTTGCCCATGTATTGTTTTGGAAAATTTTTTTAAAGAGAATAATCTTTCAAAATTAATGAGTTATTTTGAGACTGTTATTGTAAATTTCCTTTTGTTTTATTATTCTATTGTAATTCATACATTATATTTTTTTTTATATTTATATAATAATATTTGTATAATAATGATTATTATAAAAATGTATGTGTAATTAAAATTAAAAGTATAAAATATATATATACAATTTTATTTAGAGATATAAACCTCTCTTTAGGGAGATAATAAAGACTTGTTTAAATGTTTATATGTATGTATAGAGAACTCGAATGATGAATCCAGTTGAAATAAAAATGCAAACTACAATTCTGTAATGGATGTTGGAACGAGCGATGAAAAGTTCGCAGGCTCGTAGAACAAAACGGGAATCGTTTGCTCTTGGCACTGCCCCACCTGGACATTTTAACAACCGATCCATAACAATCCAGAGGCGCGTAACCTCTGCAAACGACCACCATCCATCCAGCCGAACTGCAATATGTTTCCCGGGACGCGAGTTATTGATAAACGGGGGACCCCTCTAAGACACGTAAACCGCTACATGCTGGGAAGGTCGAAGTAACGTCGAGGGGCAAACCACGTTATTGGCGCTCGTGCGTGGCTACACCCTCCGCTTCCTCTTTTATCCTCACAACATTCTGGACCAACTTATTCACTTTCTTCTTTTTCTCTTCATCTCGTTTTCAATTTACTATCTCTTTGCAAAAGTGTTTTGCTCTTTAACGTATTTTGTCAATCAATGAAATCTATGTTTCATTCTCTGATGTGTTTTCATCATTTTCTATTTTGCCCTGTATTCTTCTGGTTTCGAATTTTTTTGTTATATTTAATGTTCGCCTAATTCTTTAATTTTGTATTCCTCTCATCGAATCTTCTTCTTACAATTCATTCCTCTTCTTTTTATATTTAATTTCTTTTTCGATTATTTTCCGATTCTTTCATCTGTTATTTTCATCACTTCTTCCTTGGTGTTCATTTTTTTTTTCTAATTCTCCTACTTTGATTTCGATTTTTTTTAATTTCTTCCTGTATTCTCTTGTAAAAATTACTTAAATTATCAGTTAAACTTTTTTTTTTGTTAGTATTATTTTACTTACTAGTCTTATTGAATAATAATAGTTATTTATTGATAGTCGTTATGTTAGTAGACAAAAATACCATTTTTGTCGCTTATTCTTTATTTCCTGATGGAAATTATGTTTGATAAACAACATTGGTTATAGGCCTTTGTTTTCCCCCACTTATATTGATGTTCATTTGGAAAATTTTTAAAACTTTCCCTTTTCAAATTCTCATTTTAAAATCATTTATTAATTTTTATTTAGGCAGAATTTTTTAATTATTAAACAATTAGAATCGAATATTCCTCCAAAGAAGCAAACAACTGTTATCAAAAACAGTGTAAAAATGTGACATTTACTATTATTGACAAATTTAAATTATTTCTCTAAATACCTTGAAATTTATTTATTCCTTTTTTTCGATTCTTCTCTTGTCCTCCTCTTTTTTTTCTCTCTCTCTCTCTCTCCACTTTTTCGTTCCCCGCTTCCATCAGCTCAAAAGTTTGGGTTTATTTACCAGATTTCCATGGTTGTGTACGTCTGGGAAATTAGTGATTCGAGAGTCTCGACGCCTGGTTTGATAGTATGGAGCGAGTCGCAGGGAAATGAAAAATAAACAGAGGCCTCCTGTCGATGCAGCAAGTTCGCTTCGTGGTGCGGTCTCTCTCTCTCTCTCTCTTTCTCTCTCCCTCGGGATGTTTATGCTTCTTGAAAATTGGTCGACCTTCGATTTCTCAGCACACAAAGGACGTCCGATCCATTGTTGCACTTTGCGAGATGCATATCGCATTTCTTCGAAGAATATTGTATATATGAAAATATAAGCGATCGCGTTCCTTTGAGCTGATATTTTTCGTCCTAAATGGAAAAACAAACGAAAAGAATATAACTTTTTCCTCGAGGTTACTTTATACATGGAAATGATGGTTGAGTTGTTTTTTTTTTTTCTTTTTTAGCCAATAGCAAATGGCATTGCAATGAGGGCAATTTATTTCCAATAGGCGTAGTGATGAGAAAATGAGAGGGATGTATAATTACCACATGCTAATTCATTTAATGGGAGATTCACTATTTACTTTTGTGGGGAACGAGGGCAGCACAACTGTCAACAACGACATCCTGTCGATGCACTTTGTATAATCGGTAGTATTTGCTTGCGAGTTGCCCGCACGTTTCTCTGTCGATAGACGATCAAATTCATTCCTTTTCCAAGGTGTCTACTATCTTCCACTAAATCGAGATTTGGATCCGTCGATGAAGTTAAGGCCTGTATAATCTGAAAAGGAAAGAAGAGTAACTTTAATTTCCGGCACTTGATGTAGAAAATGACGCTATATATATATATATATATGAAACTGGTGGGCCGTTGCCACCCTCTCACTCACTCTTCGTTACACACCCTTTTATAATCTAAAGGCACTCGAAACTTAAACTACTGTAAAGTCTCGGAAAAGGGGAAAAGAGAAGAGTTGGAAGAGGGTGTATTAAACGAGAGAGGAATGGAAAGTAAGAGCAGAAATGGACTGAGAGATGCAGAAATGGAATGGCGTACAGCACTTACTTTATTTTCCAATTCATTGAAGTCCAATGAGAAGACACCAATGTCCCTCGATACGACGTTGTTCTTTAAATCCATTCCTATGAGTACTGTGAGCGAGCAATACCTGCTTTTTGTGAATGTACCGATTGCTTCGAAGGCACCATTTAATGCGAGAAAGTCCTGTAAAGAAAGAAAAGGCTTTCTTCAACTTTTTCAATTAACATTGCAAATTTCTCGAAAGAGAATTCTTCGTATTTTTTTCTATATATTCTATATAAATCGTTTTAAAAAAAAAAGTTACAAACATCACTGGCGTTAGTTACTTTTACTTATATACTCTCACATAAACTTCCAGTAAATTAGTACCTTTAACAAAATAGTGTAAATAAAGTTTGTTGAGTTAGTTAATTATATGTGTGTTTAGTCTGACAACTCAGAAACAAGTATATATATATCAAACGGCGTTAGAACTTCATTTTGACCCATGAAAATATTGTTTAAATCTCACATTATCAAAAATTGAAATTTTTTTTACGATTTTGTTAATAATAATAAATTTAATTTATACCTACATTAAAAAGCAATCCTAAAAATTGAAATTTCTTATTTATGGACAAAAAAAAAATTTCCTTCTGAAGTGAAAAAACCACATTTTAAATTAATTAACTACTCTATACTGTAATTGAAACTAATTTATTTTTCAAGCAATTTTCTTAATTGTGATTAATTAATTTCCTTTTAGAAACTTCTACCAACGCCAGTTGGTACTTTATCTTCGGAAGAGGAATTGGGAGAAGTCTATTTTCAGAAACTAAACTTGAGTTGGAATTCATTAGACGAGACACTCGCTCACGATTAACAATCTGGTCACGTTCTTAAGCCTGCAGGTTGAGCAGGGTTAAGCGATTACTCAGGATTGTTTTGGTCAAAACTGAGCGGGGTGAAAGTGCTTGTGTCAAATGTCAAATGGGTTCATTTTGTAATTTGCATATGAAGGCAAAACACATATATATATATATGGTATCACAAGAGAAAATGGATTAAACATTAAATATGTACATACATATATATACATACCATAACCAGAATTGGAAATCCAACAATAGGCACTCCATTGACCACTTTTAGATCCTTAATCATCAAATCGCCCGGAGTCAAACCACTGATGTCGGTTTTAGCCGAGAGAATTTCTCTGTAGACAACATCCCTTTCAGTGTCCAACGAACCGACCTCTTCCAGGCTTTGAATCACCTCGAAATCTGTCGGCGTCGCACGATCGGCTTCCCTTGAAAAGTTACAAGTATCCACTAGAATTGGCCCTGTAAAAATAATTGGAGAGCACATTTTTTTTTTTTAATAAACTGCAAAATATTCTAAAAATAAATTTTTCAACAGAAAATAAATATTTAATTTCAATAAATAGTAAAATAAATATTTTTTTTAACAAGATAAAAATTTTTAAAGCAGAAAAAAGGACTCGTTTCAAGCTAATTATTGAGGGTGAAAACTTCACCTTCCTTTTTAGTAATAATTTCAACTTCCAAAAAAAAAAAAAATTTTTTCCAAACTCAAAGTTAATGGTGTAACTTTTTTAAACTTCTCAGCCCATAAAAATAAATAGGAATTTTCCGCAGAGATCCTCAGAGAGTTGAGATCTAAAAGAAATTCTCTTTTTAACCTAGGGCAATATTAAATCGATTTTCTTTCGAGTTAGTATCTATTTCATTATTTTTATGAACATCTTATAAGGGGTGGCATTTGAAAAAGAAAAATTCTCTTGCCCAGAGAAAAGTGTAATCACTTGAGAAAATTTTTCAAAGTTTCTTCATTTCTGATAAATTATTATTAACTGTCCCATAACTGTCCCACAATTTCAAAATATATATATTTTTTTTTTGTTTTCAAAAATAATCATATTAATTATATTTCTTTAAATAACAACCGCATATAATAATGAAAAAGAAATAAATATATTTTACAATATCTTCTCATATAAAAGCAAAATAGGGTTTTCTTAATTGTACAAATTTCCTGTTTAATTTTCTATTAGTAGATTCTTATTCCATAACAGTTCCCTTGTGAAAATAGTTTCTATTATTCGGGGAATGAAGCATAAATGTAAAAACAGAGGAAGATATTAGTGCATATGAGAATAGCCTTAATTTTCTTGCTCAACGAAATGAGATGAAAGAAAAAAAAAGAGAAATTTCTTTAACATTTCACATATTTAATATTGAAATAATTCAAATAATTATTTTAAAAAAAGTATTATTTTATTAATTAAATAAAAAAAAATTATATTTTTGTATATAACGACTTTTATTTGTAATATTAACAAAGTATGTAAAGTCTGTTTTTTTAAAAGCCACGTTAATTAACCATTGATTTCAAAGAGAAGATAAAATGTTATTGTTCGAAAACAATGTACATTAAAAATAATATAATTCAATGCACCAAGAGGAGTAAAATACAGACATTAAATTCACTAAAACGAACTTAAAATCCGATAAAAGCCGGAGATTTTTTCACGTATATAAAGCATGCCAGGAAAAGTCAGCAAAATGTGAAAAATTTCCGGAATTTATTAATCCTGACCTCTATTCAATCTGTCAAGTTTTTTTTTTTTTTTTTGCTTTTTTAATTTCTCCCTAAAAAAAACAAAGTACGAAACACTACAAAACTTTACTGTATAAAAATATTTCTACAAAAGATTATTTAAAAATTAAAAAAAAAAAAGTATTTTAAAAGTAAATTAATAAAGGAAAATCATAACTGTTTACAAAATTTTTCATAAAAATTTTATATAATGTAATAAAAATTTTCAAAATTTTTTTCTTCTTCATTTTGATAAATTTATATAGTAACTGGTATATGAAAAACAATAGACTGAAAACCATTGAAAATCTAATAATTAAAATCGGTAAAATATTTGTAAAAAAAAAGAAAAGAAAAAACAATGGAAATATTTATATATATAAAAAAAAGGGGAAACAAAGGGTAATTATTTTAAAACAAGAGAAACATATTGGAAAGAAGAGAAAGAGATGCTAAAATGTAGAAGCGCGTATTTTCACTGAAATTAACAATGAAAATAGATAATAGTTGAATTTTTGATGGAAAGCTGACTTTTAGATTTTTTGACATGAACAAGTTTCCTGGAAACTAAATACCTTTAATACCGGAAATTCCAAAGAGAATATGAATGGCTATCTAGCCATTCAAAATAATTCATTGGATATTTCAACTTTATCAAAAACCCCCGCATTATTCAGAAAGCCGAGAGTCGCTGAAATGTACGATTCCGTAAATAAGTTCGCTCGCATCCGCGCGGTAAATCAAAATCCCCCAGCTTCTGCTTAGCTTGGTGTGTGCTCCAGAGGAGTCTACACCAAATCTCACGTTGATCCGTCCATTCTAGAGAGGGTTTCTCTCGCCCAAAGTTTTCCCGCCCTAAAGCAACTTACGGCCCCGTAGGAATTGCTGTGGCTGACAGGCTACTGTGTATATGCCGGCTCGATTATATACCGAAAACAATACGTCGAGCTTGCACAAATAATATAAAGTCAAGAGAATATTTCAAGGTAAAAGTACTAGGTTTCTTTGAGCTATATATATATACACATCGTGTATATAAGACTGATACTCCATTCGTGGAAGGGAAACGGCAAACCTAATTTTCAAGCTTACCAAGTACTTAATACTTTTGGGGTAGGCATTTCTCTCTCTCTCTCACTCACTTTCAAACATTCAAAACCTCTGAAAAGTTTCGTAAAGCTTTAGCGAGACGTGAAAATAGCAAAGAAACTTTTGAAGAGAGAAAATTTCCAAAGAATTAAAACTTTAAAAAACCTTCAAACGAAACAACTAAATAAATTAGTAGATGAGTTATAATAAATCAGTAATTAACAATTAGAAATTAAATATATTCTAAATTTGATTATTTTTGAAAACCTTTTTTTTTATAATTATAAAATTATTTTCTTATAACTTAAGATTAAATAAAAGTAAAAATCTCAACGAGTTGTTAATCAGTGATTAGAATGTTGATAATTTGAACAAACAGGGAAAGTAGAATTTCTCCAATCTACCCTCGACATTGGGGTGGATATCAGAATTTCTATACAAGATGCTATTAACAGTTCTAACGTTTTAGTCACCCTCACGACACACGTTAAATCAAAATAAAAATTCGAATTCTTCTAAATGGGCTTCTAATTGGAAAACTCCTAATATTTAATTTCCGAAAAGAAATCACAGGAAATATTTCATAAAAAAAAAAAAGAAAGAAACATAAGGTTTATTTCTTTATTTACACTGACCCCTCTCCTCAATTAGGAATAAAATACTCTCAAAGGGAATTTCTTGTCTCCTTGGTCGGAAGCCTGGAAAACAAATAACAAGAATTGATGATATGAACTAAGGCTTTTCTCTCTTCTCGAACTCAGTACTAATCCGGACAAATGGCCACAAAAAAAAAATAAAACCGAAGAAATAAACAAAGCAACCCTCATTAATCATTCTTCTTAATTCAGTTGCTTGAATTCAGTAAAAATGCCAATAGAAAACCGCTTTTGTATCATAGCACCTGTTCGAATGATTCTTTTCTTTTTTCTGAATCGAGGTCGTCAAATAGAGGAACTTTAGAATAATCATGACGGAATAAAGTATATTTTTTTTTTTCGCCGAGAAATTCGAGTATACCTTTAACTTGTGTGGGAGGCAGCTTTTGAATATTTTATCCGTTGCAAAAATAACGATTTATTGGAAAACCCAACGAGCCAACGAACAGGCTCTCTGGGAAAATATTTAACAATTCATTCATCGGATGTGCCAGGCAAAAAAATTTAGTCTCACAGCAAACTCAATGCTGGCTATGTTTTTTTTTTTTTGTTTCTATAGTTCATAAAAAAATTGATGATTAATTATTAAAATGATCGATACTTGCCTCGTAGTAGATTGGATATTTGAGAATCAACTAAATTTGGATGTTTCTCGAGAACTGTTTTAGCGACAAGAGTGGCGCAGCTGCCAACTGTTTGTAGATTAATCCTTTTGCCGGTCCAGCTCCAAGCTGCATCTTGGGGACGGTGATCAATAATTTCTACGACTGAATCTGCCAGCAACGAATCCTCATCGGTGAGAGTGTGATGGTCGACCAAAACTAGCTCCAATTTGTTCTCAACGTTCAAGGCGTGAAGATCGATTTGGTCTCTGCAAAAGTTAATTAACTTCTTGGTTAAATTAGATTAGGAATGTCTCGACCTTCAGGCAACTGTATTCACAGATTCTTGAAATAGTTCCAAGCTAACAATAAGGACATATTGGTTTCCAAACTAATGGAATTATATAATATATATAGAATTTGAGTTATAACAGATTCGAATTAAATCACATTTATCTTTTCAAGATCAATGAAAATATTTTCAATCAAACAATTTTCTTTTATTAAATCCAAATAAATAAATTTATATCATATGAAAGAAATAAATGATTTTTCCATTTATTTTAATATTCACAATGAGTATTTAAATTTTAGTAATGCCTTAAAATTATCTAATGAAAAACCGAAAAAAAAACATTATTACATCTAAAAGATATAACAAAATTTGTAGAGTTATCTAATTTCAGTTTAGAATTTAATTGTTAACTGTAAGTAAATAGTTTACTGATAGTTTTTCAAGACTTATTTTTCATTAGACTTGCAGCGCCGACAGAGTTCCAAATTCCACAGGGACCGTAAAGTGATTACGTTGTTGAAGCTGCGCTTTTTGTTGTGTTCATAAAAAGGCACTAACTTCCTTAATAAAGTAAAATCCTTTATAGGACTTTATTGATTTCTATTAAGTTTATTAAAAATCTAATATTTTTTTTAATAATTTAATTTTATAATTAAAAAAAAAAATTTACATTTATAATTATTATAAGGAAAACTCTAAAATTTATCTATTTGTAAAATATTATTAAAATCATCAAAAGAGCTCTACAATAAATTAATGAAATCTGCCGAGATCAAAATGTGTTTAAATTGTTTCATATAAACGATGTTACAATAATAAACAAGTGGAACGAAGATAATACATTTTCTTAATGCACTGTTGTAGAATGATAAGATGATAATTGAAAAGTTTGCGAGAAAGGGACTTGTCCTGAGGCAGATTACTAAAATGCTTTTGACGAGACAAGGGATGAAAAGGAAGGGTCGCGTTTGAAATACACGAATTAAATTTTAAGTATTGTATACGAACTTACCGAAACGTCAATAAACTCAAGGGTACTTTATGATGCTTAAGGTAATAAAGGACTTCAGTCTTCACACGAAATTCCTTTTCAAAAATATTCATAACAGGTATTACTGCAACATTGACACGATTCTCCTTTTGTACATCGTAATATTGAAAAAGTCCTTGAACTAATGCACATACTGCTGAATCTAAATCACAGCTTTGATTTCCCAATACAACACGTATTTTCTCATATGCACTTAAATTTGGCTGCAAAAAAAGAATAAAAAAAAAAATTTTTTTAGGTTATGTAACTCACCAAAAATTTGTTGTGTGATGCAAATTTCTCGCAGTTTTTCCCAAGTTATTTTAATATACACACCAAAACAAGTATATCGATTGTTCAATAACTTGACATAATATGACAATAAAAAGTAGAAAAAATTAAAGAAAACTCACATTTTACACACCACGAAAAAAAACATTGAAAACACCGTTAAATGTGTTAATAAAACGCGGGAATAATGCAAGCAAAAAATTTAAATTCTTCGCCATCTATAGGAAAACACGTAAACTATTTTGAATTTTTTTTTTACAAGTTCCCTACTATTTTGATTGAAGGTAAAATGCAAATAATTTCAATTTGTCTTAATTAATTTAAATATTATCAAAAAGTACATTTTAAATAAAAGATAATAAAAGAATAACTTACCAGAGCTTGTTTTGATTTCACAAGAAATGTCTCCATCTTTCTAATTTTGTAAAATCTTTTGAGGTTAAGTTTTACCGCTATATCCGCTTATTCACAAAAAGAAATAAAAAATACGATAAGATACTTTGTCGCACAGAAAGTTTTTAATTTACAATCAAAATTCTCTTTGTAGAAAGAATTTTCACTAAATAACACAACACATTTCAAGCAAATTAATAAAATGAATAAAAAATGCACAGACAGTCGGCAACACCCGATTAATAAGACGAGAAAATAATATTCAAGGAATAAAGTATCCAACACTAAACTATAGTAAATGTATTTATCAAATGCACTCAATTTACATATTTTGCATAACTTTTTTCAACATTATTTCTATATTCTTGTGTGATAAAATAATTTTTTTAAACAATTATATGGGTCAATTGTTAGAGCGCCACTTGAGGGAAACTGGAACTAAAATCCATTATGGTGGCACATAGCGGGAACATTTAAATACGATAAAATTATTTAATGTGTATAATTTACGGAATAAACAAATAGATTAATGTTTTAGAGATTTGTTTATTATTGTATTATTCATTTTTTAAAAATTTGATAAATTTTATATTTAATTTGTATTTGCGGAATCTATCGTATTCAAATTTAGTTCTCAAAAGTTTGTTTCAGCCCAGAGGGCGCTTGAATTTTTTGCCAGTGCCTGATTACATACCTGCGATTGGAGCTGTCATAATTGTGTTGTGCTCTTTTTTAAAAAAAATATATATTTATAAATAAATAAATAATATAGTTTTGCAAATAATTACTGTGATCAGTTTTCATATCTTCTTGATGTAAATTTTCACATCAATTTTACATTCCTCATTGATTGTTATTTTATAACGGAGAATTTAAAGGACATCCTGGTTTACACTGACACATGAGAAAATATGATTACAATGAATACTGATCCTTTTGACTTTCATTTGTCTCATGTTCTACATTCATATGTTGTGGTATAAAACAATCAAGCAGTCAATGTAAAAGTGATTGACAAGTGGTTAAAAATGGGCGGCTGCTGGAGAATAAATTCCATTCCATGTCTCCGGCTTTCTACGCACCACCCGCCCACAAATCTCTCTCAGGTTGAAAACACTATGTATTCTTTTATTTTACAAATCTCTTTCTAAATGTCACACCTTTAAAGAGCACGTCCTACCTTAAATGCCAAGTTTTATATTCATCAATACACAAATTTTGTTTTGATGATGTTTTTCTGTCAAAAATTATAAACTTCAAAATAAGTTTTGACAAAATTCTATTTTTTCTCTTCTGCGACAAGTTTTGACGTAAGTTTTATTATGGAATATAAAAAGGCATTTTTTAAACTGTTTTTATTTTATTTGGCTTTATTAACTTATTTTTAGTAAATTTTCAGTATTATTTACTAAAACAAAAGGTTATTTTATTGTCTTGTTTTTATTTCCGACAATTTTGTTTATTATATTAATTTTTGCTGATGTAAACCACTTTTTATTTATTTTAAATTTTCTGTTTATTTAATACATTGGTTTATATTATGTCAAATTATTTTCATTCATATTTTTTCATAATCTTTTGAATAGAATTTTAATCAATAAATAGTCCTCTGACTGAAAACGAAACAAATAAACTAAAAACTTTATAAGAATAATGTTTATTTGAATTTTTTTGCTTTGTTTACAGAGTTATTGAATTTTGAAGTAAATTTTTTAATAAAATTGATAATTTTATTTTACGTGGACAGTTTCAAAATTTTGGGTAATAATAATTCCAGTGTCAAAAGTTGCATATTTAAATGTAAAAAGGAATTTTGTATTGTACTTTTATTTATTGGATGTAAAAATTTTCATCAATTTTAGAAAATGGAATGTATATATAAAGTAACAAAGATATGTGAACTATTATCTACCCAGTTATTCTCATTTCCGAATAGAATGTCGTCATAACTTGTCCCACGTGGGAGGTAAACGGATTACTAAACGTCTCTAAGATTCTAAGAAAAGAAAACTTTCAGTTAAATGAAAAAAAGTTACACTAGTTGTCAGAAAATTCTTAACAGTCTTTAAAAAATGTATATTATAAAGAAAATTATCTTCCAATTGATTAAAAATCGAAAAATTATTACTATCAATATTAATTATTAAAACTATATCATTATTTGGAAAACTATTTTTAATTTGAAACCATTTTCCAAATAATGATACATATAATTATTTGAAATTATTATTATAATTACCATTAATTGACACAATCAATAATTGTAATAGACTCTATCAGAAAATAATATTTCCATTTTTTTAACTCTTGTAAAATTCAGATCTAGAGAAATATTTAAAAATAAATTTCTCTAATTTTAGCCGCGTTTATATTCAAATGTCACCTTTTAAAATTAATCAATATATTTTATTAATATTGAACTGATGAAAATAAATTTTAATTTCGAACTCACAAACGATCCTGAAATTAGTAAAATAAAAATAGATATACACACAATATTTGATTTAAATAATAATAAGGAAGTATATTGACGTCGAAACAAGTCTGTCACAATACATCATTTATTCACATATGGAGGAAATAGTGAAAGGTACATAGTTCATCCTTTGTATTTCAGTAAACAATGGAAATTAATTCCTCTGAGGATTTCGCATAACAGTGTTAATACGACAATTGTAAAAGAAAAAAAAAATGAGGTTCAATAAGCAAGAATTACTAACACTTGCTACTCAGCCATCACAAAAATTCGAAAAGGAAGGAATTTTGTACGTTCGTGAACGACAGGAAGGATTTTTTCGAAGAACAGAAAGTGAGTCAATATTAATTTTGTTATAAAATTAAAATGAAAAATATGATGAGAACATCGCTTAGCAATGAATATTTTTTAATAGAATTTTTCTTTAAATGCATGTCTGCCTTTTTCTCAGTGTAATTTCGTAAATGTTTTTGCTTGAGAAAAAGATTGCATTTTTTAAATTATTTTCTTTCATATTATTATAAATGGTTAATAGTTTAATTTAATTTTTAATATAAAAATATTGATAATAATATTTATTTATTGTACACATTTTAAAAAAGAATCATGTCTTAGGAGAATTTTATTTTATATGACAAAACAAATATCATTGCTGCGTTAATTATTTTGTTAGTTTTTTTTTTATTTTTATTCTATTATTATAAAAAAAAATGTGTGTTTGAATAATTTTAGCTCATTAAGCAAATTTTTTTCGTATTTTCCATATACGTAAACAGATATTTTTCTTTTCTTTTTTAAAAGCATGTTTTGTTCAATGTAAATATTGAATTTAGTTCGAAAATAATAATTCCAATGTATGACGAATGTTTTAGATTTAGAAATGAAATTTTTTGTAGAATATTTTAAGAATGATTGTAATTAGTTGTTTTTCAATTTTCAAATTTGTTTTTCTGATTAATAATTTGTTTTCAACATAATTAACAATATAAAAATCCTTTTTTTTTAATAAACTGTTTACTTTATAAAGAAAATAATATTAGCAAATAAATTGCTTTTTTTTGTAAATAATCAATTTTCTTTCAGCTTCACTCATCGAATTAAATATTCACTTGTTTACTCTCTTTCATTTACTAAAATTCACTTTATTAGGAGGAAATCTTAAAAAATTCAATAATTGAATTAATTTAGGTATATTTGTCAATAACTACATGTTTGTGTTAATAATAATCAAATAAATTTATATTTTATTAATTATCACAATGAAATTATTAATTATAAATTTGTTTATTATTATTACGATAATTAATTAATAACTGTGATTAATTGATAAATAACTGTAACTTACTCGTCTAATATTCTAACAAGCAAGTATAGGTGATTTATAAACAATAACCTAAACATATATTCCTAGATGTATATATAATTTATACGGGGCATGGTTAATTACTACCAAGTACCTCCCTACAATTTACAGGTACAAGTAAAAAACTAGAGAGCAAAAGACAAAAAGGAAATACACATAAGACCCTTCGAGACTTCAGTTGCGTTACAGCCAGCACAAGTAAAGGTATCATTGAGTGCATTTTACCATTTACCAATATTCCCATCCAAAATTTCCTGCTTTTAATAATATTTAATTATATTTTTCATCTCAATTAACACTCTACGGTTGCAGTTCTTTTATATATATATATATACATGTAGAAAACGCATCGTTGTCCATATCTCTCACTATTTCCTTTACATTACAAATTATTATTTTGTTTTATAGTTTGTCACTATTATCGCACTTGGCACTTTGCAAAACAAATAATATAATTATTTAATATAAAATAATTTTAAAAAATTATACAAATTCTGTTTATAAATTATCTAAGAAAAAATATATTTTTGCAAAACCCAGTGTGACGACATATTATATGCAAAATGATCAACTGATAAAAAAAAAACTCTTAAGATTATATTTTCAGAAAAAATCAAACTGATAAGCGAATTGTAGATAAATAATAAATTTGATAAAAATTTAAACAAGGATTAGATAAAGAATGCATTTACGTATATTTAATATTTAGAATGTGACAAAATTAATTATAACAGCATGCACTTGCCTGACAAAAAATAATTTGCACGTTTAAAATTCTTTTTTTTAGATTTGTTTTGCCCAATATTTTGTCTATGTTATTTTATACATAAATATAAGGGAAAATGCATATAGTGTTAGGAGTGTGAATTTTGAATGCATTACAATTAATAACAATCACTATTTTCAATTTTTTATACTTTTGTTCTTTTAAATTAATTTTATTTTAAATTTTTAAATGAAAATTATTTAATTTCAATAATGATTTTTTACTTTATACCTTTTATCAATGATTTGTATTTAAAAATGTCAATAACATTTTTTATTCTATTCATTGAATTTATTTTTAATTAATAAAAATTGTTATAAATTTTTATTTTTTTATAATTTATAATTTAATTATTTTTATTTTGTTTATTAAATTTAATTATTAATTTTATTTTATTTGATTTTTCAGTAAGTCTAGAACGCTGGTGCAGACTGAGAGGGAATTTGTTATTTTATTTTAAATCAAGAGAACAATGGTCAGAACCCCTGGGAGTTATTATTTTGGAGCAATGTTCTGTTCGAGTGGACCAAGCGACCAATCAGATTCCTTATGGATTTAGTATAGGTAAGAAAAAGAAATTTTTAAGCCTTTTTGAAATTTTCAAAAATCTCTTGAGATCTTGTGAATGTGGAATTTTTTATTTCACTTTGTTTTCGAAATAATCATATATATTTTAATGTAATGCAATATGTTTCTTATTTATTTATTTATTATTATTATTTCTTTTTTATTTTATTTCAATTTTTTTATAATTTTAAAATTAATGCAATTTTATTGAGTCTCTAAATTCTAATGATTTGATTTTTAAAAACCTCGAACATTGTTATTACCCTTTAAGTGTCGAATTCTGTTTTAATTGAATCCTACCTAACTTTTCAGTGTTCGATGGTGGTTTATATCAACAGTTAGGCGCCAACTCGTCGGAAGATAGAGACAGTTGGTTACAAGCTCTTCAATTAGCGAGCTACGATCATATGAGAAGTCAGTTATTATCTTTAAGGCAGAGAATTGAAGCTTGTAGTGGACACAAATACGACACAGACATTCAAATGTTACGCTTGCAACGCGGAATCATTACAGGTATAGACTTTCAGATGCTTTCAAATTACGTACTCTGTAATATAATTCGCAGATTTCCTTTCTCATCTCGTAATTTTCTTTTTTTTTAAAAAAAGAAAAATGACACTTTTTTGACCTATTTTATTAATCATAAATAATAAAATAATAATAAATGAATTTAATATAATTAATAATTTTTTTAAATAATAAAATTGAATTGATTAAATAATTTAATTATGTAATAATAATTGAGTTAAATTGATAATACAGTGGGATAATTATTAAATTAAATAATTTATTGATATATAAAGAATAAAAAAAAAATTAATATATAAAATGAATTTAACGATCTTTTTTCAATCTCTTTGATAAAAAAAAGATCATTTTACAGATCCTGCGGAGATTCCAATTTGTGAAATTTCTCTAGCTTGTGATAATCTTCTTTGCGATGGACATGGTAGACCGCCTAATCCTGTTTTGGAATTGGATATTCAAACGAATCAATCGAAAATGTGGATCAAATATGCCAGGACAGAAGTTGTTGAGGTAGAAAATTTATTGAATTGATAATTTTGTGTATTAAACTTGTCATTGAAATTTATAAATTAATAATTATTAATTATAAATAAATGAAATAAAATTTTTTTCAATTAAATCATTTTTGCTAATTAAATTATTTTATTTTTCAGAGAAGTAGCAATCCGGGGTTCCTGACAACTGTGTGTTTTAGAGCGAGTGATAGTTTAAATATGGACAGCAGGGTTAGAATAACAGCTTTTGATGTGAGAGAAAGAGTTAGTCAGACTGCAACACCTATTGGAAGTGCAGTTATGATGTTTAGTACCATTCAGGATACACCAAGGTTAGATTACTGTTCAGGGTTTAATAATTATTTTTAATTTAAAACAAGTAACTAGAATTGCAAAAAAAAACTTGTAATAATTGTTTTTCAATTTTTCAGACTGAGAATTCCTTTAAAATCAGCTAAAGCGACAACTGTTGGATTTTTAACAATAAACGTTTGGAATTTAGAGGCGGAGGATAAAGGAAACAGTACTGAAAGCACTCCTTCTAAACATGTTTTAACAACTAACAATCAGGTAATTAAATTGAATTTATCATGTAATTGTTTAAAATGTTTGAAAATTTTAAACTCTCTCATTCAATTAAATTTCTGATATCTTTATTAATTTACTTTTTAGATAATGTGCCATAGAAGATCACAGTCATTACCTCCTAGATTAGGGACAAAAATTAAACTTCCTCATCAGGGTCAATTGAAACTTTTATTCGCTAATCCCCATATACAGACTTATAGGTAATAATTTTGAAATAATAGTAATTTAATAATTATTAATTAATTTATTATATTTTGATTAAAGATTTCATTCTGGATTGGGTGGTGATATTTGTGTTCACGAAATAATGGCAGAAAGTAAACTTTGTTTCCAATTTCCACAACAATTACTGTAAGTATTATCCAAATTTGATATTTTTACTATTTTTTATTTATATTATTCTACTATTATTTATAAATTAATAATCAATTTACAGTGGAATTTGGATACAAGAAGAAAAGGAACTTTTACAGGAAGTCGCAGGTATGGGAGAATTAAGAGAACCCTGGCACACGAAACAAGTTGAACTTCTCGATCGTCATTTACAACTTTTAAATTTATACTCTCAGGCTAAGGAAAATTTAGCAGCATTTAAAGGTAGAATTTATTAGAATTTATTTATTTTTTTATTTGATAATATATTATTTAAAATACATGATTAATTAATTTTGTTTTTCAGTTTTTAAATAAAAGATAAAATTTTTAATTTATTTAAATTTTGAACAATAACATTTTTTTCATTATGTTTAATAAATTTTCTATGATTGCAGGAAGTTATTTTAAACAATCGTCAAGAAGAAATGATAGGTCTTTGGAATTTGCTCCTCTTAATTTACATCTTCAACGAATGTGGGTGCACAACGATACTCTCAATAAATGCGGATTTTACGACACTATTAGCGTTGGAGCATTTACAGCACACTCTCATAAAAGCAAAAATGGTGGTCTTATAAGGTAATTTTTAATGAAATGTTAATTTTTAAAAATTAATTATTAATTAAAATTAATAATACTTTCAGATTAGTACAAGCTTTAAAAGAATCGCCAACCCGTTGCAGTCAATTATATCAAGGAACATCAAAAATCACAATGGCTCATGACGCAATTCAAGCAATTAAACAATTACGACGAGACGTTGTAGAAGCAATGCGATCATTAATGAAATTAGCTAAAGATAAACAAACAAGTGGAATGCTACCAATTTGTGAAGATATGATTTCAAAAACACGAATTCTTCTCAGCCTTTGGGATCCGGGTCTTGTTGAGGAGGCATTAACATTTCTCGATGAGCATAAAGTTGCCAAAGTTCAAGACGATTTAAATAATGACGATCCTCTATCTCTAGATTTTAAATCAAGTCAAAATCTCTCGCCTTTCAGAAGAATTACACAACAATTGAATTTTGATCTTCGTAGTCCTGATTTTGATGATTTCGTCACACCCGATACACCGGAATGTGTGCAAGATATTTGGGCACGTGAATCAACAAAAAATAAATATACAACATTTACCGCAAAAAATGAGATTAACAACAAAAAAGAAACGCAAGTCGAGGAAAATTTTGTCATATTCCCTGAAGTGGATGATGATCCAAAAGAATCAGAATCAAAGGATATTGTGACAAATAATTTGGAATTGAGAAATAACGATAAAGTGGATAAAAAAGATGATGATAATAATATTGATGATGATGACGACGATGATGATGATGATGATGATGATGAGAAAGGCGATATTGATAAAAATGATATTGATCTTAGTAAAAAATTTCTAGATACACAAAAAATGTGCAATTCACCATCGGCAAATTATTATAAACCCACCGATGAACCAGAACCATGGGATATAACACAATTGAATATTGAGGCAAGTGTCATGTGTCTTGTTTCAAAAGTGAAATTTCTTTGTGGACGTTGCAGTAGTCCGGCTGTGAGACTTAGAAATAAAAATGGAATTGGTAAAACTCCAAGTATCAAAGGATGCTTGCCAAATAATCGCAATAATTTAGGTGTTGTTACAATTCAACCAAAGAATGGAATTAAAAATGATGAGGCAAGCAAATTATTGGACAATACAAATAATTCAAATCGACAGCAAAATAGTTCTGGAACTGAAATAACCACGCCTGCATTTGCTAAAGCCAAAGAAGGTTAGTTAGAAACATTTTTATTTCTTAATTGATATTAAAACCAAAAAAGTGTTATTATTTTGCTTTTATTTTTGTGCTTGTTTAAAAAAAAAATTGCATGCCTTATTGCACACATTAGCCAATTTTTTGTTTTCACTTTATCATTCGCAGCAATTGATGTGCAAGTTGCCTATTTATTAGGAACAAGTGATATTTATTCTAATGCGTCTTCCGATAAAGTATGTCAAGCCGTGGATTCAATGACAAGAGTCATTAAAAGCAATTCTAGCCAGAGAAATAAATTCACTGAGGGATTAGATTTTGCAAGTATTGTTGATTGGACCAGTGAATTAAGACCGAGTATGAAAAAATTACGACAAGCAATGGATGGACTTTTGAAAACTGCTCGACTCACACATTCTGTTTTTCGTGTTCAAGAAGATGCAAAAAGTGCACATCGTGTCTGTAATGTTCGATACAGAAGAGACGTGTGTTTCAGTCAAGCTGTAAGTATTTTTTTTTTTAAATTAATTTTTAAATAATTTCTTATATTTCTATCTATATCGATTGACAATTATGTTTCATTAATAGCTAACGGCTTTAGTTTCTGGATTGATGGCAAAACTTTGGTGTCAGAGACCTGATCCAATGTTTCTATTAATTCTGACAACACTCGGTCCTCTCGTTTCATTTGAGGCATTATTAAGTTATTACGGTGAGGAAATCGATAAATGGGGTGATATGGCAGTTGCAGTTGAAGATATGCACACTGTTACATTTACCTTTACAAGAAGTGGAATTCATCCCAGGTAAATATTTCTCATATAATTATTTATAGTAATTATAATTGTAATTATAATTGTCATTTTTTAAATTATTTTTTTGTAGAATGGATCGAAAAGCAAAAAATTCAATGCAATTACCAATACCGCGAGTTGTTGGTTCTCGCACAGCACTGACAGTTCTTCTTCCGGTTCCCGATGCCATATATTCTTTACTTCCTATTGTTCCGTCATCGAGACAAAGTTTATCATTTAATGTAACGCCAGTCTTCTTTAATATTGGCATTAATGAAATGGCTTCATTGGCAGAAAGTCTTGGCACAACAAAACCACAAGAAAAAAGCAATACTGACAATTTTGATAGACTTAATGAATATTATTTACGTTTTAAGAAATTAAATTTACCAACTGAACCTTCTTCCACGAGAAGTAGATATTATTTTTACTTTAATGATTATAAAATTTAGTAATATGAAATAATTTATTAATTATTTTTTTTTTTCAGTGGGAACTCGTTCGCCTTTGAATCAGACTTTAGCTGATATGATGGCGAATTTGAAATCTTGCATTCAGGCGAAAGTTAATAAAAATGTAAATGTTTTACAATTGTCTTCCCAAATATGTCGCCGTATGCGTGGACTGAGATTTACTAGTTGCAAAAGTGCCAAAGATCGTACGGGTATGTCGATCACCTTAGAGCAGGTCAATATTCTTGCTGCTGAATATCATTTAGCAGAACATGAATTTATGAGAGCGCTCGAATGTATGCGAAGGTAAATAGCCAAATTAATTATTATTAGTTGCTTTTTTAATATTAATATCTTATATTAATGGAAATTTAATTTACACAGTGAGGGATGTCGCCGAGAAAATACATGGAAAAATATTGGTGTGAGAAAATACGCTTTCAATAGTCTTCAAATCCTCACGCTTCCAAAACTCTATCGACCTCCAATTGGAACTTATGGATCAGCGCAGACTTAAAGTTGAAAAAAAAACCAGGAAATTCTTGTCCATTTGTACAAATTAGTTATATATAATTATACATATATTCTTCCCAGGAAACAAGGTAGACCAATTTTACTTAAAAGTAGCAAATCAGTGGTCTTTCAAGGTGCTAATATTCTCTTAATTGTCTATTTTTCTTAACTCAATTGAATTAAGAACTATTAACTCGAATTTGAAAAGTTCTTCATGTAAAGAAAAAAAAAAATGTACAGTGCCATCATTTCCAGAAATGTTTCATTGCAATTTTTTTGAGACTTTAGATTTTAAGAAAATTTTTCTTATTTAGTCATGTAAATATGAAATTGTACATTTATTATTATTTTTTTTTTTGTAATATTGTTTATTATTTATTGAAATTATACATTTTTTTTGGAAAATTTAAGGAGACTTGAATCGGATGAATGTAATCTCATAATAGATAACGGTTTTACAAAAGCGAGGGAAAAAATTCATTAAGAAATTTATTTTCCAGCTTTTTATAAATCATTATTTAATTTCAGATATTGACAAATGGTTCAATTATTAATTTTTGTATTATATAATAATTTTAGTTTTGAGAGCTTTCTTCATGGGATTTTGATTTTATGAATGTAAAAATATGGAAGTAGAGGGGCTTCAATTATTTTCACTTGCGAGTAGAAGTTCCTGAAATATTAATTTGGACCATAATTAACAATCTATAAAGTATACACAAATATATAAATATATAAAATATATTATCGAAAAACAAATTCTTAGATTTTGAAAAGAACAAAAAAAAAAACTATCAACTAGAATTTCCTTTGTATATCTTTATACTGAATAGAAAAATTCATTTTTATCCAAGAGATTTGATTGTAAAATTTTTCAATTTTAATAGAATCTAACAAATCTATACAAGTTTTTACATAAAATATATAGGTACATTTAAAAAATAAAATTGTCACTTTTTAGACTTGTATATCGACACTTAGAAATAAATCAATCGAATTTAATAAATAAAAAAACAAACAAACAAAATATTGGATAAATGTGAGATTTTCTAACTATAAATATGAATAAATAATTAATCGTACTTTATTTACAAAGTAATCGCATAAAAGGAATTCGAAAATATCAATTCTGTATTTAAAAAAGGAAACTAGCATACAATAATCAATCTACGCAGATGACTCGAAAGCTGCCGTAATAATTACAATTTCTGAAAAATAAATGTTTAAATAGGAATAATTGGACTATTTATTTGATCTAATTTTACTTTTTTCACTTACACATTTTATTTTAAATTTGGCGCTATTATTATTTGTTAAATTTGAATTAATTTAAAATTTTCTTTAATTATTAATTAAAAATAAACTTTTATAATTTTTTTTATTTCTTAATAATAATAATCAAAGTTTAATTAATTTAAATTCAATATTTTTTGTAACGAAACTGTAATAACGTAATTCAATTTTACCGCCAAAATTCTTAGGGAGTTTTTAAAGTCACTAAAATGTCACTATAATTACATAGGGACAAAAGCTGTCAAAAATCGAAAGTTTACTTCGTCATCAATTGATTTAAAAAGATGATAACAAAGTTCTAACAGCAATAAATTTAATATTTTGTCAAATTTTTAATTTCTAACAAGTTTCTTTTTACTAAAACATTAATCCACAAGGTATTTATAACTAAATAACCAAATTAACTGTCATTTTTTGTTTTTATTCTCGTACAGATGAGAATTCATCTAGTTTGTTAACCTTTAATTTAATTTTTAATAGAATAAAAATGATTATTAAATAATTTTGAACAATATATTAATCTTTAATTTAAGAAATTTATATAGTGTATTCAGTAAAATTTATGTGTCACAATTTTATAATTTGAGGCTATGTGAATTAATATATGTAATATTAGTGTGTTTTGCATAATTAATATGTAAATTTCAATAAGTTATTAAATTTTAATGATAATAAGTTTATAAAAACTTTTAAGAATATCTTTTAAACATAATAATTATACAAATTTCAGTTTCCTTCAAATTCAAAGATGGTGTGCGTTCCTTGTGTTTTTATTCCAATATTGTTACTCATCTTTCGATTTTTCATTCAGCCATTGTTGGTAAAATTTTGGTTTCGTAAAAAAGAAGATGAAAATGAAGATAAAAAGAATCCACCCACTCTAGAGAAGGAATGCAAAGATGGAGTATGTAAATTGGTTTGGAAAAGCAAGAAAGATGAAACGAAAGTGGATTAAAAACAAAACAAAAAAAGTAGAATAATTTTCCAATTACTAGGTATTTTTGTTTTAAATCTATTTTATTTAAGTACCAACAAATTCTTTTTAGCTTGCAACACACAAAGAATTAATTAATCTATTAACTTGATGATTGTACATATCACAAAATCTGAATTATTCAGATCTATCGCCACTATTTTAATGAAAATTAATAATTTTAGTCAATGATGGTTGCAATAATTTTTAAATAAACTAAAATGTCAAAAAACGACTTGTACCTGTAATATTTTAATTGACAAATTTTAAAAGCACTGTATTGTATTATAGAATGTTAAAACTATGAATATTTATAGATTTATAAAAATTAAATTGATTATTTATTACAGAATTTATAATTACCAATATTTCCAATTATTGTAATAATTATTAAAGTAATTTAGTCTGATTAATTAAAATTAATTTTATTGTATAATGTAGGTAATAATGAAAAATTCCAATTTATGAGAAAGATGAATAAACTTTTTATTACAAAGAATAATGAATATGTAATTTTTTCAATCTTGTTTTGAAAATATATATGTTACATTTTTATAGATACTATAGTTTAACCGGCATGGAATGAGTGAGGAACTTTATCTCAATATCAAATATTGAGAAAAATTCACATCTCCAAATTATATAAAATACTAAAAATAAAAATCAATTAGCCTAAAATGAATAAAGTGATACACTTAAATACTGATAAAAAGAATCTATAAAAAATCTGAAAAAAGAGAAATCTTTCAGAAACAGTATTATTTTTTGTATCAAAACTAAATAAAAAAAAAAAAACAAAAGAAAAAAAAATATCTGTCACTTTTTGTCTCTTATCAATGTACATTCTTCAATTCAACCTCGAATACAAGTGTGCTGTTGCCAGGAATTACTGGTGGCGATCCTTTGTGTCCATATCTTTAAAATAAAAGAGCAATTTTATTATAATGTTTTTAGAATTTTTGTTTTAAATTCAGTCTAGATAAAATTAAAAGCAAAAAACTTACGCCATAGCTGCGGGAATTGTTAGACGTCGTTTTCCACCAACTTTCATTCCTGATATACCGACATCCCATCCTTTGATGACATCACCATTTCCTAATTTGAATTTAAATCCCTCGCCTTGCTTTGTTTCGTCAAATTTTTTTCCATTTTTCAATCGTCCAACATAGTAGACGGAAACATTTCTACCAGCTTTCGCGGGTGTACCATTTCCAACTTTAAGATCTTCTACTTGTACTCCGCCTTCAATAGTTCTTCTCTTCTGTTGTTGGGAATTTTGTTGTTGTTGTTGTTGCTCGGGCTTATTTTTCTTTTGTTTTCCATCAGGCTTGGCATCTTTTCCATTAACCATTTTCTGTTTATCTTGTTTCTTGCCAACTTGATTTTGTTGTAATTGATTTTGTTTTTGTTTCTGTTTTGGTTTCTCGACTTCTTGCTCCTCATCATCATCATCACTATCATCTTCCTCCTCATCATCGTCGTCATCGCTTTCGTCACTATCAACTTCATCTTCACCCATTAATTTGCTGTCGTCATTTTCAGAATCTGATTCTGCTTCCATATCATCATCGTCATCATCATCAGACGATTCGTTATCATTTTCAGTTTCTTGTTTCTTTATTTTCTTTTTATTATTTTTTGGTGAATCTATGGCTTTTCTTTTATTTTTAACTAATTGGGGAATTTCCTCTTCCTCCTCGTCCTCATCTTCTTCCTCTTCCAAATCACCAAAATCAAAATCTTCATCCAATGTTAAATATCCTGTTAAATGCACATGACCAAATCCATTACAAGTGAACGCAATTTTTGTACCTTCCTGAAAATTCAAATCCAAAGGCACCTGATAATGTGATCCTTTTTTTAGCGTGCACAGCAAATAATTCCGATTTTCATAGCACAGCATCACTTGAACTGGTTGATCATCTATTTTAATAGTAAAACAAATTAATAATGCTATTTATAATAGTTACTATTAGTAGAAAAAATTAATTTCTTCTTTAGAGGTTATGTAAATGCACTTTTATTTTTTAAAAAAAGAAATTGATATACTTACTCGCACTTGTGACATCCAAACTGGCCATTGAAAGATGGAACGATCTCTCAACAAGTTGAGAGTATCGTTTATTTGGTTCCATAATCAAACCTATAAAAAAAAAATACCAAATTTATTATTCAAAGTAAAAATGGTAAAACTCAAAATCTCTAGATGAAAATAATATTTTTTTGGCCAAAAAAATACTTCAATAATGTAAATTAATAACAAATTTCGAAAAACTTTTGTAAATGACGGTTAAAAAAATCTATTGTTGCCCATTGTTGATTCGAAAAAAAAGAGAAAACTCCAAAAATTATCCGAATCATAAGAATGGTATAGAAAAAAAAATTGTATCATTTTAAAACAACAATTATTGAATTAGAAAATTGTATTGTTAATGTAATAAAGAATTTAATTTTTAAAAACTCTGTGACCACATGGCGACGCCATTCTTATTCAGCCGGCTATTTTTTTCTCATCTTATTTTTAGAATTTTCTTAATAAATATACTCACCCCAGAACATTTTGATAAATCTACTATAATAACTTCTTAACAAAAATAAAGAAATAACACTATAAAATTTTAAATGTTATAAATTGTATAAGTCAGCAAATTTTCACTAATTCCTTCGTGTTCAGAAGCCGTTGCAACAATGAATGAGTATTATCAAGATGTCCATGAGAGTAAAAGAGATAAAAAACTACATTTGTCCAATTATATTCTCTGTCTTTGTTACTCTCACTAAAACTAAGGCGGTCAAATTGTTTAAGCTTCATTTCCAATTTTAATATTTCCACCAATCAAGTAATACAAAAATTTGTCCAATTTTTTGTGTACATGTATGTAGAAACTCTTCATTGTGTCTAGTTTTAATTGTATTAGTGCATTGCCGTTGATACGGAATTGTGTTGTTAAATAATTTTTTTTTAAATTTATTATTATATTTAATAATAACAATGGATGATTGTGTTGACGATTTATTTGATGCATTCGATGAGACTGCTGAAAATATTACTCCAAAAGCACCAGAAGAAAATGAAGAATCCAGTGAAAAAACAGAAAAACCAATTTCAAGAAAGAGGTAAATAAATTCTTTAATAACCTCAAAATTCTTTCTAATTTTTGCTATTATATCTTAATTTTTAGAACTTCTGATGCACAATCAACAGTAAAACTAGAAGGAGAAGAAGAAGAAGAAGAGGATATTGTTAAGTGTTCTCCGAAGCGACAGAAATTGGAAGAATCATTATTAGATGATATTAAGTAAGTGTACTCACATGTGTTTTTATTATTTATTTTTACAAATCTACGTTTATGTATTTATTTTAATTTCTTTATATTGGAAGTTCGTAACTTTAAAAGATGATTTTAATTTTATATAATTTTCTAGTTACTTCTTTTTTTTTTTTTGAAATATTTTTTTTGTGGTTATGTCATCAGCCCACATGTTTACATACATAATATAAACTATCGAAATATTTTCATAATTTAATGAATTCCTTATATTGAGTTTATAATTTTTATCTTTATATTTTTTTAATATAAATATAATTATTAAATTACATGTTTCATTTATTTTTTCTTTCAGCATAGATGAATTATCAACACGAATAACTGTTCACACGATAGATACAATTGAATCATGTACACATGAAGTTGCGATACCACCAGGACATGAATATGTTCCTTTGGAACCATCGACAGGAAAACCCGCAAAGGAATATAAATTTGTTTTGGATCCTTTTCAAAAAGAAGCTATTCTCTGTATTGAAAATAATCAATCTATTTTAGTATCAGCGCACACATCTGCGGGAAAAACAGTTGTTGCTGAGTATGTATAATTTGATAAAAAAAAATTTTAAGTATTTTTAATTATAATTTAGAAATTTTAGTATTTTAAATATTAATAATCTCTTAATAAATATTTTTATAACTATTTTAGATATGCGATAGCAATGTCATTGAGAGAAAAACAACGGGTAATATACACCACACCTATAAAGGCCTTGAGTAATCAGAAATATAGAGAATTTTACGAAGAATTCAAAGATGTTGGATTGGTAACTGGAGATGTGACAATTAATCCAACCGCAAGTATTCTTATAATGACGACTGAAATTCTTAGGAATATGCTTTACAGAGGTTCGGAAGTGAGTATTACCGCTTTTTTCTGGAAAAAAGATTTCTTAATTTAATAAAAATTTTTAATTTTATTTCAGGTAATGCGCGAAGTTGGTTGGGTAATTTTTGACGAAATTCATTATATGCGAGACAAAGAAAGAGGCGTTGTTTGGGAAGAGACATTGATTCTTCTTCCAGATAATGTTCATTATGTTTTTCTTTCTGCTACAATTCCCAATGCACGACAATTTGCCGAATGGGTTGCACATCTTCATCATCAACCATGTCACGTGGTGTATACTGACTATCGACCAACGCCATTGCAACATTATTTATTTCCAATGGGCGGTGATGGAATTCATTTGGTATATATATATTTCAAAAATTTCTTTTATTTGCTCTTTTTAATTTAAAATTTTATCGTTTAAATTCATATCGATAGGTTGTGGACGAGAATGGTCAATTTAAGGAGGATAATTTTAATAGAGCAATGTCTTGTTTACAAGGCGATGCTGCAAAAGGTGACAAGAAAGGACGAAAAGGCGCTCTTTTAAAGACAAATCAAGGACAATCGAATATTTTTAAAATGGTAAAAATGATAATGGAGAGAAATTTTGCACCGGTGATTATTTTCAGTTTTTCCAAGAAGGACTGTGAAGTTTATGCTATGCAATTGGCAAAATTGGATTTAAATACACTTGAAGAGAAAAAATTGGTCGATGAAGTATTTAATAATGCAATGGACGTTCTTAGCGAGGACGATCGACGATTACCTCAAGTGGAAAATGTTCTTCCTTTATTGAGACGTGGTATTGGAATTCATCACGGTGGATTGCTTCCAATTTTAAAAGAAACAGTTGAAATTCTTTTTGGTGAGGGTTTAATTAAGGCATTATTCGCCACCGAAACATTTGCCATGGGATTAAATATGCCAGCAAGAACAGTTTTATTTACAACACCACGAAAATTTGACGGAAAAGATTTTCGTTGGATCACATCTGGGGAATATATTCAGTAAGTAGATTTAACAGTAAAGAATTGAAATGTCAACTTAAAAATAATTTTTTTAAATTTTGCAGAATGTCTGGTCGTGCCGGAAGAAGAGGTTTGGACGAGAAGGGAATTGTTATTTTTATGATTGATGAACAAGTTAGTCCAGCTGTGGGCAAAGATATTGTACAAGGAAAGCCCGATCCTATTAATTCTGCATTTCATCTTACTTATAATATGGTATTGAATCTTCTTCGTGTTGAGGAAATTAATCCCGAGTATATGTTGGAAAGAAGTTTCTATCAATTCCAAAATCAAGCTTCCATTCCTGACTTGTATAATAGTATGTATCGTAATTATTTGAAATCAATAGTAAAAAAAAAAATTGCCCAATTATAAAATTTGTATTATTTGCAGAGGTGAAGAAATTACAAGTCGATTATGATGCAATTGTTATGGAAAAATATGATTCAATTTCAACCTATCATGACATAAGAGAACAACTTGATAGACTCAGTAATGAGTTTAGAACATTTTTAACAAATCCAACTTATTTGTTACCGTTTTTACAACCTGGAAGGATGGTAAAAGTAAGTTTAGAAAATATTTTTATTTTTGTTAAAAAAAGGAGTAATGAAAATAATTATTTAAAAAAAAAATTGTCTAGGTAAAAAACGAAAAAGACACATTTGAATGGGGAATAATTGTTAATTTCAAAAAGAAGAGTCCAAAAAATCCAACGAAAGATGAAACGACGATAATTGTCGATATTTTGCTTCATGTTTCGAAAAATTCAACCGAAGCAGCACCACTACCATGTCAACCCGATGAAGACGGTGAAATTGAAGTTGTACCTGTTTTACATAAATTAATTTCACAAATTAGTTCACTTAGACTTTATTATCCAAATGATTTACGACCAGCTGATAATCGAAAAAGTGTATTAAAAACCATTCAAGAAGTTAAAAAACGATTTCCCGATGGACCACCATTATTAAATCCCGTGACAGATATGAAAATTGAAGACAGTAATTTCAAAGAAATTATCAAAATGATTAAAGTTCTAGAGAAGAGATTATTTTCACATCCCATTCATAATGATCCAAAAGTAAATGAACTCTATGAGGAATTTCTCCAAAAAGAAGAATTAGGTAAACAATTGAAAGAGGCGAAAGATGAATTAAAACGTGCCAAGTCAATTTTACAAATGGACGAATTAAAAAGTCGAAAACGTGTACTTCGACGTATGGCATATTGTACAGCGGCTGATGTTATTGAATTAAAGGGACGTGTCGCTTGTGAATTAAATGGAGCCGATGAATTATTAATGACAGAAATGATGTTTAATGGTCTTTTTAATTCGTTAAACGTTCCACAAATGGTGGCATTAATAAGTTGCTTTGTCTGCGATGAAAAATCAAATGAAATGCCAAAAAGTACAGAAGAACTTGGTGGTCCTTTGAGACAAATGCAAGATTTAGCACGAAGAATAGCTAAAGTTTCAAGTGAGGCTAATTTAGATTTGGATGAAGATTCATATGTTGAACGATTTAAACCTTTCTTGATGGATGTACTCTATGCCTGGTGCAAAGGTGCAAGTTTTTTGCAAATCTGTAAAATGACTGATATTTTTGAAGGTAATTTTCATAATAATTATTTTAATTTTGTTTTTTTTTCTTAAATAAATTAAAAATTAATTTTTCAGGTTCAATTATTCGTTGTATGAGACGTTTGGAAGAAGTGTTAAGACAACTTTGTCAAGCGGCAAAAAATATCGGTAATACAGATTTGGAAAATAAATTTAGCGAGGCAATTAAATTGATTAAAAGGGACATTGTGTTTGCCGCCTCATTGTATTTATAAAAAAAAAAAAAAATCAAACAAAATTATATATTATTTTTGTACAAATATGAAATTGATTTTTTCTTCGAAAAAAATGAACAATTATACATTACATATTAATTGAAATTTAGAAAACAAAAAATATATATCTTTCGTTTTTTTTTTTTTTAAATCATTTCCACGACTAAATTTATTTCTCGAAATTTTGAATATACATTTCACGTGGATATAAAGAATTAATAGAGCGAATTTGTTTTTTTTTCTGTTTTTTCTTTTTTTACAAAAAGTGAACTACAATCTTGTACGAGTATGAAAAAGAGAAACAGCGTACAAATATTTTATTGATGAATTGGACAAATCGTAATAATTTGTTTTTTTTTGACTATTTTGAAAATTATTATTAAATAAATAAAATTTTACGAATCACAACGCTTAGGTTTTTATGCCTTTTTTGTTTTTTTTTTTTAAATTTAATTATAATAATTAGTTCTTTACCGCATTTCTAAAACGACGGTCTCTTGAGAACAAAAATTTAAATCTGCGAGTGTGAGCTTTGTATCGATCGATGTTAACTGGAAAGAAAAATAATTTATTAATTTAAATATTAAATGAGATTATTAAAATAATTTGAAACTTTTTTTTTGAAGTACTTACATCCCTTCGAGGCCAGGTGCAAAGAACTTTGTATTCTTCGGTAGGATAACCTTCGACAATTAAATAATTAAGTAGAATTTGAAGTGGAGTATCAGGTTGAAACCTGCGTTCCAGAACATCACCAGCTGGAACTCTTATTCTAACTTTCAACACTTTATCGCCAGGTTGAGGCTCAGGTGGTAAACTTGATTTAACCGATTGTCTGTGCGATTCCTTTCTCGCTTCTTCGGCAAGCCTTTCACTTTCAGCCTTCTCCTTCTTCTGTTTCTCAATTTGTTCTTGCATTTGTTTTGCTTCTTCTTTAGCTCTGAAATGATTTTTTTTTTTTTTTAAATCAACGTTTTTAATTTCTGTTTATATAGTCCTTCTAGTTCTTTTTCTTTTACCTGTCAACAGCTAAACTCTCTTGATAGGCTTTATCTTGTTCTTGTTTAACTCTTTCTCTCGACTGTCGTTCTTCTTCAAATTCAATATCAGCTTGACGGTGTTCCTAAAAATGGATGGAGAAAAATAATTATTGTAGGAAAATTTTTTTTTTAAATAAAAAAAATTAATTAAAAGAAAAATGACTAACCTGAAATATATCTACAGCATGTATTAGATTCGTGAGCAGTTCACTGACTCCCACGTTACCGAAAACTATTCTAAATATTTCTGTATTAGATCTCGTACGCATAATAATCATTAAAACGGGCATTGTATCAACATCGATATTTCTTACAGTTCTCGCTGCAGTTGGACCCAATGCTTGATTAATGGATGCCCAAAAGCTAATGCAGAAAAAAATTAATAGTTAAATATTAATAAATTTCCATCGATAATTTATTTATATATAAATTTATACTCACTTCAATTTATTAGAATCGTGAGTAAAATCCCAGCCCCAAATTACAAAATTTGTTGATAAATGCTGTAACACGGTTTCAAATCCTAACAATTGTGTGCAAAAAACATGCGCTAACACACTATTGTCATGATGCAAATAAACTGCCAATAATTTTCTCTGTAAATTTGAAAATTGTTTTTTTTTTAAATTAATGCTACAAATAAATTAATTTAAACATTTTTTTTCTCATGGATTACTAACGTCTTTTGGAGGTTTCCCACAAGCCTCTTGTATAGCTTCTTCCAAAGTTCCAGTGTAAAATTGTGGATGATTAGGACCATATCGCTTCTCGAATTCTTCAGCAAAATGTAAAGTACCGACAGTTTCGTCTTCCACATTGCTAGGCACTTTAGAAATAAAATGAAATATTAAAACACATTGTACAAAAAATAACTAACTAATAAACAAAAAACTCACTGAGATATTGAATTCTTGTGGATTGTATATTATCTATAAAAATGTCATCCTCAACGTTACACGATTCTGGGATATCTTCAAAATCTTCAACAGATTCTACTTCACCAACTGAACTATCAGTGTCGACTAAATCCACAACTTCCTGAAAATTCAATCTCAAATATAAAATAATATTTAAATGAAATAACTTTTTTATTTTTAATTTAATAGAATATTAAATGATTTTATTTTTAATTAAATAATATACTTTTTTGCTCTCTGTATTTGGCAATTTGTTAACTGAGAGATTGTGTTCAGGATAGGAAATGCCACTTTGTCCCAATGTTATATCATCACTTGTTACAGAGTCTGGCCATCCTTTCCAAACTTGATTTCTAACGTGCACATCCGTCAAGGAATAAATATCTCTCTTTATTTCTGATATTGTATGCATTCCCGGAAATTTCAATTTGTATAATTTATTATTCATTTCATTTCTTATGTTTAGTGTATATGTTCGTGATAAACGATCAGTTAGATTAATTCTGAAATTAATAAATTAAATTAATAAAATTTAATTTAATAAATATTTATAAATTATAAAAAAAATCTTACGGCTCTGCGTGAGATTCTCCTAAATCGGTAACTTGAGTCAATAGTAAATTATTTTCTCGTGGTAAATTTAGAGTTTGTAAAATTGTCGTATCTCGAGGCGGTTCTTTATGCCAGCCATGCAATACTTGTTGACATGGACCAATATTTGTTTTCTCCCATATTGCAAGCTTCAAATCTCCTATTAAATAAAAAAAATGTTAAAATTTTTTTATAAAATTCTACTCATAATTTAATTAATATTACCCAGAGTACTAGACTCAGAAGTGGTGATTGTGTGAATGGTTTTATCGAGAGTAATGTGGAATGTAAGCATTCTTGATGGTAGATTTGGTTTTGATCTACTCGTACCAGGGAGAATTTCATCAATTTCCATACCAGTGGATCTGTTATTAGTTAATGATTTTGTGACAGAAGTAATTTCAATAGAATCATTATTTCGATTCGGCCTGTGAACTTCTTCTATCATAACAACATCGTTACTTGTTTCTGAAGGCAGTTGTTGTGTATTTATTGGCATAACTCGATTTATCGCCGCCTATTTTAAAAAATAATTTTTTTTTCAAATTATCCAAATTTCATCTATTTTATCATTATTATAATTAATATTAAATTACCAATAAATCCCAATTTGTGCCTTCAAGGTATAAAATAGCTTCTGCGACATCTTCAATGTCTGTGCAAGCCTAGAAAAAATAATATAATTTGTAATTTAAAAGAATGTGAATCATAAATACATACAAATTATAATTCTATAAATTTAAATTGTTAAAAATATATTTTCATTTCGTCGGAAGGAGTAGAAATAAAAAAGAAAAAAGTATCCAACACTTTTGTTGATTATTTATAAAGATAAATATTTCTGTTTAATAAAATTTAAGACATACAACAAACACTTGATCAGATAATAGTTATTTTCAGTATAAAATGAAAGAAATTGTATTTATAAATGTTCATTATTGTCAATGTCATTGTGTTCAATTCTCCATAACCTAATTTTACAAAATGACTATGAATATTAACGTATGTACACTATGTTTACATTAAACAACTTACCTGAAAATCCGCTAAAATCACTTCTTTGTTAATTTCCATAATTTTATAATATAATTAGTGAAAACACAAAACAACAAGGTAAAAATTAGTGAAAATTTATAGTATTACAATCAAGTTATATATTGCTTAAACAAAATGCTTTATAAACGGAGAATTACACAGAGATGCACAAAGCCATTTTGGACATGTTTTGAGGACAATTTTCAATGAATATTTTGTTAACTAGACAGGAAAAATATTACATTTTTATTAATATAAATCTTTTGGGTGACTTTTCATGAAACAATCAATATAAATTCAAATTTTACCTGTCATTGGCTAAAAAGACGCGGGATATTTTTCTTCTAACCAATGAAATACACCACTGTTCATTTTAAATGAATGGGACAATTTTTGTGATTGGTTGAAAATTTCACGTTGGATTTTATTTGTTTTTTTTTATACACTGACATTCCTATCATTACTGTAATAAACATTCCATGCTCTTATCTTCACTTGTCAAATGTCTTGTCACTTGACAGCTTGTCACTTTCTACTTCCATGGTTTAATAAATTTTATGGTTTATTGTTGCTGTAAAAATGGCTATTCATAAATTAGTGTATATTTTGGCTGTTTTTTTCTACTCTCAGTGTTATTCTTAAATTAGGTGAAAGTTCTCTTTTTTGCAAGTGATTTGATATTACAACGCAAAGTATTTCTTCCAAAGGACTCCATGTTTATGATAAAGAAGTAAAGAAGAAGAAGAAGAAGATTACTTGTCACGGCTGTGTGCGTTTTGCTAAAATAAAAGGTAAACTTGTCAAGACCTGTCTAGACGTGCTTTGACGTATACTTAAACTGGTTGCGTATCAATGAACTTTCAATATAAAGATAGCATTGTTAACAAAGCTTTTTCATCTAACGGTGACGAACAAAATAAACAGAATGATGTAATGCCAATGTATGTTGTTTTTGTGTTTGAAAATAGAGAAAATTAAAGAAAGAGATTTGTTTTGTTTAAATAAGTTTGTGACAAATTTCAATAGAGTTTACAAAAGAGCATTTATATTGTAGGATGTGATTTCTTTTGATAAAGAAGTCTTGAACCGTCACGCCCACGTGTGAAAGTAATGCTTCGCGTATCTTGGCATTGAAAACCTTGCATTTTCCATTGCGTTAGTTTTTTTTTTTTTGCAATTTAAGTGGCTTATTACTCATTCATAACTTTTGCGTATTATTTAAACAATAATGTTATTTTGTTATTCAAAGGATTAACATTCTTTATTTCTTTGAGACATATATATGAACTTATTTTTAGATTCTTTTATGGACCAAAATTAGAATTGCATTCGCGCTTTATTGTTCTGTAAAACAAAAATTAACGAAAATGTTTATTTTACAGATGTGTTTTTGTGAATACAATCTACGATGAAACGAATAAAGAAGAAATGAAAAAATTAAAATAATGAAATATCTAGTAAATTCTAGAATCTATTATTATTATTATTATAAATCCAGTATATTGAATTGTCGACAATACAATGTCTGTCGATTTAATTAAGAATGGGACAGCACTTTGCTAGTCTCAGAGATTTTTTTAGAATGGAAGGCGAAAAACAGTCTTTACAAGTTTATAACGAATCATCATCACTTAATAATCAATCATCATTTGACATGTTGGATCAAGAGGATTCTGAGAATACACAAAAAAATGAAAACAATGGAAATATACATGTTCCAAATTTAAATATTATTTTAAATAAACCTGATGATAATCTTGATAATGAACAATTAAATCTAGATGTTGATAATCATAATGCTAGATTTGAATCCATATACAGTCAACCAATTGATACACAGGATTCAAAGCAAAATTGTAACAATGGAAATATTGTTAGTGCTGTTGAACCATCATTAAAACAACAAGAGTCATGTGTCAATAATTCTGGTAGCAGCAATACTAGTAGTAGTTCTGAAGATAGTCCTGTAAATCCTAGTTTTAGACGATCATCGAAAACTCTTTCGTTTGGAAAAAGAAAAGGTGAATTTTTAATTATTTATCTAATTTTATTTCTATTTCAATTGTAATGTTTTTTTTTTATCAATATTTTAATTTAATGAAAATAATTTCTCAAGTTTTAGGTAAGCAACGAAATAAGGACCAACATCCAGTATGTAATCATGTATTATCGTCGAAAAAGAAACGAAGTAATTGGGTTTTGAAATTTAATTGTACTAAAAATAAAGTATCGAAAAATACGGATATTCCGGGACAAGGTGGCAACAGTTCTGAATGTATATGTACAGGATATCGTCGTACTGAAGAACATACAATGGGTGCCAGTAACGTATTAAACATATCGGCACCACAGAGTCCAGTTCTTGGTCCACTTCCACCTAGTCCTGTAATTGATTTATCACGATTTAATCCAGAAGAATTTCCTATGGAGGTAATATAAATTCTCATTTTTCTAAATAGTAATTTCAACAAAAAATATATATATATTTTATAATTTTATTTATTTCAGGATTGTGATGAAAGGGCAAGATTGCAGAGAGCACGTGAAATGGAAGAAGGAGTGGAACCACCACCGGGTTATAGGCCAAGTTATCCATCGGGAATTCAAGTGCATCCAAATGGCATTACTGTTGACAGTTTGGCAGCTCTTTTTCAAGCACACGCAGGAATTCATGCCGCTGCTTTAACTGCCTTATCGCAAATAGATTTTAGTCTAATTCCTAATATTGAAAGACCAATTCACACACAGGTTTGTTTAATCAATTTTTTATTTAAATTTAAATCTGTATTTTAATTATTAATTATTAATTATTAATTTTTTTCTTTTGTCTTCTTTCTTCAACAGGTTGATTATGTACATTGCCTCGTGCCAGATTTGCGTTCAATCACCGCTTGTTCTTTCTATTGGGGAAAAATGGATCGTTATGAAGCTGAACGTTTATTGGAGGGCAAACAAGAGGGAACATTTCTACTACGTGATTCGGCACAAGAAGAATTTTTATTCTCCGTAAGCTTTCGAAAATATGGTCGTTCACTTCATGCAAGAATTGAACAATGGAATCATAAATTCAGCTTCGATTCACACGATCCTGGTGTATATGCATCTAAAACGGTAAGTTTCTTCTTTTTAATTCCAAGCATGATTATTATTTTTTTATTAATCTTCTTATTATTGTAAGTAAATTTTCTTTAGTTATTTCTTATCAAATCATAAAAATTTATATTAAAAAGTAATTTTACTTGACAGGTTTGTGGTTTGATAGAGCATTATAAGGATCCTTCGTGCTGTATGTTTTTTGAACCAATGTTGACAATTCCATTACATCGAAATTTTGCATTTCCGTTGCAACATTTGTGTCGTGCTGTTATTACAACACGAACAACCTACGACGGTATTAACAAGTTGCAATTACCAAAGACTCTTAAAAGTTATCTTAAAGAATATCATTATAAACAGCGAGTACGAATTAGAAGGCTAGATATTGAAAATGACCTTCAGTCTGATGGAAAATCCATATCATATATTCCACTAACATGAGCATTGTCTCAACTATCCATTCTTTGTTTTTCGCGAAATTCCCTTTTCTTTTTATTTATGTCGAAATACTCACAAAAAAAAAAAATCACTTTCGGACAAAAATTACAATATTACAGTGATAACACTAAAAATATTGCTAATTATCATCGCGATTATTTAACTTTCCATTTACATCTTCTTTAAAAAAAAAAAATACCTAGCACTATTAAGTTTGTCGCTTTCCTAAATTTGTTCTTTGTCAAAAAAAAAAATTTTTTTTTTTCAATTTTTATACACGTATTTCTTTGAATAACTTGGGCATTCGATAGTAGGATTTGATGAATATTGAAGTGTCAGATGATTACGGAAAATTATCATCTAAAGTACAAAGATAACACTTCTTATAATGAAAATAATTTTTTCTATTATTTTTATTGTTTTTCTTATTAAGGATGTAAGAGATAAATATGATTCATTGAGTAAAATTATTAATTTATCAAATAGACATCCTTAAATAGAATAACAAAAAAATTGTTGATGATTCTAATTAATAATTGATTAATATTAATAATTAAAAGAATTAATATTAATTATTAATAATTGACAATTAGAATCGTCGAATTTAAAAATAAATTGTTAAATAGAAAAAGAAAATTATGGGAAGAATTTGAAAAATTTTATAACTCACTTTTTCAAATTTCACGACAATAATGAATGAAAAAGAAGAATTATTTTTAAATTTCTAAATTGCATTTGAAGAAATAATTCGATAAATTTATTTTGGGCGTAAATTCATTCTCTCTCTCTTAAATTTTAAAATTAAAACTAATTTTTTTTAAATTTTTCGATTTTACAATCTAATATACAAGTGAGTTATAATTGTGAGATATAAACTTTATAAATATCGATATAGATTGAATAATAGATTCACAATTTTAATGAGCGGGCGAATCGAATGATGACTGTTTTCAAGAAAGTAGGCAAATACTATTTCTATTTAAAAAAAAAGAAAGAAAAATCATCTTTGCTTAAAGCAAAGTTAAGATTTATAGTTCATCCATTGTTCTGCGCTAATCTGTTTTTAAAATTAGATACCCTATCGTGCCTACAACTATTGTCAAAGATAACGTGAATGCAGGTAAAAGTACCTGTTTATAAATGAAAAAAATCGTAGGAAGCGACTCCTTTATATAAGTGGCTATTTTATACCTACGTAAAGACATGCATAATACATACACACACATACGTACATATATTACTAAAAAAAAAAATAGAATTTTCATTTTTTAGAATAACGAATATATTTACAGACACTCCGCAGAATACGAAATAGGCAGCTAATTATTACAATATTCGTAGATGAATTTTCATTTATATATGCGATTTACTTGAAAGGATTTAGAGGCAATTTAAAAATAGGCCTGTTGCAAGTACCAAAGTATTTGACTTTTGAATAAAAAAAAAAAAAAATAAAAAAGAAACAAGCACTGCTCAAAGTTGCAAAGTAGTTTTGAGAATAGAAACCAGATTGCATACTATATAGAGAGAACAAAATAGAAATTATTGGAAATTTTTAAAGCGCTCACGCGAAATTTCATTAATTTTTCAAAGAGGGGAACACATACTAGTTGAAATAAAATTATCTGATCTTATTAAGTTTTTAGAAAAAAAAATTTTTTAATTTCCTTTTAAGGACATATGACCGTATTAAAGGACTTTAAACACAAATTAATAAGTTAAAATTACAATTAAAATTGAAAATTCTCAGTCGTTTTTTCTTTTAACAGAAAAATTAAATAAATATTTATGCTTTGTTAGAAAATTAAACGAACAAAGATTTTTGATAACTTGACCGGTGATGTCTTTTTGTATCACATGTCCTAGAGGAAATTTGTTATCATTTTTGTTTAAATGAAAAAGAAAGTTCGATTTCTTATATTATATACGAGTTGAAACTAAAATTTAATAGTTTAACTTCAAGTCTTGATTTATAAAAATTATCATCTATTTAAATAATGTCTTTTGATTTAAAAAGACATAAGACTAAAAAAGAAAATAACTTTAAAATCCCGGTGATAATTTTTGTGAAAGAAAAAGTTTTTTAATTGATACTGCCAAAAATGTGAAATTAAAGTTAGAAAAATACAAATTCATAAATTTAATTTGAAATTAAATTCCTTTGAATAGATTTTTTTTAAAATCACATTCGCAGATTGCTTTAATTTTATTAAAGGAAAATTCGTAATGGGTGTTTTAAAAAATCTAATTATTTTTTTAAAACTATTGCATACTTCGATACTTTACTCATCTTTTAGCTAATTTTTAATTTTGTTTTCCCTTTTATATACCTTCTTTATAATTAATAATTCTTGTATCAGATGAAATTGATTGTTTTTATATAAATTGTTGCATAGAAAAATTAGAAACAAACAATTTTGGAGTAAAAAAAAAAGATACGATGTGTAAATTTAGTTCGAAGTTTGCTTATACAATCTACAATGGTTTCACAGGATAAAACTAACTTATAATACAAAAAAATAAATATATATATATATACAATATATATGCTCAGATTTATGAAATAATATTTCTTGTTTAATTTGAGTTGCTGCTTTTTCAATTAATTATCCGAATTAATTAGCAGCAAATTATTTACATAGATCTAATGTATTATTCTTCTTTTATTATTATTATTATTATTATTATTATATTATTAATTTTATTAATATTCTTATTATCCAAAAAGATAATATTATAAAATAATAAAAATGAAAATATGATTAAATGACTGAAAATTAATTTATATGACGTTTTTGGATGACTTTTAATGACACTGAATTTTAATAATTTTAATAATAACATTTTAATTGATTACTTAATAAAATTGGGGAATTTCAAAATTTGTTGAAAGTAATTTACAAAAAGAAAATAAATTGAGAATTATTAATATTTAGATGTCAAAATATGTCACATGCTCTTAAAAATGTATGTGTATAGGAAATAAAACAATTTCACGATTGTTGAATGAAAAAACATATTGTTTGATTGTATAAAAAAAAATATTAATTAATTATCAATTTTCAATGGCGCGCTATTGGCAGCTATATAAAACGATGGCAAAATTAAGTGGCGGATATATATCTTTCTCGAATGATAAAAAATTGTTATAAATATCGTTAAATGTTTAACTCATTATGCAAACATAATTAATGAAGATTAAACATTATATTAACATAACAAGTTTAGTAAGATATTGAACTGTTAAAAAAAAAACGAAAAATAAAATGATTGTCAATAAAAAATTGAAAATAATTTGATCTATAAATGAAAAATTGTAATATAGTATAATTGAAAATTAAAAAAAGCAAATTAAAAGTAAAACAAGTGTTGAGTGCACAAGTTTTGTTAGGAATTATTCCAATTATTGTTATGTTAACAAATATTTTTGGTTAAATTAACAAAAAATATTTCTGTTAATAGTTTAAAAATTAAATTACATTATATATATATAACTAATTTTGTTTAATACACAATATTATTGTTTTAAGAAAAAAAAAATGGCATTTAGAAAAAATATAAAAATTAATGTATATGGGGAAGAATAAATTTTAATTGTTCAAGGTTTGAAAATTATACAAACAGAATCGATAAATTGATATATGCATTTTTATCTCATTCTTTATTTTAATGACAATGAAAATAATGTAATTATGAATACAGTGGCAACGTATATAAAATACCAAGAAAATATTTACCACCGTTAACAAATGTAATTTTCCATCAAGTACTCATATAAAATCTTTATAATTGAGAAACGTTTACAAATTATAGTCAAGTAAAAGTTGATATAATTTGCGTTATTAATTTCTTTTTACCCTTATTAAGTATTTGTTTTACAAGTTTCTTTTCTAACAACTCCAATAACAAATTTTGAACTAAAAGAAACTTGAATTAATCTTTTATTTATTTTTTTTTCAGAACGAGCAAAAAAAAGAGGAAAAATTTGAATAGAAAAAAAAACGAACTTAATTAAACTAATCAAACTCTAAAAATGAAATTTAATTAATATTAGATTGAAGTTAATACCTACATTTCAAAATAAATTATTTACAAAGAAAAAACTTTTCTATTAAAAAGCTGATTTACATTTTTTCAAAAATAAATTCTTGAAATAATATTTTCTTCTTTCTTTTACTATTTTATTCGCTTACGAATATTAACAAATGTTGTTTAATAAAAAAAGTAATAATTAATAATGTAACATCTATCAAACTAACGGAATGTCTCTTGAGAAACAAGAAAAACATTTTATAAAGAAGTCTAAAAATATTGCATAAAAAAAATATATACTTTTATAATATTTACAAATACTACTTATCGTTATCATCAGTCGAAGAATTGAAATCTTCATAGAGAACAGTAAATTTATCACATTTAGTCACTAAATCAAATGCACTGTCGTAAAAGAGAATTTCAGTTTTTAAATTCTTCAATTTTTCAATTCCATTCTTGTGAATTTTTGATGTCATTTTCTTTTTATTGTAACGAACGGCTTTTATCATTTTATCTAAAGTATAGTGCAACCAAAGAATATTTGTATATGGCTCAAATGTCTGCCAGTCGTTTCTATAATTAATTTTTGTTAATTAAATTTTTTTTGTAAATATATAAAATTATCTTGAATTCAAAAATTGTGAAAAAAAATTAAAATTACTCACCCCAATTTATCTCTCATCAGACGATAAATTTCAAATTGATATTCTCCTTCAGCGGTGAATAAAGCGGGATCCAATGCTAAATCATTAAAAATACAACAGCCCTTGTATGACATTCGTGAAAGTGTGAAATCGATAATTGCCACCTGGAAATAAATAAAAAAAAATTTATTTATTATTTTTAAACTTTGAAAATCTTCTTAATTTTGGATTCACAAATTTTTCGCCATTACCTTCAAGCCATTTGAGGGTAAATTGATTTCCAAATTTCCAAGTTTATAAGAAAATTGCGATTTTTTTGTTCTTGATATCAAAATATTTCCCCAATGCATATCTCGATGTTCAAATTCGAGACTTTGTTCTGCAACGGCCATTGCGATGGCAATCTAAACAGAAAATAAGTAGCAAAATTTATTTTAACATAATAAATAAATTAATTTTTCAACAAATTTTAAATTAACAAACCTGTAAAAAAACTGAATATGTCTCCTCGGAATTTTGAAAAACAAAAGCTTCCAAATCCTGTCCACCGTTACCAAGTTCCAATGAAATATACAATTGATCATTTTTAAACATTGATGGGCAATCGTTTTCTGACTTTTTCTCATTATCATAAGTTTGCCAGTGTTCAATTAATTTCGATGGATATTTCCCTTCAATACATTTAATATTTTTCACTTCGACAAAACTAGAGGTGTTGTACATTTCGTTAAATCGAAGATCGTGAAGTTCCCTTTAGAAATAAAATATTGACAAAATAAATCTAATTAGTAAAAAAGGAAATTTTTATTTAATTAAAAATAAACTCACTTGGCAATAACAATTTCAGAGAGAATTTCATGGAATTTCTTTTGTGGTTCTCCATTTACTAATTCATCGCCTTCAATTGGAATAATTTTTATTACTGAACTATCAGTCTCGTTATTATACAAAAACACTTCACCATAAACACCTTCGCCAATTTTTCGACAGGATTTTAAAAACCTATTAAATTGCAAATACAATATTTTTTCATTAAAACTATTTTTCAGATTTTTAAAAAATATTTTAAAAAAAATATACAAACTTTTTGGGATAGCATTGATTAAATGGCAAATACTCAGTTTGATGACATTTTTCTAAAACAACACATTTTGCAGTTGTCAAAGGTTGAGAATCGATAATTTCTTGAATAGAATCTTGTGAATGCAATAAACTCTTCTCAGGTGAAGCTGAAAAATATTTTTAAATTAATATTCACCATTCTTTTTAATATTACAAAACAATTGAAAATTCATTTAACTTACCTATGGATTTGTCATTTTCTTGAATACTTGAAACTGTTTTTGTTTGACTCGATGGAATGCCATATGCTTCTAAAAATTGTGTATCTTCATTATTGATATCAAATTTTTTAACATCAGGTACAACACGAATTGAAATTCTCTTGAATAAACGACTAGGACTAGTTGATCCAATTTGACTAAATCTTTCAATTCTCGGATATTCAACAATTCCATTTTGATCTTTAATTGGTGAATTTGAATTTGATGTTTCCTGTTCTTTTATACAACTTTGAAGATTGCCTATGGAAATAAATACAAAATTAAATGAAATATATTTAAAAAATTGCAAATTAATTCTTATGAACTATTTGCTATTTAACCTATTACCCATTTACAAATTATTCTTTCAATATTCCATATAAAAAATATAAGAAAAAATTTTCTTCCCTTTTCTTCAAAAAGTGTTCAAATAAAGAATATTAAAAAATACTTTTCAAAAAAATTAAAAATTGTAAATAAAAGTAGGAAATACTTTTTTTTTTGACAGGTTCATAAAAAATTTAAAAAAAAAACTATTTCGACTGTTTTTTTATCTTTAGAAAAAACCAATTTTTTTAAATTTTATCCTGCATTGTTGAAAGTAGAGAGTAAAAATAAAAATGAAAGAAAAGGAAAGAAATAGAGAGATGTTTTAATATTATTTTATAAATTATAAATTTAAATACCCTTTATTAATTATAGTAAAGTGAAATAAAGGAATATTTAAATTTTATATTACCTTTATTTTGCATATCCAAAATGGAAATGACGCTGTGCCTCCATTTCTTTCCTTTTCCAACAGAAAATCTGTCCACATCAGTTTGAGAATGAATATTATTTAAAATTGACAATGATCTTGCCCAAGATTTACCAGGTTTCAAAAATAAATGCTGTTCTGGTTGTGATTGTTCAATTAGTGAATTATTACTAATTGAAGAAATATTAGCATTCTTTTCAGCTTCTTTTGGAATCACTTCATCATCATCATTTATTATTTCATTCTCATTAAAATTTCTACTTTCATTTTCTGAAATATCAGAGAGCCGCCATCCCCAATTTTGATATTTTTTTCGTCGTTGCGTTATTTTTACTGAATCTTTTAATTGTTTAAGTGATTCTTTAGAATTAATTTCACTAGCATTCACAGCCTTTGTAACTATATTATTTTTGTCATTTTTATCATATATTACAGTCTCTGCATCCATTATTTCTTCTTGTGAATTTATTTGATACTGCTTAAATGGCTTTACATATTTTTCATATTGGCCTTTTTTTGTTAATGAATCATCATTCATAGAATCTTGACTACTTTTTGTCAAAGAATCATTAACTTGCCCTGAATCTTGACTAACTTTTAATGATGAATTATTATCGTCTAACACAAATTCTTGAGTATTTTTTATGGCACTTGTACTTTCAAATGAATTACCACTATCAATTGTTGAATTTTCAATAATTTGATTTGACGTTTCTTTTTTCTGGAAATATTGAGATTTTTCCATTTTTAACGGTGAAAGAATTACTGAAACTTCCAAATGAGATTTTCTTTTCACTTCATCGTCTTCTTTCAATGAGGATTCAATAATTGAAATTTCCGAATTGGATTCATTTGTATCATTAAGTGTTTTGTCTTTCTTAATTGGAGATACGTTGTTATTTATATTTTGAATTTCTGGCTCTTCATCATAATTTAAACATCTTCTTAAACTGGAATTTTCAAATTCAAGAGATTTTTCTTTTTTTTTATTTGTATCGTTAATTAATGATATATCATTTCTTGAATCCTCGACTGCAATTGAATAAACAATACTTGTGGGAATTGAAGTCATTGGTGATAATTTCTTAAGAGAAAGTTCTAATTTTCTTTCGAAACCCTTTAAATCACTTTGATTTAAAATTGACGAATTATTGTAAGATTCGGGATATTCTAATTTAGTTAATTTCACGGAAACTGATGAAAATTTCTTTAAATCTTTACTGTCTGTTGTTATTACCGAAGAGGAATTTAAATTATCATCTTGTGATTTTGTATCGTCGAAACATAAGGACATAGATTTTTCGTATTCTGGACTTTTGTTTAAAAATCTTTTAGTACCAACGTGACATCGTTCTAAGGAGACTTCTAAACTTTTATTTATCAATGTTTCTTTATTTTTTCTATCATTTATCGAGAAACTTGTATCGGTAATTGATGATGAATTTTTAGTTAAATTTGCTTTTGTTTTATCATTAGGTGGAAGTAATCTAAATTTTCTTTGCAAAGATGGTTCTTTTGAGAGTTCAGATTCATTGATAGTCTCCCATTCAATTTCTGAATAATCAGAGGAATTATTCCAATTTTCCGTATTATCTTGAAAATTTTCACTCAAATCATTTTGAAGATTGACAGTTTTTGATTTGTTAATATTTTTTAATGGAATTGATGATGGTTCTTTAAATTGATTTGATGTGATTAATTGTTTGTCAGGTGTTGAAGGAATATTTTGTTTAACTATCGGTGAGGTAATATTACTAATTTCCAAATTTAAAGGTAATGATTGTTTATGTAGATTTATATTTTTCTTTATAAAAGGAGTACTGCTAACAAAATTATTTGTAAATGAAATTGATGGTGAATTGATGCGTGTTAAATTAACACTACATTCTTTCAAAATTATTGGACTCTTGATTTCAATTGGACTATCTATTTTTGGGGGAGTTTGAACTTTTCGTAATTTTTTGACATTCTCCTTTGCTCCTATTGAATTTCTTATTAAATTTTCAAAAATTATAGCAGATCTTCTTTTCTTTTTTTCAATATTTTTAATTGATTTCTTTTTTGATTTGTTTACAATTTCATCATAACTTTCATCATTTATACTTTGAGAAATTGTATTCGATTTTTTTTCATCATTTTCCTCATTTTCTATCCTTTGCCTTTTGAAATTGTTAATAAATTTCTCTTCTGATTTTCTTTTTAAATTATTGTGAATTGTTTCAGGTAAAGAGTTTACCCTCAAACGAGATAGTTTAATTGAGCAGGGTTTTAATTTCACTATATTCTCTTGTTTCTTTGACATAATCAAATCACATTGTTTTAATAAAATTGAACACGATTTTAAATTTGAATGTTGAAATTTATTATTATTTGATTTATCATTTAAAGTATTTTCTTTTTCCGATGAAACGAAATTGAAAGAACTGTGAGTATCATCGTGGATTAATTTTTTGCTTTTAGTTTTTTTAGTTAATTGACTTTTTTTCGTTTCTTGTTCGTCAAGTAATTTGGAAGACTTCTGTTTTTCAAGACGTGAACTTTGTTTATTCAATTTTAAATTCATTTTTCGACTTTTTGCTTTATAAACGAAATCATCATCAGAATCTGATGACGATTGATTTATAAAAGAAGAATCAATGTCAGTTTCTGTATAGGAATCATAGGATATTTCTTGAACTGGTGGAGGATTTGGTTTATTTCTAAAAAAAAAACAAAAAGAATTGAAATTAAAATTATGTTTAATGTTCAAGTTTTTATTGAAAAAATTTACTCACTTGAATTCTCTTAGAATGCGATCAAAAGTTGTATCATGTGGATCCTCAAAAGTATCATTTATAATTTCTTTTTCTGTATTTTTTGTAATTTCTACAGGTTTTATAGTTGATTGGCCTTGAATTGATGAGAAATCAAGTTTCCCATTGTTCTTTCGATTGTAAGTTTTCAGGACTTTACGATACATGTTTTTAAATATAAAGAAAACAGGTATCAAATCGATAAATAACTATCACACACTAGTTGAATTCTTTTGAAATTTAAAACATTCTGTTATATCTTATAGAATAAAATAAATTTTTAACAAAATGTGCTTTTTAAAAATATTAAACATACAGATTAACTGTAAATCTATTTTTCAGTTTATAAATAGAAGCAATATTTTCATGTTTCACAATGGAATAAAGAATAATCGTTTATTAATAAAAAATGTAATAAACAAGCATCAACTGTAATTGAAATCCCATTTTGGAAAACACAGTTTATTTCACTTAGAACTTAAAATCACTATTTTTGACACAATACGTAAAAATATCTTATTTAATCACCCATTTATTGTTCGATTAATTTTGTTTTTTTTATTAAATTATAAATGAGATATAAATAATTCATTTTTTAAACAGAAAAAAAAGAAAATTAATTTTACTATCTTTGCATTTACATGGCATGCAACGGCACTTAAATTGAAGTTGGCTTTTAAAAGGTTAGTTTGCATGTTGGACAAGAAAAGTTTAAGGTTCATACGCAAAATTATTGCACATCTATTGTAGGTATGAATGTAACATTAGTTTTTTAAGAGCGACCACGCGATTAGTGAAAATGTTTTAATGTCAAAATATAAATCATTAATATTATTTTATATTTTCCATAGATTTAATAATTGTTATAACATTCCTTGATTAAGAAAAATTTAATCTAATTTAATATGAATTTATTGAAAGAAAAAAAATTTACTTGCAGGTAAGTTTGTTTTCATTTAAAACAGTTAATAATAGTGTTTTATTAATAATATTAATTAAACAATTTAATAATGCTATTATTTTGTGTTTAAAATAATGTTTCTTAATATTTTTAGGGTGAGTTCTGTGTTAAACAAAAATGTTAAAGAATTTGGTAAACAAAATATGTTTGACGAGTCAAATGAAACTTGTTGGAATTCTGATTCTGTAAGTAAGCTGTTAAATTTTTATATCTATTAGAACAAATATTAAAAAGTAGCTCGCGTTTTTTTTTTTTAGGGAACGCCACAATGGATTCTAGTAAATTTTGACGAGGAAATTGATTTATCAGAAATAGAAATAGAATTTCAAGGTGGATTTGCCGGTAAGAAATGTTCTATTGAAGCTGGAATTGATTCAAAAGATTTGTCATTAGTTGATGATTTTTTCCCTGAGGATACAAATACAATGCAACGATTTCATTTATCTGAAACAAAAAGAACTAAAGTATTTAAAATTGTTTTTCACAGTAGTACTGATTTTTTTGGTAGAATTGTTGTCTATAAACTTTTATTTCATTCCTGATAATAGATGGATTTTAATTATATATAAAATATAAAATATTTTTATTTTTAAAAAATGCTATTTATTCATTTAAAAATATTTATTTAAAAAACACTCTATTATTCCCTTAAATATTTGTCTCTTTTTTCACTTCGATCTTTTGTTTTTTTGTAAAATGTTTTATTTTTTCCTCTAAACTTTCTGTAAATGAAAAGTAAGTTATTAGATAACTGATTGAATATACAGTAAATTATTAAAATTATTTTACTAACCGCAAGTCAATCTTTTCATTAATGGAGTATAAATTTTTGATTCCACTCCACGAAGTAGACAATCACTTTGAAAATTTGTATTTTTTGTTTCTGGTAAATTCAATAGCATTGTTTTAATCATTGTCGATCTAAAAATATTGAATGACATTTTATTTAAAAGAAATTTTTTAATTAAATTCATAAATTTTTTATTTAAAAAATAAAGTCTTACTTAATTCTATGAAATGTCCATTCTTCCTGTAAGGCTTTTATAACTTCCTCTAATTCTGTTTTATCAATAAACCAATCGTTCGTTTCAAATTCACAATGAAATAAATTCAATGGTATTTCGTGAGCTAAATTGTATTGCGGTTTCTTTGGACAGTGTTCAATATTCAAAAGTTCTTGAATTACCTCAGGTTTTTCATTTCCACATCCAACTAATAGTATTACGCCCATTATACATCTAATCTGATGCCACAAAAAAGCCTGACTAGTTATTGTCAATTCACACATATCATAACCTGATGATAGTAAATTTAGATATTTAAAATTTTTTCATTGAAAAAAAAGTGTTTCTAATTAAATAAATACAATACCTGATGTTGTTTCAAGATTTTCTTTAATGGAACGTACTGAAGCCTCTAAAATTGTACGATTAAAATTAACAACACCATTTGCCACATCCATTTTACAAATATTTCTAAAATCATGACTTCCAATCATGAATTTTAATCCTTGATTCATAAGATCTAAATTTAAATTTCCCCTTGGAAAGAAATATTTGTAAGTTCTGCGTTTACAGTCAAATCTCGCGGAAATATTCTCTAATACAGGTGACCATGCGAAACATCGAATATTTTTTGGTAAAAGTCTATTTAAAATTTTACAATAAGCGAGTTCTTGATCGAGATTATTTTGATTATTTGGATCAAGTTGACTGCGAACGTCTATGGAAATAACTTGAGAAAATGCACTGACACCCTTATCAGTACGACCACATCTGTGATAATTTGATGTTTCTCTATTTTCAATGAGACAACTTTTTTTTAACGCTGCAAAAACATGATGTTCAATAGTGTCAATTGTATTTTCTTGTTCCATAAATCCATGATAGTCCCATCCAAGATAATAGAATTTTAGGAAAATATGCCTTTTGTGATGTCTAAAAAAAAAATTACAATTTACAATTTGTTTTTCTATTTCCAATAATAATGTTTTACTTACTTGGAAAAATCAAATTTTCTATTTGTAAACTCAGGCTTTTTTGATTTCTTATCAGAACTGTTTAAAGTTTTAGAAAGAATAGATTTCAATTGAAAATTATGAGCTTCCAGTTGTAAAATTTTGTCAATTAAAATCTAAAATAAGAATTAACGATATTAAAATTATTTTTAAAAAATAATTTTAATTATTAATCACAATTTTACATTAATGTCACTTACTGATTTATCGAGAATTTCCAATTCTTCACGAGTCGAATTGGAGAATTTATTTTTTTTTATTTTGACAACGTTCATTTTAGTTATAAGTTTTTAAAATTAAAAATACACATAAATATAATTAAATCATACGTTCTTAGAAAAATATAATATTTCTACAAAAAAAAAAAAAAAAAACAATTATCATTATTGTTGTGGTATTTTTATTATTTATTGTTTTTCATTGTTCAATGTTATTGTTTTATAACAACATGTCACTTTAATTTTAAGGTTATAATTTTAAATAACATTTTAATATGTCATTCACATTTATTTAATAAACTAATTACGATTGGCAGAGAAAGAAAACATTCACCAATGAAAATTGATAATGTAAAAAAGGAGGTTGGAAGTTTCACGTGAATCCGCCTTAAGATCATCATGTCAAGAAGGTTGGATTAAAAAGAAGCCTTTCCGATATATTTTTCTTCGAAGTATGTATGAATTTTGAAAATCCATATTTTTTATAACAATCGTAAATAAATTATAATAATTATTTATATTTTTATTGAAAAAACTTAATTCTTTATTTGATAAGTGCAATAGTCATTGAGAATAAAGTGAATTTTACTTTAAATTCGTAAATTTTCACTTGTGCTTCAATGAAAACAAAGTTCGGGCTGACAGTGTGACTGATATTTGATACTTTTTACTATTTTCTGTTTTAGTTGTCATCAAATTCGAAGCAACATGTCTATTAGACCGATATATAGACCTAAAATAGTCAAGAAGCGAACGAAAAAGTTCATCCGGCATCAAAGTGATCGATATGATAAACTAAAGGTAAAAAAATTTCATCAGTAATAGTACATAACCTCACTTTTCTTTATTAATTTTCTTATCGTTATTTTGCTTCTTTTGCTTATATTAAATATATATAATATAGTATTTGTGAATGAATGAAGTGACATCTAGTTTCTTAATTTCCGTTTATTGGAATAATTATTAAAAAATAAAATTTATTATAGAGAAAACAATTTTTTATATACTGTGTACTTAAATATTTTATTCTGTCAATGAAAGTTGAGAACTTTCTATTTCAACTTTTGTAAAATGTCTTTAGAAAATATATATCTATAACAATAATTTATATTTATGTTTAGAGAAACTGGCGTAAGCCTAAGGGTATTGACAACAGAGTCAGAAGGCGCTTCAAGGGTCAATATTTGATGCCCAATATCGGTTACGGAAGTAACAAAAAGACTCGTCATATGCTTCCTACTGGATTCAAAAAAGTTTTGGTTCATAACGTTAAGGTATGTAAATTATTTTGTAATTTTTGCTCTTTCTCTTGTAATTTTTGTTGTCAAATGTAATTGTTCATTTTAAAAATTGTAAGATATCAAAAAAGTAAATAATTTTTTATTTTATAATTGCAATAATTAATTGAAAATTGTTTTTTTCAGGAATTGGAAGTTCTGATGATGCAGAATAGAAAATTCTGCGCTGAAATCGCGCACGCAGTTAGCAGTAAAAAACGAAAAACAATTGTAGAACGCGCTCAACAACTTTCAATCCGCGTTACGAATCCAAACGCTCGTTTACGTTCCGAGGAGAACGAATAAATATTTGCTTTTTTACAAATATAATTATAATTAAAAAAAAAAATATACGTTTTCTTTTCTTACAGAAATCCTTTACATATTGTATGCGTCGTTTATTAAATGGTAGATAATTTTTAAATACTTTTGATTAATAGAAAATATGCAAATTTATAATTAGCAAAAATTTCAATTTAATTTTTTCATTTCTATTATAGTAATTTTAAAATAATCTGGAAATTTTATTATTTATAAACGTTTGTTTAGTTTATATTATTAATTTTTTTGCATTAAAAATAAATAAGCTACATTTATTTTTTAAGTGAAAGAAAATTTAAATTACCCGCCAAATGGTTATTTAAAAATCAGAGATACCAACGTAACTTAATAAGAAATCATTGTTACCAATCTCAAATGTCAATCTCTGATTTTCAGAGTTTTTGTTTTCAGTTGAGTTAGTTATTTGACGTGACTTTGAAATTTTGCTAAAAATTCAATAAAAATATGGATGAAAAACCACTCAATCAACGGTCAACAGAAAATTCAGGTTTTTATTCTTCCTCAGGACTTTAATACACATTTTCTTAAAGGCAATTAGTAATCTTTATTTTATTACAGAAATCAATCAAGATGAACTCATTTTACAGCAACAGAGACGTATCGAAAAAGAGGTTAGTGGCTCTTATAAAAAAAAACGTATATATAATTTTTCTCACCATTAATTTTAATCATTAAAAAATCAATTATTGTAGATAAAAATGTGTCTGAAAAAATTAATCCATTTTTTATAGGTTAAAATTAATTTTGCGTATGTCATAATTTTCGGTTGAATATATTTTTATTCCCTTTAGAATTATTTTCAAATTTAATCATTGTGTCAATAAATATGAAGTTGATAATTTTTTTTTTTATTTTTAATATTTGGATATTTAAAGAAATTTATTTTTGTCATTTGACAGATTTCGGAAACAATAGCGCTTGTCGGTGAAAAAGAATCTTTAAAGGCACTTGAAAGTGAATACGCTGAAGATGAAGTTTATCTGTCAAAAGCAAAGATTTTGGGTGAAAAATATTCATATTTTCGAAGAACGAGGCCAGATGGGAATTGTTTCTTTCGGGCGTTTAGTTATGCTTATCTTGAGAGGTTGATTAGCAATAAAGAGGAGTATGAAAAATTTAGAGAACTTGCATTAAACAGTAAAGATAATCTAGTGTCTTTAGGATTTCCTCAATTTACTGTTGAAGATTTTCACGATACGGTGAGTAATTATTTTACATTTCTTAAAAGTAACGGAAAATAAAAAAAAAAAAATAAACTACATCCTGTAGAAACAAAACCTTTTTCTTTATAAAACTTTTGTTATCTAGCTCAAATTCTTCAAATAAATAACGATATTTTTTTTTTAAATGGAAAATTTTAATTGTTACAGTTTATGGAAGTAATTGATAGAGTTGGAGGAGGTACCGAAGCAAGTTACGAAGAATTGCATAAACTCTTTAATGAACAAGGTCATTCAGATTATGTTGTCGTTTACCTTAGGTTAATAACATCTGGTCATTTACAACGAGAGGGTGAATTTTTTCAAAATTTCATCGAGGGAGATCGTACCGTTAAGGATTTTTGTCATCAGGTGAGTTTCAATTTTCTTTCTCTATATTAAATTTTTCTTAAAATTCTAAAAAAAATGGGAAAACGTTGACGTAACGAAAATTATATTTAATAGAAAAAATTCACTTTTAGGAGGTAGAACCAATGTTTAAAGAATCAGATCATATTCATATAATTGCAATGAGTACGGCACTTGGTACGGGAGTACGAGTTAAATATATGGATAGAGGTGCAGAAAAAGAAGTAATAGCTCATGATTTTCCCGAAAATGCCACACCATCAGTTCATTTACTTTATCGTCCAGGTCATTATGATATTCTTTATCCCTGATGATTCTTGGTCTACTTATTATTTCATTATTATATGAATTGGACAATTGTGTATCTCCTATTTTTAATTATACAAAAGAAAATACCTCAAGCGTGTTTAAACTTCTGATACGTAAAGAGAAAATTCTAGGAATTTTTGAAATTTTAAATGAATAGAAGGTGTATGGATCCCAAAGTGCTGTTTACTTCCGGCAACACTATTGCCTGGAAGTTTCTTTTCTTTTTTTATTTCTTTTTCTTCATGTGAAAAAAAACACAAGACTTTTTTTTTTTGATTTTGCTTGTGATGTGTCTAATTTTTTCCTCCATTTCTTTTGCATAAAAATAGATTATAATCTTAACTTTATAAATATAATAGAAATAGAGAAAAGAAAATGTTTGTTTTGCTGTTAAAAAAAAAAAAAAAAGAAATATTATTTTGTGTGATAAGTGCGATAAGTAATTCTGAATGAAAGTGAAATACTTATGAATATACACATCTCTGAATACTGTCATTTTTGTAATTTCGCGTGAGAAGTTCGATCCTAAATTTATGATTACAATAATTGTACTTTGGAAAAAAAAAACATTTTTTTATTGAGCGTGTCTATTATCAAATAAAAATACTTGCCAATTATATTGTGTTTAATTTCATAAATAATTTTATTAAAATAAAAATGTGTGAATTTCTAAAATAGAAATATTGAACTTCTCATGCATATGATTAAAAAATTTTTTCTCAGTGACATTATGAAATGAAAAATTTTTTTTTTCACTTAGCTAAACATATTTTATTAGTTTTTTAAATGAAGAATGGAAAAATTAATAATAACAGATCATGTAAAATGGAGTATAAATACTGCATTAACTAACGTCAATAAATGGCAAATTATACACGTATAATTTGCAAATTTTATTTCTGTCATATATTTTTTCTACAAAATATCTTTTAAAAAATAATAAATGTAAAATATTTGAGATTTTTACACATTAAAAATATTTTAAATGTGCCCGCGCTTTTTTGTAAAATCAGGTGACTTCTATTACACATGCGCAGTTGGGTTTTGTAAGAGCAGTTGGCAACCATGCTTATTGACAACAATAAGCAGAAGACAAGTTCAAACGAAAACCCACGTTTATTTACTGAAAGCGGCTAAAGAATTCGATTAACAAAGAAGAAATTTATAAAGAAATAAAAGAAAACAATTAAATTGCTTTTGATTGTTCAATTGAAAACAAGAAAGAAATCGAACAGGGGAAAAAAAGAAAATGCAGGAATATTGGCATCAAGGTCACTCATTAATAACAAGGAAGTGAAAAAAAAAACTCTCGTTCATTGATACAATATAATAAACTCAAAGATAAAATGGGATTTGCGATAAATTCATCAGATGACAATGAATCAGAAATCGAGGCGAATTTACCCATATCAAATATAAAACCAACAAACATTACAAATTTCACAAACGAAGAAACGATTATTCATTATTCTCAGTTATTTTCTAATATTAATATTCCTGAAGCACTAATAAATGATATTGAGACAAAAGAAAATGAAATGAATCAAAAAGACCCATTAGATGTTGAAAATAATATTCAAGAGAGCATTAATAAGGAATTGTTTCAATTCAACAATAATGAAGAGGCACTTGAATTTACAATTCCTCCACTTGTTGATATTAGTTCACCAGAGAAAGAAATTCCAAAAGCTCCTAATCTCATTCCAATTTCGGCTCTCAAAAAAAAGCCGTCATTGAGTTTACTTTTTAGAAATTATCCAGATGATTTGAATTATTCGGATAGCGAAAATAAGGATTCATCGTTACCTAAACTATTTTTAAGACCCGGTTATATGAATACAGAAAATGAGACAATCAATTCGGATGTTGCTACAATAGATAGTGATTCATTCTACAAAATCGAAAATTTTTTAAGTTTTTCTAATCCCACAGAAGCTGAGAATAATAATACTTTTGTAAGTTGTATTTCTTTATCTAATTTCGTTAATTGTTTATTCTTAAATATATTTAGTAATTATAAAAACTTGTTCAATATTTTGTTTCAGGTCAGTTCTTCGTCAATGCAAAATAATTATTTACCATTAATGAGTCCGACAAATTTCGAAACATACATAGACGATCAACAAAATACAAATTTACAATGTGAAAATTTAACAACTATTTCCTTAGCTGAACCAACGATTTTAAATTTAACATCAAAACCTCTAGACTTGACTCCCGTTACATTTGAAAATAATAATATCACTTTCATTAATGCATATGATGGAAAAAAAAAATTTAAATGCACTTCTTGTCCATTTGAAACAAATAATCAACCTGAACTTAATTGGCATCTAATTTTAACACATTCCAATGAATCTGAAAATGATATTGAAATGGTGTATGAAAAAATAAACAATACGGAAAAAATAATCGAACCATTTGATATGACACAAACTAAACATATTCCGGAAATTATTATTGAAGAGAATTTAGTTTCTGAGATTTCTAATTTTCCAATAAATGAAGAAGTGGGAAAATTTGGTCCTTATGGAAATCCCGATAAAATTTACTATGTATGCACAATTTGCAAATATCGACGAGAATTTAGAACAATGTATAAACAAACAATGAGACAACATCTTTACAGAGAATTAAGATATTTCAGGTAAGAACATTGACAACCGAAACTGATTAGTAATTAGTTTTATTAATTTTTTTTTATTTATTTCAGATATCAATGTCATGGTTGTGAATATAAATCACTCAACAAGCTGTCTATGAAACTTCATTGCAAAAGAACGAATAAAATACACAATGGTCAAATTGCAAAATTCTCACCTTTACCAATAAACAATGAGATCGAGAAATGGGTTTCCATGGCATTGAAGTGTCAAACGGATAAAATTAAAAACTACGTAGACTCCTTACCTGAAAATTTAAATGAATTGAAAAAATCTTCAAACATTTCTAAATCGCCAATTAAACATTCACAAAATTCCTCATTGATTAATATTGATTCAGAGGTCATTGACATCAGTGATGACAATTGTAAGTAGCAATAATATTAATTTTGTATTAAATTAAATTATAAGCATTAATATTTTCACTGTATTAAAAATATGTTTAGATAAAAAAAAAAAATTTTGCACTTATTTTTCAGATGATAAAATAGATTATGTTTTTAAATGTAAATATTGTTGGTTGGAATTTCAAAGCGAAAATGAAGTCATATTACATGTGACGGAGCAACACTTGAAGAAATAACACCTAAAAATGTAAGTATCATGTATTTAAGAATTTTCAAAAAAAGTTTTCTTATATATTTTTGTAATCCATTATTATTAGGAAAAACTAATTGTTCTGCAAATGTTTCATTTATTAAGTATAAAAAGTGTTAATTCCTTTTTAAAAGAGATTTTATGTAACTAAATCAAATTTAGTTGATTTTTTTTTCTCAATAAAGATGTAAAATTTCTTTGAAATTATCAAATCTATTTCAACTGATAACTTCCACGGCAAATGCGCAAGTGCGTTTTTTAAGAAATGTTGGTAACCATGCTTATGGACAACAATAAGTAAAAGACAAATTCATCAAAACTCGAAAACAATAAAAAAAAATCAAAGAATAAAAATGAAGGAAAATAGTTCTTGTGAAAATTAATTTTCTACAGAAAGAAAATTTAAAAGCCAAATACCAAATAATGTAAGAAATATTTTTTTTATTAAGCTTGAACGATACAAATTGTTCGATTATCAATTAAAATTTATTAAAACGTGTGTAAAAGCTGTAAAGAATGTGACGAAAATGTGAAATGCGAAAAATTTAATGCGGTTTTTAATACAAAAATCTCGTTAGCCTTTTAAAGATGATAGTCCTGCTCTCATTATTTCATCCACAAGGAGGAGATTGCTGGCAATAACAGTACTAAAAAAAAAGAGGAAAATTTATATCATAATAAAATTAATATATTATTTTGTTGAAAAAAACATCGAATTTTAAAAATATTTAAATTCGCATCTTACCAGGAATTAACGATTTGTTTTTTAACGATATAATTATCGTAGATTCCAGCATCCGCGGGTTTCAGTGCCTCCCCTGACGAAAGATCTAAACCAACAGCTTCACCTAGAACCTTTGACTCTTCAAGAAGTTTTACAATACTGTCTTGAGCATCAAATCCACTATTCACGGCTATAAACAAAAAAACAAAAACAAAATTAAATTATAAAAATAATATATTATTTAAGTAATCTTATATATAATTGATCAGAAAAACTCACCAAGTATTTTAGGAATAATAAGCAAAGCATCGGCGTAAGCTTGAACACCCAATCTCTGTTTGCCTTTGACTTCATCTTTGAATTGATGCAAAGTTCGACTTGCAGCAATTTCAAATGCTCCCGCACCCGGTATCACTGCCCGATCATCGATTGCATTTTTGATTGCTCTCAAACCATCACGAACTGCGTCTTTTAATTGAATCAATGTGTACTTATTCGGTCCCTATTTGAATCACAAAAACATTTATAAATATACATTTTTTAAAATTAATTCTTATTAGACAATATTATTTACTTTTAATAAAACAGTGACTGAAGTTGGTTTCTTGCATTCTTCAACGAACGTATATTTAGTTTCTCCCTGAAAAAAAGAAAATTTTATTATTCAATACTGAATACTATTAATATTTATGATTATTAAAAATGAAAAACTAACCAAAACGTGTTCGTAGACAAGTCCAGCCCAACCGAGATGTTCTTCCGCTAAATCATCAACGGAATTCATTGCAACACCACCGCAAGCAAGAGCTAAACGTTCCATATTTCTACGCTTGGCACGACGTAATGCCACAATATTTTCCTTGGCAAACATATCCAATGATGGTGGATCAATACCCTTTTGATTAATAATCACAAATGATTTATCAGTTCCATTACAAAGTTTTCTCTTCAGTTCAATGATTTTTTTCACTCGATTATCGATAAATTCACGTTCAGCTGCCACGAGTTTTTCACGTTCAGCAGCCGATTTGTAGAAGAAACCACTGTTTACCTATGAAAAAGAAATATTTTCACAAAATTAATTTTCTTCAAATTATCATTTTCATTCTAAATTATGAAAAATTTACCTCGCTTTTCTCATATTCTAAACTGACATTGCAAGTCAATATATAAGCATTTTCAACTTTTTTTGGCATATCCGGATGTCTGGCACCATGATCCATAACAATTCCCCTCACAAGAGTTGTATCAGATGCTGTTCTATGTTGCATCTCCATAATTTCAACCATATGCAAATCAATTTGATCATTTGGTTGTTTAATAGCTAAAACAGCATCAACACAAATTTCCGTCAATTTATCAGCAATAGTTGGATGAATTTTAGTTCTCAGTGAAGTTCTAGCGACGTCCATTAAAAGATCACGTGAAGGTTCGCCGGCAATTTTCAATGAATCAAGAATTTGAAGAGTTTTTACTCTTGCCAAATCGAAACCTTCGGTTAAGACACGAGGATGCAATCCCTCGGCAATATAAAGTTCGGCTTGTTTTAATAGTTCAGCAATTAATAGAACTGTGCTGGTGGTACCATCTCCTGTCATATCATCTTGTGCCGTTGATGCACGAGCAATTAAAGAAGCAGTTGGATGTTGAATTTGCATCTCTTGCAGAAGAACATTGCCGTCCTTGGTAATTTTAATATCACCTGCTCCCGAAACTAACCTATTGAAAGAATTAAAATTGTTTTTCATTTATATACAATTGAGAACATTGTCTACTCCTTAGAAATTGTCCTTTATTCACAAGATTGTAAAATTTTTAAGATTACCATAAAAGGAGATTTTACTGAGAACAAGCCGGGGGGAGGGAGAGAGATGACAATAGTCAAGCACATGTTAATCAATGATTCAAAGGGCTAATAATTTTCAAATAAAATCAAATTGAATTACTCATAATATTAAAATAACAAAATACTTACATTTTCATTGTTCCTTTAGGCCCTAAATTAGTTTTCATTACATCTTGAATACCTTTTCCAGCCGAAACATTAATTGCCAGAGCTTGAGCAGCTCTTGCAAATTCAGCTTTGGGATTTAATAAACTGATAGCTGACATTTTTGTTCAATGAGCTTTGATAGAAACAGAAAAAAGGAGATTATCGATTTATTACAATACAAAATGCTTCCTTGATATGAAATAAATTAAGAAAAAGGAGAATAAACAATCGACGAGAGAAAAATTAACTCACATGGACGTCGTTTATGTCGTTAAGTCGAATTCACAAGCTGTCAATTGTTTAACTTTTATACACATGTGAAATGAATTTTAATTGGTTGGACAACTTTTGGTCTTATTAAAAGTAACCAATCAAAAGTATTTTTATTGTATGTAGCTTAAGGGAAAAGTTTGAAATATTTCCGCACGTGAGAATTTTTGACATTTTCATATACAATATTTTGAGGTTAGATGTAAAAAATTTTTGTGTTATATATACAAAAAAACGTGATTAAAATATATCCAGCATAAATACCGGATAATGACACTTGCCCTGCGATCTTTCCTTTTATTAAGGAAATTAAATCAACATTTACCATCAATAATTAATACAACAAATTACACAAATTTTCATTTACATACAACTCCAAGTAAGTAGTCAGGTATTTTCTTTTAAAAATAAATACGGCGCGAAAAAAATTTCCACTTTCGTTTTCTTTTTTCTGAAGAAATTGTTAATTTTTTGATTTATATTTATTTTTAAGGGTACTGTCATGGAGAATTTGAAATGCAGGATCCTAAATCAGAGGATGAAGTGTGGGTAAACTTATTTCTTATTTATTTTATTATTATATTAATTTTATTAAATACTTTGATTTTTTTGCATTTAGAAGTATTTAGATTAATTTTAATAATAAAATAAACGTGGGTAACTAATGTCTATATTTAGTTGAATATTTGATAATGTAAAATTTATTTTCAGGGTTAACGTAACATTTATAGATAAAACAGGCAAAAAAGTACCAATTCGAGGAAAAATTGGTGATAATGTTTTATATCTAGCTCATAGGCATGAGATAGAAATGGAAGGAGCTTGTGAAGCTTCTTTAGCTTGTACAACGTGTCACGTGTACGTTAATCATGATTATTTAGATAAACTTCCACCAGCAAAGGAAGAGGAAGATGATCTGTTGGATATAGCTCCATTTTTAAAAGAAAATTCAAGATTAGGTAATATTTTCTCTCTATTAAAAAAAAAAAAAAGTTACGATTATTTAAATAATAAATATAAAATATATTTTATTTAGGATGTCAAATAATTTTAACCAAGGAATTAGATGGTTTAGAATTGGAATTGCCTCAAGCGACTAGAAATTTTTATGTTGATGGACACACACCAACTCCACATTAAGTGATAATAATACTGAGACGTTACAAATAAATAATTGTACATAAATATTGTTCATAAGAATACAATTATTAACAATAAGAATATTGTATCATTCACAAGGTAAGTTTTCACAAAGAAAATTATTTTAAAAATTCTATAATTTTATAAACTATAATAATTAATAGGAAAGGGAAATAAAAAAAAAAAAAGTATCCACATTTTAAAGGAATAGACATATTTTTATTTTCCTCTTAAAATGATTCATCATTTTGAAATTGTGTTTAAAGAAGGTATACTGTATATACTGGAAAAAGAAAACAAATTTCAAGTTTTTCAAGCAGAGACTCTTGTGTACATAGCAAATTTTCTGATTTCACATAATGTCTTAATATATTTATTTTTTTTTTTCATACATCAGGATTATGGTACATATTTTTTTTTTTTTAATTACAATGATACAAGTTTTTAGACATTTATGATATAATGTACTTTGTGGATTAAAATTTTACTCGTCATTCTTGCAAAAGCGTCCCATTTGCTTTGCAAGTAGAGAATAATAACGAGTTTCTAATCTTTTTTTTTTATTTATTTGTTTCTTTGTTTATTTATTTGGGCCTTCCCTGTTAAATTCCTGCCAAATAAAACATTGAAAATTGTGTAGAATTTTGGCAGGTGAATTTACTTCCCAAATATCGGGACTTTTCGTTTTTTAAGGGAAGATTTATTTATTTTTTTGTTTCTTCGTGTAATATTATTATTTTATACATGTATTATTTAATTGTGTGTCAATAATTATTATCGTCGTCAAAATTATTTTTTTTTTTGTTTTAATCGTCACGGTTTTTTTTTTTGCATGCACTATAATATTTATATATATATATATATAATTTCCGTGTCGATCAAAATATAATTATAGACACATTGCATTTTTTTTTTTAATTCACATTCACTCTCGACTCACAAACATTCTTGAATCGAAGCAACTTAAATTAATTTACAATCATCCATCCAGAATCATTCTCTCATCGCATATACTCGCAGTGCTGCACCTTTCAAGTTGATTACTTGCGTATTCTCATTTGGTAAGAGACATCACAACTGCGTTATTGGGAAAATAGTTTTGTTTGTTTATTTTATTTTTTGTACTTGTTTGTTCGTAACTAAAGATGTCAACAATTATTATTATGGTACATTCATCATGTACACCAAGCGTGTGCTATTTTGCGTGCCAATGCAATACTTGAAAACAAAACCTTCTGGTAAAGCGACTACCATCGACATATCTAAACTAAATATTAGTTATGGCAGTAAATAATATTTATTTACATGATCCCGTACACAAATGCCAAATTCGAAATTATTTTAATCAGGATCTATTATTATTATTATAATTTAGAAAACGAAAATTCGATGATAGATCTCGAAATTGGCTCTAGTCGGGGTAATCGATTTTTATATTTCAATTTCCCCGACCAGGGCGAAAGAATAATTTTTATTTTTATAAAAAAAAAAACGCTTTTCGACGGAATAATGAAATTTTATATTTTGTCATGATACGCATCGTGTCATATCGACAATCAGTCAAAATTATACAATCAATGGCATAGAGAAGAAGAGAAACGTAATTTTAATATTATATACTTGTCGTTGAGAGCAACCTGAGTTTAAGTTGAGAAAAAAAGGAAAAACCGAATTGCATTCATGATTTGCAATCGCTCTTATCAAAGTTAATACTTATTAAATTAGTCAATCGCTTCAAACATTTTTTTCTTCCCCCTTATGAAACGAGACTTGATTCATTTCTCAGTGAACTTTTTCATTAACACTGTGCACACGAGTGTACAAAATAATTTTTTTTTTTTTTTATATATATATATCTCTATATACGTGCTATCCTAATTGCAAAAGACGAGCAGTATTCCCTTCTGAGCCCGTAAGAGGATACTGGCGTCTTTTGAAAAATACAAAACTGTAAAAAAGTCAATACAAAAATTGAATACACTAATATTCATCTAAAAAAGCCTTTTTTTCTTTTGCATCAACACTCGAGAATTCCTTCCACTCGTTAATGCTCTAAAGTTAATGTAAGTATGACTTGCACCGCTGCACAACCAATGAAAGCAAAGTGCGCTCGCTTCATTTTTTTCTGATTTTCTTTTTTTTTAATTAACAATTGCAAATCAACAGTCGAGAAACAATTTGTGTCTTTCTTTGGTCGCACATTTAGTTTTTTTTTCCAAACATTCCTTCATTGTGAATTTAGAATATTATTATACTAATTCAAAAATAATTTCCATCAAAAAAATGAGGATTAATTCAATTCCAAAAAAAAGCATTGGAGTTTTTTTTTTCCATTACATTGTGATCACAATTCTTTTGAAAACATTTCTTTAAAAAAATGTTTTACAATAATATTCTTTTCGCGAAAAGTTTGTACAGTAAAAATAGTAAACTTTATATATTTGAATTGTATTTAAATTAATTGATTATTATTTTTAAAATTTACAATTTTGTATTAAATGTAAAATGTAAATTTACAAAATTTACAATTTAGATAGACAGTTTATAATATAATACAGCAAAATTTATAAACAATTGCAAAATAAAAAATATCTAAATTTTAATTTAATTTCTACTAAAAGAAAAAAGCTCAGGCTTTATTTTTATTTTTGTCAAGCATTTTGAAGTGAATTTTTGAGACTGTGATGTGAATATATTATAAATATTGAATTGTGGTCACAGTTTTAGAATCTACAGCTCGGTGACGTTTTTTTTTTTATTTAAGTGCATTTCACGCGTGAAATTTTTGTTTTTTTTTAAATTATCTAACTATAAAATAAGAATACAAAGATGGCGAAACTTCAGCCTTGAGTTCTTCTGTAGGCTAAAGCGAAAAATCTTATTAGTAGACTAGAAACGTACAGCAGAACCTAGCCCATTTATCTAGGAAATAAAAAAGTCTTGAGAGCGAAATAATTTGTTATTTAAAATAGAACACAGAAAAAATTTTCTCCATTATTTCAATATCGCGCCAAAAAAAAAAAAAAACTAAACTTAACGGATTCATAAGACAAAACTTAAAAACAATGTTAAATTCTTTCATTAAAACTTATTTTTTAACTATTTAGTTGAAAATATATCTTTTAAAAACTATTTGATTTAATTTTATTAGACATTTTAATTTAAAATCAAAAAAAAAAAAAATGTTAAATTAAAATTTTATTTTACAAATTAAAATTCACGTGATAAAAATTAGTCATAAAACAATTGTTATCTGTTTTTTAAAAAGACTTTTTTAACTAAAAAATAAACAAAAATTAATTTTTGTTATAAAAACCTTAAAAGTTTTCAGCTCAAAATGACTTTGATCTAAAGAAAGCAATTGAAATTTAAAAATGGGAAATGGTTGTCAGTTAAGCCATCTGTTTATCAATATTTGCAACTCGTATTTTAAACGTTAATACTGTACATTACGACGGAAAACAATTCCAATTACGCGATTTAGTCTAAATTAAAATTCGTTGCAAAAATATTTTGGCACTGCAGCTCCAATCCTTTGATTTTATACAAGCAGTACTCATTACTATCCAAGTTTACTAGGATTAATGTGTACACAAGGTAAACGAAGACTTATTTATAAAAAAAAAAAATGAAAAAAAAATCGCATATTATAAAATGCTTGTGCTTTGAGAAATAATCGATTGTCAAAAAATGTGAAAATTCGCAAAAAGGAAGTACTTCTCGGTAGAGTAATGCCTCAAAAACAAAAAAAATTGTCCTATATATGAAACAAAGTCTCGTCGAAAATTGTTACATACTTAAAAAAACTAAATAATAGAAAAAAAACGAATCGAGACTTTGTTTCGGCACTTTTCTTAATTTTTTTTTTTTTTTTTCATCATCGCAAAATTTCCGCGCAATAACTTGAGGCAGTGCTCTTGATTAATAATAATAAAGAGTAAGTGCATTATATGTCAGTTCGGTCTGCTCGTTTAGCTCTTTGACCACGTTAATGAAACCTAATATTTCTAATGACGAGAGACTAACTAAGCAAGCAGATCAAGTTTCAAGAAAATTCTCACGAAATATTTTCTTTTTTTTCCATTTTCGAGAAAAATCATTGAATAATGATATTTATATAAAAGAAAAAAAAAACTTTGGAAAACAACAAAATCAACTTCTTGATTTACTTTCACAGCAGTGATCGAATCAAGACAAAAATGCAATTTAAAAAAATCACAGTTATTTTAAAAAAAAAAATACGAATCATTACAAAAACGATCAACGTTAAGAATAAAATTTTTACAAGAAAAAAAACTTAACTTGTTACTTTCCTTGAGTTTTTCTCCTTTGATTCGAACACTGCTAGCATTTTCATAATACTAACGAATCAAGTATTATTATATACTCGAGGAGGATGGGGATTTTTTTTTTCCTTTGCGTCTCTTTCATCAAGTACATCGACGTAAGCTAACAAATGACACAAAACTTATGGAACATTTAAATTTTGTGAAAAAAGAATTAAATGCGTTCGCGGGTTGTGCTTTCAGGGAGGGGTTCTTTTATCTCTTTTTTGCAAAAAAAAAAATAAAAAATAAAATAATTATAAGTCACCTTTTTAGTGATGACGTTGATGAATAAGCCTGCCCCTTTGGTATCTCTGACATCGTCCCAAATTTAAATCATGACATTCGTAGACATTTGCTACGGTTGTACGCGATGAATTATAACGCGATGATTCAACTAAAAACGGTCCAGAGATATCAAAGGGCTCCTCCAGTTATTCCATTGGATGATGACGACCGCCACAAATTCCACAGGACATTCCACACCAATGTACAGCTCTTAATGGAGGATAAATCCATAAGCAAGGAACAATCAACGAAAGTAAAGCTAAGCCGAGCCATCGGCGTCCACATCCTTCTTCCGTGCTACAACTAAAGATTTTGTTTTTTTTATTTAATACGTTCACATTTAAATACAAGTATTTAATTAATTTGAAACATTCTTGTAAACTTTTTTTTTTATAAGTTTAACATTTGAAATGAAATTTCTTAAAGACATAATTAGAATGAAAAGAAGAGAAGCCTAATTAACGAAGTGATAAAAGATGATTAAGACCCATTAACAGTTGAATTCTCGAGTAATTTTAAAGACAAAAAAAAAAAGTTTCTCCAATTAGAATTGTACAAAAAGAAAATTCTGTCACATATTTTTATTTTAGTCAGAAAATTATTATTTTTCTTCTAATAAATAGAAGAAGTTTTTTACATACCTGCACGGATTTTGGGCAAAATCACCTTCGGCGTCACTCATACAATGATAGAGCATACATTGTGCACAGGAAAGACAGGATACGGAAGAAATTCCACGTCTAATTGGATCTGGTGCATATTCACATGATCCACGTGGATTATGTTGTTCCGAATATAATTCTTGGCAATGTTTACATCGAAAGCGAATATTACGTTTTGCCGTATTTTTCGTAGGTTGCGAAACAATAATATCGGGCTTCTTCAATGAACTCGTTGAATTACGTCGATCGAGTCGATCTGTTTTATGATCATCAATCACAGGATATAAATATTCATGATTTAATGTCGTTAACTGTACGTATGGATAATTATCAGACGTTGTATCGGCCGCTGACTCTAAAGGATGATGTGATAGTGGCACTTTCATTGATGTTTCACTAATATAAGGTATAGATCGATGCGATTCTGATAAATCTGAACAATGTGATTGATAATTTGTCCTTCTTACTATTCCACATGTGTCTGATGTTTGCCTTTGATCGGTGGGATCAACTGGTAGATTAAGTGTCTGAAAAATTTACAATTGTTAAAAATTTATTTTTAAAAAATGTAATTTTTTTTTTTTGAATATTTTATTTACCATAAAAACATCATCCTCCGCAACGCCTGTTAGATCATCATTTAATGTCGTTTCAGCAAGACCTGTTAAATAATGTTAATTTATTACTATATTCAATGAAGAATGGAAATGTTGAATTTTCTTCGTGAGAGGCAAAAAAATAACAATTATAATTTATTAAAAACACATTTTCATTTCTGACAAACTTACCAGGTACATTTCCAAATTGAAAATGTCGCAATGAACAGTGTAGAAAAAAAAGATTTACTCTAATTATCGTAATTTGAAATAATTATTAAATATTTTAAATTCGTAAGAATAGAAATTAAAGAAAGAATCTTGATTATTGAAACCAAATGTACTAACCTTCTAAAAGTTCTTCAACTGCAGTACGTACTCCTTTATCAAAAGCACGTGCATCTGCAGCAGTTTGAAATGTCAGTCCAAATTTCTTCTCTCCTGTACGCCAATGATGAAATGTAGGCATGACTTTGTTATATTCAAAATCTTTCTTTATAGTACAGCTAAGAACCACCTGAAAATTTATATATAAAAATTGAATTAAATACAAAATTATAGACTATTTATTAGAATAATGAAAAATATAAATATATATAGCTCACCGACTGATCTGTAATTCGTTTTCCAAATATGAGGTATTCGTGTTTTCTTTTCGGTGCACCAGGTGGTGAGGCACCAGACGATGCATGACCCTGGCTATTGGTGTTCGTATTTGTTGTTGTTTGCGTAGAATTAGTTGTTGAAGGTGTTGAGGTGATAGTAGTTGTTGATATACTGGTGCCATTTGTTGTATTTAATTGATGTCCACCACCAGGAATAAGTCTTCGTCTCACTGAAACATTTGCCAAACCTCCACCGCCCAAGGGTACCCAACCTCCGGAACTGTCATCCCGTGTCATTACCTGTGCCCGTACCCTCACCAAATAATTACCACTGAAACAAAAATTCAAATTTAGTCTTTTTTTACAAATATCTAATTTTTTTTTATTTATCGATATTAAGAGAAATTTGAGAATATACTTAAAAATGATAACAATATATTTTATTAGATACGATTTCACTCAAGAAAATATTTTTTAATCACACAAAATTAACATTTTTAAAGTTTAAATTTAAATTCAAAATTCTTTTTCTTTTTTAAAGCCAAACTAAGCGTTTTGGAAGCAAACGGAAATACATTTCAGTGGAAATATTAAAAATAGAAAACGTATTCTTAAAACAATTTTACAAAATAACGTATTCTCAATCAAAATAGAATTCGATAATTCTTTTCCCTTAAAGTTAATCGCATAGATAAAAATCACAATAATAATTAACTTCGTATATTTATATTTTAAATATCTTTTTATATTATTTAATTCCATTACTTTTTGTATGTCTGATTTTAATAAAAAACAAAATTCAATAATAAAAAACGCTAATTATAAATCACTTTGAATTAAATACTAAAAAATTGTTTTTCATAACCTATACGCAAATGAAGGCTGACAACTTTTTTTTTTTATATAAAAATGGATCGATTTTACTGCTTAAAATTATCTGAACAAAATTGACAATTAAACGTCAAAACATACAGTGCTGTCAATTCAATCGACTGTCATTCTTTAGGAACATCATTATTCAAAAACTAACAATTGTTTTCATAATATAATTTTGACAGTTTCTGCTAAACATTGAAAATTGTCATTTGACGTTTCCGAAAGTACCAAACAAGGCTCGTTTCGTGGGAGTCATAAGAAGGGCGTTGAATCACTAGAATAATTCCTAAAATGAAAGGGAGGACACAGGTACACGATGACATATGATACACGCCATAGATAATAGATGATAGCATTCATGTGCTCATCTGCTTGAATGAGAAGGAGAAAAAGCGTGACACATGTTAATATTGTCACAATTGGCAAAATTGTCAACTCTAGAAAATTATTAAACAAAAATGTAAATTGAAAATCTCGCGAATTATGATGAGGGTGAATTGGTTGAACTCGAACATGGAGAGTTACGGCTGCTTTTCCAATAAAATCTAAAATGGAGGAGACGCAGCGGAAACCTAGAGATCGCCCAAGGATATTGAATTTTATGGATTCATTTTCTTTGTTTTTTTTTTCTTTTACTTACTCCTCCGACGCCTCTGTCATGGTCCGAGTTATCCAAGTTCTTACACTTTTTCACACACTTCACCATTTTCGTTACATTGAGACATTCGCAGCTATAGTTCTCGACACTTCACTCTTTCTTTTGACCAACTACAGGAAGAAACCCACCGCACCCCCGCACCACACAGCAAAACTATGAACAACGCTAACGAAGCCCCGCGAATTTCATTTTTAAAATTCCTAGAAATGAAGTATTGCTGTCACATCACTCAAAAGAAGTTGTAGAATAAAGTTACATTTAAAAGGGAGAATGAAAGGAGTTAATCAAAAAGAATGAAATTGGTGGTAATAATTGATAGCAAAGGATCACTCTAAAAATGCCCAATTTTTTGATGTGATAACATTTCACTTCACAGTCATGTTTGAAAAGATAGTCTATCTATTTCCATCTATAACTCACAAAACTATAAATGATTTTTTATCACGATTTTTTGTGTTATTCTATTACTTTATATGTCTAAACTAAATGCTCTACACATTTTTTTTTAACAATGAAATGTTAAATTTCTAAATTACCAACAGGTTACTGTTGGTAAAAAAGTTTAATGTTTCTAAAAGTCACCGCAAGGTGCAAATCGTATTAAGGCCTAAGCAGAATAAATTCTTGAACGGGAAGGCAAACGTAAACGGAAACGTAAGAATGTGTAAGAGAAGGATAGCAAATATCTTTATTCTTCTCTCACTCATTCTTACGTTTCCGTTCACGATTGCGTTCCCGTTCAAGAATCTATTCTGCTTAGGCCTTTATGACGTCATATATTTAAAATAGATGGCGCTATTTTTATCAATTCCAATTGGTTAGAAAAGGTTATATTTGAAACTTACCTTACCTGACATTGCGCAAACGAAGCAAGTGTCAAATGAGGTTAGTTTCTTTTTCTTTTCACGTTCGGCCGCCATCGTTGCTGTTTTGGCAACGAGGATATTTCTTTTATATTCCATAAATTTATAAGGAATCCTTTTGATTTTCCTTAAGCAAAATGGTGCAAAAGAAGGTGAGTTTTATCCAGTTTCTTAAAAATAGTATATTTGTTGTACACTGTTCATTTGTCGAGTACATGTCTTACTTCAAAATCTGGCATGTTACTTGTCATAACTATTTTGTGTCATGAAATTTTTTGTTATTTTTACTAATTTCTTGAAAATGGGTAACAAATAAAATATTCGCATTTTGTTTTCATTATTAATTATTTGCATTTTTCAATAGTTTATCGTTTAAGGGTTAATTCAACTTTACAATAAACTTAACCTCAAATTTTGTTTTCTATCAAAAGGGAAAAAAGAAAGGAAATTAATAAAAAAAAATGTAATACTTTAATAAAACAAAAGGGATAATAAATACACGAGGGTGATAATTATGTTTGCTATTGTAAAGTTTTTAAAAGACCTATGAATAATATTTTATTTTTATAATGATTAATTATTAAACAATTAAGAAGTAATCTAGAATTTTCTTGAATATTCACTTCTTTTTTTTTAACATAAGTTTTAAGAATCATATTTCAATTTAATTTATTTTTCTTTTGCCCTCTTAGCCGAAGAAGAAGGTAGGAAAGAAGGTCGCAGCTGCTCCTTTAGCTGTGAAAAAAGTTGAACAGAAAAAACAAACTAATCCTTTGTTTGAAAAAAGAACCAGAAATTTCGGAATTGGTATGTTTGTAAATTATCTTTAATAATTTGTGGGAAAAAAACTCATTTTTTTATTAATAACAGTAAAATACTACTTTTTAATCAAATATTGTTTAATTTTTTAGGTCAAGATATTCAACCATCGCGTGATTTAAGCAGATTCGTTAAATGGCCAAAATATATTAGAATTCAAAGACAAAAATCAGTCTTGGCTAAAAGATTGAAGGTACCACCTCCAATTAATCAATTTACTCAGACACTCGACAAACAAACAGCGACGCAGTTATTTAAAATCTTAGAGAAATATAGGCCAGAATCAGCTGCAGCTAAAAAACAACGACTAAAAGCTCGCGCTGAAGAGAAGGCGGCTAAAAAAGAAGATGTACCAACAAAAAGGCCAAATGTCTTGAAAAGCGGAGCAAATGCCGTAACAACTCTTGTTGAACAAAAGAAAGCTCAACTTGTCGTTATTGCCCATGATGTCGATCCCATTGAGGTATTTAAATATTGAATTTTAATATTAAACTTGAACAATAATTATTTAAATATTTAAATGATGCTTGAATTTCTTCACCTGAGGATATAAACTAGATTTTTATCCATAGGATGTGACTTGACTCTGATTAATCGAAATTAATAAAATAGATTATTATTTTACAGTGACTATCAAATTAATACATTTTTTTTTTTTGCAGGTTGTCCTATTTTTGCCAGCCCTTTGCAGAAAAATGGGAGTTCCCTATTGCATTGTAAAAGGAAAAGCTCGTTTGGGAAGACTTGTCAGGCGCAAGACATGTACCGCTGTTGCTCTTACACAGGTAATTTGTTGTATAAAAATTAATTTTTATATCACGTGTAATAAAGATAATATGATGAAGAATACTAGAGCCAATCCAATGAATAGTTGTGATATAACAAAAGTATTTTACTGATTTATTTTAAAATAGAATTATTTTCTTTTCAGTTATTCAGTTATATTAAACAATTATTTACTTTGGACATTTATTTATTTGCAGGTTGATTCCGGTGATAGAGCAAACTTCACTAAAGTTGTTGAGGCTATCAAGACAAACTTCAACGATAGGTATGATGAAATCAGACGTCACTGGGGTGGTGGTCTTCTTGGTAGTAAATCAACTGCCAGAATCACAAAACTTGAGAAAGCAAAGGCTAAGGAACTTGCCCAAAAGCAAGGTTAATAGGTTTGGATATTGTACACCATATTCTGGTAAAGCAAATAAAAATTTGTAAAAAAGATTTACCAATTTAATTTTGAGTTAATTCCTCAATAACTTTGTTTTAGTAAAAAAAAAAAATTTAATTGTAAAGGAAAATTTTTAAGTACATTAAAAATATTAAATAACTATATATATATATTAAATGAATATCTACATATTAAATATTTTACAAAGTGCACATTATACATGCAAATTCAGATCCTTTTTTTAATTAGTTTTTCCAGTCTCTTGATTCTACCAGCTTCATGTTCAGGACTGTCTTGAACAATATTTTTTGTTTCTGAAAATCCATCAGAATGACTCCGTTGTTTAAATTCTTCTAATAATTGTATTTGTTCAGTTTTCCTTAATCCCTGAAAAAATTTTTATACAATCAAATGTTTAAAATGAAAGGCGTTTAGTTTTATTAAAAATTTTTTTAAATAATGAAAAGTAAAAAAAATTACCTTCATTTCTAAAATTTTCTGAAATTCAGGTGTTTGAAGATCTGGAAGAAGTTTTTTACATTGATCAGCAAAGGCACTTGGATTTTCCGTTGGTGACATAACGATTTTTAAAATCATTTCAGCTTTAGCCATTCCTTTAACAACAATCTAAAAAATAAATTGAATTATTTTAGTTTAGTTTTTTATAATTTTAGAGAAAAAAAAATATTTACTTTCGTATAAGTCGCTGGTGGTTTTCTTTGAACTTGACATCCGGTAGATGGAAGTTCTAAAAGAGCAGTTTTTAGCATATGAACATCTAATAGTAATTGTTCAGCTCCTACTGCATTTAATGGTTTGCATTTATATAATTGCTGAACAAGTTTCGGAATGAATGAACTGTGGAAAAAAATTTTTCATTTTAAAAGTTATCTCCATAGTTTGAAATTTAATTGAAATTTTTTTAAAAATGTCTTTACTAACCTGGCTAATTTAACACAAAGTTGTGTGAAATATTTTCTGCAAGATGATAATCTATCTCTTATTATTGGTATTGTTTGACGAAGATGCGCTATTATATTACTAACATATCCACTTTGATCACCAACACTTTCAATAGAACTCCATTGCATCTGTAAATAAAATATATTTTTAAAAATTTGAAAATAAGAAAAAAGTACAAAACAACTTTAATACCTTAATCATAGTGATCAAAGATGATTCACAAGCAGTTTCAAGATCTTGAACCAATAAGTGAATACAGTTGGAAATTACACTAAAATAAAAAGAAAAATAATTAATAATTATTTTCTTCATTATACGAGAAGAAAAAAATCAATAATTACTTATGAAAAATATCTTGTTCCTGGGATAAATTAATTTTTTCAGCATAATTTTTATCCGTTTTTTCTCGTAATTTCTCCTCTAATTGTTGAGTTGTTTCTAAACAATATTCAGCAGTTGTCAAAATGCTGGAAAAAAAAACAAATAAATTAAGCCTATTGATTTAGCTATTTTTGTTGAAATTAAACTCACCAACAAATTCGCGATTGTTCTTCTTTACTGAATCTCGTATTTTCACCTTCTTTTAAAAAACTTTGAAAATTTTGAATAAGTCCAGCCGTGGATAAATCTCGAAAATCTCTTGTAATATTACTCATACTTGTGCCAATTCCAGCACTTCCTCCAACTCTAATTAGATAAATTAATAATTAAATAATTATGCTAATAATTTAATTAATAATAATAAAAAAATATAATACTTGGGCAAATTATTCTGAAGAACTTTTAAAGCATATTCACGAAGATATTTTTGAAATGTTTCTGCAAGATTCAACATAATTGATCCAGTACTAAGTTGAGTACATTGCAACATACATTTTTTATAAAAAATAAATAAATCCGCACATGATGAAAGAACGGTACTTGGTCCTTCAACACCATCAGAATCTTTTGCACCAGGTGGTTGTGTTTTACAATCCATAACAAATTTTTCCATTAAATCCGATAGATTTCTATCTAAACTTTCAATGTAAATATTTAAATAAGGCTCAAAACATCTTCCTATCAAATTTGCAAATGGTGATACTGGTGGTTTTTCATTTTCAATCTATTGATACAAAAATAATATTACAATTTTTCATTATAAAATAAACGTCTAATTAAAATATTTACTTTTTCATTATTTTCTTCAAATGGATTTCCAGGTACTGCATTTTCATCAATTACAGGAACAATTGTGATACTTTTAATATTTGTATCAGGACTTTCTAATGTAATTCCCGAGAAACGTTTAGCTAATAAATTTTCAAAATTTGTCGTCCTTTGAATAGCGTACAATAATAATTTAACGTCTATTTCGGGTCGTCTTTTATGCATTAATTTTGTAAGATCATCACGTGTTACATTACAAAATTGAACAGCAATACGTTCGGATATTTCCCAATCGAGGGGAAATATTGTTCCAAATTTTGATTCAAAATCTAATAGATGCTTCTTTATCCATGCATAACGACGATCAATTTTATCGAGCCATGCAAAGTCTTGATTCTCATCAAAAAGATGTGCGTATTCTTGAAGTTGAACTCCAACAAACCAAGTGAGTAACTCTTTTCTTAAAAAAAAAAAATGTATATTAATAATTTTCTAACATTAATAACAATACTTTGATAACTTACTTTACTTTTGGTTCTAAAACCGATAATACTAAACAACCGTCTGTCAATTGTGAAAAATGTTTCGGATTTTGTCCCGAAAATGATTCTTTAAAATCTAAAGTTATTTGTTGAGCCAATTCTACATGAATTTGTTGAACCTAAAATTTGTTTTTATTATACAATATTTTCTGTTTTAATATGCGTAAATGCAAAATTTCCTTACCTCATCAGCCAATTGTTTTATTTGTGGAATATCCATGTAATTATTAAAATGTTTTATTACTTCCATAATAGCTTGTAGTGGTAAAACAATATCACCATATTGTTTATTTTGTGTAAGAACTCTATAAAAAAAGATATTTTTTTGTTTAATTACATATAGTAGGATATATTTTATTTTATTTACATACTTTAAATTATCAACTCCACCGACGAGTATGTGTAAATGATTTAAGGCCGTTATTGAAGCAGTCAAATTTCTTTTTGCAAAATCAAGTTGCTTAATGTCCCTTGTTATTTCTTTAACAGTCTCCTCAGATTGTTCAGCTTTGTCTTTAATATCTTTAATGTGAATAAAAAGTTGTTTTATAACTTTTTGTGCATCTTCTAAAGCTGCTCTTCCATCTTGACCAACGTTTGTTTGTCCACGTACAACAGAACGTATTTCTTTATCTATATTGCAAATTTTATATTCCATTTTACTCACAACATCGTCTATATTTGAAAGTGATTGTTCAGTTGGAAATAAAGAATTTATATAATCCACAGTATTGAAATTTGGTTGATCTAGAGGATCATTACTTGGTAAAACCTAAAAAATAATAGAACAAATTACTTTTTAAATTTATAATTAAGTTTATTTAATTGCCAAAATATATTCTTGATTTTCTTATTTATATATAGTGATTTTCTAAAATGTATAATAAAAATAAAATCAAATGTCAATTTGACATAAGCTCAATTCTAACCTGTTCTATAACTGATTGTACACTACTAGGGAAAGTGTAAACAGTTGATCGCAAATCTTCAATTTCATCTTCTTCGTGAGTACTCATTTTAATTAATTTTTTAGGAAATAATTTATTTAGAAAATCAAAGATATTTCATTTCACAACAGTTTAAAACTTCATGCACTCCTTTATTTATTAGATCAAACAGCTGATCGGTGACGTGGTAGTGACGCGCATATATATGTATATACCGCATAACCTAAATAATAATAAACATATTATTACTTCAATTTAAAATAAAATAATTGTAAAATTTTATTATCATCCGTCTATTGTGCCAGTAAATACTGGTGATAATTTATATTATCCGTCTAAACGGATAATTTAAAAATTCATCCGTCTAGCAGACGACGCAGCCTTTTTTTTGTATACATTGGTGGAGCACGTTTAAGAAAGTTTATTTAGTTTCTTTATTATTTACTATAAACATTTTTCTAATTTGGAAAATAGACGTGCAAAATTTTAATGCGAAACTGAAAGTTAATTAGTGTAAATCGTGTAAATGAAACTATTGAATGTTATAAGAAATTGTATTGTTTAACTAATCCTAACCTCAAATTCCAAATGGTAAGAATTTTAATAAAAATAAAACTTTCTTTTATTTATCTGGCTAAAGTAAACAATAATTTCGGTATCTAGGTAACAACGGGAACAATGAATTAATATGTAATTTTTGGTTAGTTTTAAAAACACGTCAAACATATAACAAGGAAATACAAAAATATTACTCCAATTTTATTTTATTTGCCTAGAAAGTAAAAGTAAAAGTTTTGGAATATTTTTTTCTTATATACATTTTTAATATTTTTTTTTTTTTAACACTAATGAATTATTTTCACAAAATATCAAGAAATTTATTCAATTTTATTTGAGGTATTCGAAATATTTTTCTAATTGTCAATGAAAATTTTAATATTTTAAAACTTGTACGTTTCATTTTTAATTTAAATATTCTTTTCTAAGGTGCTAGATGTTCCACTACGTAAAGTTAATCGAGGAAGCTGAACACTATGAAGATGCTTACAGGAAAACAGTTACAGAGAATGGAAAATAAAAAGAAAAAAATGGCAGCCTTATTGGAAATAACAAAATTAAATGACAAAGACAGAGAAGCTAAAGCCTTAAAACAAATTGTAAGTTTTTATTAAAAACAATTAATTTTTTTAAATTATCTAACATTCCTTTTTTTTATAAGGAAACACAAACAAATATGTTAAATCAAAATGATAATGACGGTATGAGCTGCAGTGGACTAATTTCCAATCGGAAACGACCTTGTGATGAGGATTTAAACACTGCTAGTTTGGAAATTATTAAAAAAGAAGAAGAAAGTTTAGAAAACTCTGAACAAACCGAAGGAGTCACTAGTAAAAAACCTAGGTAATCTATAAAAAAAAAAAAAAACGAAAAAATATTTTGTTATATTTATCAAAAAGGTATATAAAAAATTTTTATTATCTAGATTAAGTGGCGAGGAATACGAACGATTGAAAGCAGAATTAAAAGAGCGAAGACAAAGGTTAAAAGCAATTCCACGAATTTGTCTTAAAAAAATTGGAGAAGATGCTGCATTAAATATTGATGAAAATGACAATGACAATGGGAGAATTCCTTTATTTTTTAGTGATATACAGCACCTTTTATTATATTCATTGATTGGTAATCGTTCTCCATATTTACCTAACAGATGGTGTAAAGTGGATAAATACAATAAGGTAAGCGAGAAAAATTTTTATAATTACAGAAAATTCATTTTACATTTATTTTTAATAATTTAATTTAGTTGTCACACACGGTGCTGCTGATTGTTGAGGGTGTTTCTCTTGATCACTATTTGGCACATGAAAATTTATTTCCTCACTTATCAACAAATTTAAAACATAAATTAGAACTCATTACACCCGTAGCACATGGAGGATCAATCGTGGAAGAAATTGTAGCTGTCCCTCTTACAGGAGAGCATAATCATAAATTAATTCACGGTAATAAATCAACATAAATTTTTATTTAAATACTTACTATTTATTGCTTGAGGTATTTTAAATTTCAATTTTATTTATTTTAGAATTTGGCTCCTTGGAAGTGGCAATGAAATCTAGAGGAGATCTTGTGAGATTATTGAAAACAGTATTTCCAATGCTACCTCGGATAAAAACTAATGGAAAAGAATTATCAGAGGAAGATATTTCACAATTACCAGAGAGCGATAAATTCTCACGAACTAAACTTCTTTTGTCTCCTCATCAACTTGTTGATGAACAATATCCTGTACCATTGCAAGGAAAACTAGCAAATGAGTATGAAATATTTTAATTTTTTTTTTTGTCAATTTATATTTTTATTCAAAATTTAATGAATATTTTAATTTTAGCACGTATCGCGATTATGTACAAACAAAAGATGTTTATCTACAAGCAACCTCGAAATCACCAATGTTTGGAATAGATTGTGAAATGTGTAAAACAATTGATGGAATGTCAGAATTGACGAGAATTTCTGTAGTCGATGAAAAACTTAATGTAAGTTTTAAGTTGATTATTTTGTTTAATTAATTTTAAATAATTTTTAATTACAGGTCGTTTACAATACGCTAGTGAAACCTGAGAATAATATTACGGATTATTTAACTCGATTCAGTGGAATTACAAAAAAAATGATGGAAGGTGTCACAACAACGTTAGCCGATGTTCAACAAGCATTAAGACTTTTACTTCCAGCAGATGCAATTCTTGTTGGGCAGAGTTTGAATTTTGATCTTCACGCTTTAAAAATGATGCATCCTTATATAATCGATACTGGAGTAATTTTCAATATCAGTGGCTTAAGGTATTTTTTTTTTAAATTCATCTTTCAATTAGACTTTTATTTAATTATCAAGGAAAAAAAAACTTATTTACTTATTAAAAAAAAACTTATTTTGTAGATATCGCAAATCGAAGTTACAAACATTAGCCAGAGAATTTTTAGGATTGAGAATTCAGGAAGGTACACACGGTCACGATTCAATTGAAGACGCTGCAGCTTCAATGAAATTGGCACAATTAAAACTTGCTAATAGTATAGTTTTTGGAGATGCGGTACTTCATTGTCAACGAAATATAGGAGAAATGTTGTTTCAAACAGAAGAGAATCGCAATTTTGATTCGAAAATTCAAACAAAGACAAATATCCGTAAATATGGAACTTGTTTATTTAATCATGTGGCAAATGATAATAAAACAACAGCTATAATTGGTTCCGACGATGTGATTAATGAATATTCAAGATATTTAAAATCTCCCAATCTTAGTGTTGTGAATGACAATGATTTCGACAAAAATGATCAGGTAATATTTATTTCTTATTTTACCAATTTTATTTAATATTATTGTTTTTTTTTTGTTTTTGTTTTAAGATTCGTATGGTCGAAACAGAAGGAAATAAAAGTGCAATAAATCGAGCTGCTGAAATAGCGATGCAACATGCTTTAACTCTTTGTCATGTGAAAATACAAGAAGATCATTTGACTAATGAACGAAAAGAAAAAATCTTTAATAAAGTGGACAAGTGGGTGAATAAAATTTATCAACATAGTGCAGTTAATGGACTAGTGTGTGTTATTTTCGGTGGACATAGTAAATCTTCAAGTGGAGTTTGTTTCTTGAATGTCAAAGAAAACGTGATTCCATTTAGTGCCTAAATTTCTAAAGATCACAGAAAATTTGTTTATATAATCTTTTTCCAAAAAAAAAAAAAATATAATTCTTCAATTGGCAAACAGAACAGATTTTTTTTTCTAGAGAAAATCTTGAGAATATTAGAAAAAATAAAAATAAAATCCGATTGGAATGTTTGCTGGTCATTGTACAAACAATCGTATTGTTAATAAACATTTTTTTTTATTATTTACTTATTTTTTTGTTGAGAAATTAATTTAAAATTGTATAATTTATTAATTTTTGTTTAATCAGTGTCATTTATTTCACGATTTTCAATAGCCCGGCTAGCTCAGTCGGTAGAGCATGAGACTCTTAATCTCAGGGTCGTGGGTTCGAGCCCCACGTTGGGCGACTCTTTTGCCTTCCCTTTGTTTAATTGATGCTGTATGCAATTATCATGATTTTGTACATAATACTATTGATTTTTTTTTTTTGATATAATAAACATGTAATAAACCAATGAGATATTTAGAATTAAATTTTATTTAAACTAAATAAAAATGTTTAAAACTAATTGTTTAAATAATAATTTTAGTGGCGCCAATGAAGCTTTAGTTCGTGGCGGCACCGTCATAATCATAAATGACTGTTTCTTTGAACAAATAAGGGCAAAGAAAAAATGGCAAGTGAAAAAAAGATCAAAACTACGACGAAACGCGGAAAATCCGCAGAAGAAATTTTTGCAGGCTTTCAAACTCTGCGAAATGAACAAAGATTGATGGCTAATAAACTAACTGAAATGGAAATGGAGCTAAATGAACACAAGTAAGAATCATTGATTGTCGTGTTATTCTAACCTCAAAAAAAAACATGTTAAATATATAACTTGAAAATACAATGTAAAAAAGTCTTTAAAGAAATTATCGATATAATTAGTAATTTTTTTTTCAAAATTTGTAAAATTATCTTATTTAATAAGATTATGTTCACATTTTAATTACTGTACTTTTGGTATTTTTACCATTTTTAAACTATAGGCGATAATTTCATTTCATTTTTCTAAAATCCTCTTGTTTTTCTTTTTTTAGAATTGTCATCGACACTTTAAAAACTGTAGACCCCAAAAAAAAGTGTTACAGAATGATAGGTGGAATCTTATGTGAACGCACAGTTCAAGAAGTAATGCCAGCATTAGTTTCAAATAAAGAACAGGTAAATTTTTCTGAAATTTTAACAAAAAGAACTCTTGAAAAATGAAATACAAAAATACATTTTGTTAATTTCAATTAAAACAATTGAAAAAAATCAATGATTGAAGTTAATTATTTTCTATTAAAATTAAAAAAAAATATCTAATTTATTATTATTACAGTTAACGAAAGTCATAGAAACTTTGAACGAACAATTAACAAAGAAAGGAGTCGAAATTAACGAATACAAGGAGAAACATAATATAAGAATTCGAGGCCAAGATGAAATTCCTCAACAAGATGATGATTCCAAAGAATCGAAAAGAAATGCAATAGTCGTAAATCCAATTGAAGTTTAATTACCTCGTGAAATTCGCATCTCTAAAAATTGAAATTCATGTGTGATAATAATGTTCATTAACTTCCCATTTTCAGCATTTATTTATTAAATTTTTTGGACATCAGCAAATCTTAAAAACTCGCGTGTTTTTTTTTTTTTTTTTTTTTGTTTTTAAAAAAGAACTTTTATCATCACTTTGTTAAGCACATTGTAGATTTAAGATAATCTTAATAATTGTCAAGAAATTAAAATATTTTCAACTATTATTTGCTAATGTTAATTAAATTTAGCGAAAGAAAAAACACAATGTTTAAAAATAAAAAGTTGCATTATTTAAATTCGCTCACAAATAAATACGGCTTAAGTCCTTTGGAATTGTACTAAAACAAAAAAATGAATAAATTTTATAATCATTGTTTAATATGAATTGGAAAAATTACTCTTTTGTTTTTTCTCAACAGAATTTATTTCAGTAACTAATTCTAATACAAAATTCAAGTTACAAAACTTTTATAGAATCTGTACACAATTAAAGACCTTTTTAAATATTTACTGCAAAAAAAAAGGGATCTATACAAGTGAAAATTATTTTACAATATTTGCAAAAAGAAAAATTTTAAAACACATTTCTGCAAATAGGACACGATGATTTTTGACTCGTATTAAACCATTTATACAAACAATTTGTGTGAAATTTCTTTCTACATGTGTGACAAGATGACTTTGGTATTTGATAAGTGCTAATGTGAAAAACACTGAAACAAATGCAACATTCTTCAATACCAGCAAATCTTTTATCAAGATTCGTTTTCCACAGCATCAATCCATCCCAAAGACTGCCATTTTGATGTGTGAGAAGAATTGACAATTGCATATGACAATTTCTCCAATTTGCCGTACCACCAACATATTGACATGGTGTTATTGTCACTGAACCAAGTGGATGATTCATTGGCAATACAATACTCAATTCTAATTTTGTTTCATCCATTTGATAAAGTGCAATAACTTCGCGTGCTGTTGGCAATACTTTAACTTGCATATTTTCAATATTAATAAATTTATTACTTTGTAATTCCTCTTGACATAACATTGGACTCACATAAATTGATGTTATTTTATCAATTGCAGTACTCACACGACTGTCTGTTGTATTCCACCATTGTCTCACCAAAACTGGTAGACAACGTAAACAATTTGTATACAACCAACATGCAATATGATCCAATCTCCATTCAGTCCAACTTTCGGAAAATTCTAAACACGGCCTCGTAGTGAATATTTCAAATAATTTTGACGATTTTACCTTTGAGTCTTGTAAAAGTTCAACGGGCATCAATTTAAAGATACTCTCCATGAGATGAGAAAAATATTTATCCTTAAGAATTTCCGCATATTGATAACGTAAATCCCCATGTGCCTCGGAGCAAATTTCCAAAAGAACACTCCAAGTTAAAAGATAACCCAATGTATAGGTATAGGAATCAGTGTAAGGTTGAATAGTACAACTTATAATATCGCAAAGTTTAAAATCCATTAACATTGTTTTGACAATATTTTGAATATTAGTGAGAATATCAATGAATTTTACCAAATTCAATGATTTTGAATCAAAATTATCATCGAGAATTGAAATTTTATCACATTCGACTAAATCTGGTACTATATGTCTCAACATATAATATGCTCCAAGTTGTAGATTTGGATTCGTGGATGTTAATAAATTTAATGATGATTCAATAACTTCGTCAATTGTCAATGTTTTTAATCTCGATTCATCCTCTTGTTTCTCGCAAAATATTTTCCCATTCAAATGTCTCATTGCATTGCCCACGGAATTGAAAACAACTAAATTTGATGTATCTTGAATTTCTTCTGATGATTTTTTATCTTCTGTGATTTTAATCCAAATACGAGCAATTCCAGCTTGAGCGTGAATTAAAAAGACATTCTTCCATTCGTCAAGTAATTCAGGTGGTAATTCAGAAATTGGATTTTTCTCATGACTATTCATAATAATTTGAACCGATAAATAAAGTTCACTGATGGCAATTACGAGTGCCGAAACATAAAGTGGATAAAATTTATATTTATCACAAAAAATTATTGTCTGAAGAATCGATACCTCAAGTTCCACCATTGAAGTCATAATTAAATCCCAATGATCAGTTGTCAGTCTTGTTGGATCAATTGTTATTAATTTTGTGAAACTATTTACAATTTCTAAAGTAAGTGAAACGTCGGAATTAAAATCCATTATTACTTTATCATACAAAGAAGAGCAAGGATTTATTTCCTTTGTCACCTGATTTAATATTTCAATTAATTTCCCTCGATTTGTAATTTTACTTCTTGCAATAATAAGCTTTTCTTCTGAAGAACAATTAGTTAACGAATCAAAAATTTTCTCATCATCGAAATATTGTGGCAAAACTTGTATACCACGAATTAGAGAAATTCGTTTATAATTTTCGGATTGCATTTCAGAGAGGATTTTTTCATAATTTTTAAAATACATTGAAGGTGTTACATCGGGTTCGAATTCCATGTGATAAACATCCAATAAATGAGGAAGAATTTTATCATTAACATTATTGGCAAAAAATTCTCCAATCTCCTCAAGAATTACAGATGTAAGAAATTCTTTAAGTGTAACAAATTCCCTTGAAATTTCATCCAAAAGATAATTTACTTTAGTATAATCTTTTGCAGTTTTATAATATTTACAATAAATTTTACCAAGTGTAAAAATATAAAGAACATTGATAAACATTTCCAAAAGATTCGAGAATATAACATTTTCAAGAGATTTTGAATTCGAATCTTGATTTATTCGTAAAAGTAATTTATTTAACACTTTTGTTATAAATAGAGCCCATTTCAATGAATTCACTGAATAATCAATAAATGTTGGTTTTAATTCAAAATTTATAAAATCATTCCAAACTCGAATTTCTTCATTTTCATTTTTTAATTGTTTATAAAGATTTCCGGTGACAATTTCCGCATATAGAGCTATACCAGAAAAATTTGTGATCCAATTTTTTAAATCCAATTCCGTTAAAAAGAGTTTAATTATTTCTTTATTATTCTCCGTTTTACAATATTCACTATTTTCAATTATTGATTCACAAAAATCAGATGCAATTTCAACAATAGAATTATTATCTAAATCAGAAAAAATCTTCTTCCATAAAATAGTTCCCAAATTTTTTACAAGATTAATAAAATTCGATTTTGGAATAAGATGATATACTTGGGAAATATTTTGTTTCCATATAAAATGACAAGATTCTTCTTTCATATCAATATTGATATTAAGTTCAAAAAGTTTTTCCAACATTAAACAAATTGCTGAAATTAATGATTGATCTGAGATATTTTTATAAGCACACGTAAGTTCAAGAATTTGTGAAATTAATTTACGTAGAGATTTTGAATTTGTTTCGGATTTATCTAAAGATGAGAGTAAAGTTGATACAAGAGTGTTGATTGATTCACTGGAAATAAGAGGAATACCATCGTCAGTTGTTTCAAATGCTAAAAGAATCATTTTTTTATTTGTTTCAATTTCATTGGATTTTAAATTTAAAATTGATTCGGCAACATCTTTGAGAATTAATCCAATATCAAAATTTGCGCACCATAATTTTATTGCTCTATTATTTCTATTTTGTTTCGATAAAGCGCTTAGAACGGCATTTTTCAAAACTTGATTGTTATTCAATTCTAATAAAGAATTTAACACTTGTTCTTGATCTTTTTCTTCCATGTATTTAAGAAGAATGAAAACCAATTGTACGGAAGCTTGAATCTCTTCTGTTTTTCCATTGAACCAAGTTTTTAGAATTTCATAAAATGATAATAAATCATCGTTGTCATTAATTGATTTTGAAAGTGCTGTAAATAGTTCCTTACTCTCGAAATTTGAGACAAATTTCACAAATCGATGAATATTTTTCGATGAATTTGAATTTACTTTATTAAATTGAATTATAGAAAGAGAGTGAATGAAATTTTCAAATTTAATTAAAAATTGTTTATCGTCCTCTCGAATTGTAGTTTTCGTTATTGTCTCATTTTCCATATTACCATCATCTGAAAATTTCACTTTTCTACTTGGTTTTGGCTCTTTACAATTTTTCAAAGCAAGAAGAAAATCAATTTGTGAATTGAAAATAGAAGACGATTTTCCCTCATCGAAACTTTCATCGCTCTGAATTGAAAGTTTTTCAAAAGTCACATTAAGCTCTAACCAAAATTGATCGACAAGATGAGAATAAGTCGCGCATTCAACAGATAATTTTGTCCAGTAACGAATTAATTGTGCAATTTCAAAATATAAAATTTTACTATAGGGAATATTTTCCAATAAGGAAAATTCAATCATTGGTATGAGATGTTCACGTAAAAGATGTAGACAAAGTTCTTGATCATTGGAATTAATAAGAACGGCATATCGTAAACATTCAGCGAAAGAAGTTAAAATTGCTGCTGTTTCGGAATATGTCAATTTTCCTGTTTTTGTAATAAAACCCTCGCGTAAATTAGCAAAAAAATTGTGAAACAATTCCTTTGAATTGAGATTAAATTTTGAAAATTGTCCAAGAAATGGTAATAAATGTGGATACATTATTGTTGGACAATATTGAGTTCCATTTTTTAAAATACGCCACAATTTTGGAAGAAGAAATTTCTCAATACTAATAAATTGAAACCAATTTTCTAATTTTGTAATTACAATTAACATTGCCTCCCAAATTGCTGATAAAAGTCCTGGATCATTTTCATCGAGACTATTTATTATTGATGTCATTACTCTCTTTTTTTCATTATCAATTAATTCTATTGCATTCTCAATAACCGATGAAATTACATTGAAAAATGATGTTTTAATTGCAATATTTTCATGACTTCCTAATTTCCAAATTTTACTATTTTTTCCAAATATCATACGATGAATTTCTATAGTTTTTTCAATTTCCGATGATGGAACAGTTTTAAGATAAAAACTGTAAGCCTGTAAACATGAAATTAATAATCTCTGATGTTTTGCCTCGAGTTCCTCGGCGGTTAATGACAATTTCTTGGATTGTAATTGTGATTGATTTGATATTGTTTCAAAAATATATTTTAAAATCTCCTCCTGACAGTGAATAATTGCATTAATAATTTTATTGGGTGGAAAAGTTTCATTGAATGAATTAAGAGCTGCTGACGCTGCTGGAGGATAAGTATCGTATTGTGATGTGAACCATGGTCCCGCGAGTTGTTTCAAATGAATTGCGATATTTTTACCTGCTCGTTTTACAACTTTTGCGTGTGCTAATTGAGTGATTTCTCTTACTTTGTGTTCGATGTCGTTTGCCAATTGTCCATAAAGTCGAGACCAAAAGGGAAGAAAATTCTCAAATGATGATTGTTCTGAATCACGGCAAAGTTCCATAAATTCCTGTAATGCTTTACATTTTGTTGTCGAATCTTTTTTATTCATTTTTTTCAACACCAGATAATATTGCGGATCAATGTTTTTCATATCCACATCGCTTATTGTGCTAATACTGAGAGCAGGAAGTAATGATTGATATCCTCCTCCATCTTTTAAAATGCTAGAGGACGAAAAACCTAAAAAAAAAAAATAATAAATAATGCGTATTGCGTAATTTTATTTACATTGTTAAGTAAATTATATAATAATTTTATTTAAGTACAATTTAATTAAGATTATTATTAACTAGCAAAATTACACGCGCGCAAGCGCGCGTCCAACTTTAATTGCAATGGTTATTTTAAAATAATAATAATAATAATAATAATAATAATAATAATAATAATAATAATAATAATAATAATAATAATAATAATAATAATAATAATAATAATAATAATAATAATTCTGTATCAATGGAGTAATAAATTAATAATAGGTATATTTCTAATTTTCACGTTATCATTTATTTATACACAGAAAAAAATGAGTTTGATGTTATATAAATAAATAAATTTAAGTAAAAATTTTAAAATATAAATATTAAAATATTAGAAATAAATATTTTTGATAAAGTCAATGTTCGATGAATTTTTTATAATCTTTCAATTTACAAAAAATTAGTTATGCTAAATATTTTTTTGTATTTTCTATAAATATTTCGTTGCAAATGAAAATTTTAAAATGTTTTTTTTTCAAAAAATTTAATTAACTGATAATTAATAAATATTAAAAAATTATATAATCAAAAAGAAATTTAAATTAACAGAAAATTATTAATTATATTTTAAAAAGTATTAAGCAATTAAAAAATATTTAAAAATTTTGAAAAAATAAAACCTAAAAAAAATTTGTAATGTTTTAAACTTTAAACTTAAATTAAAAATTAAAATCAAATTGAAAATTTTTTAAAAAAGCAAACTATTTTTATATTGTTTATAGATAAAAAAATATAACAATTTAATAATTAATAATAAAAACAAATTAATAATAATAAATTTATGAATAATAATTTCTAATAAATAATAATGAATAATGAAAAAATAATGAAAGATAAATAATAATTATAAGTTAAAATGTTCTAATTATCTGTAATAATCATTATATTTAAAAAAATGTATATATAATATAATAAATTTATAAATAATAATAAAAATTATATTATAATTGAAACTTTTTTTTCTATAAATACCAAGTAGGAAATATACTGGTGCTGCACACAATGAACAATATTTTTTTTTACTTTAAACTGTCACTTAGTATATGACTTAATTAATGACGATGAATAAAAATATCCGTCGTGTTAACCATAAAATATTACGAAATCAAGAATTGTCAAAATTTTAGAAAAACAAAAGGAACAAAATACGACTAACTTCAAGTGTGGACAGACGGAATGAATGAATGAATACGGAAATTATTATAGTTAATTTTTGTTTGTTTACTATACAAATAATTATTTTTGTTTTGTTTGAATTCTAACCTAAAATAATATATTTTTAGAATGTTTAAAACTATTACAATAAAAGGAATTTAAAAATAAAAATTTATTATTATAATTATAGGAAAAATAAATATTTCTATCAAGTTTTAATTAAGAAAAAAGTGAAATTGGTAAACATAACCTACCAGAATCTTTAAGAGAGGAAAATCCCATTAAATTCTGTCCTGTCGATCCTAAAAACTCAGCACTACGACTACTGTTGGATGGTCTAGCATTGTTTTTTGTTCTTTGAGCCTGTTTACCTTTTCCCATGATAATTAAATTTGTAAAATTAGTAAAACACAAACTTTAAAGGCTGTAATTTCGTATCCGACGACTTGTCATTTAATGTTTCTAAATATCACCGCAAGGTGTAAATCGAGCGCTGTCTTATTGTTATTGTTCTTAACCTCAAAATACATCATTTTAAATTGTTTTAAATTTTATTTTACAGTGACCAAATATTTAGTTTGAAGATGACAGAAAAAATACAAATTGAAAAACTTCCTCATCATGAGCAAAAAGAATTATGCACAACACGAGCTCCCTATAGACAAGGGAGAAAATTGACTGCTGTAAAGGTAGAGTGGCGAATATGTATCCTGCCCTAAAATTGATAACTAAGTCCCTATTTTTAATATTTATTTTATTATTTCGTAATATAATATGGTAATTATATTAATTATTACCAAAAGCATTTTATTTTACAAATAAACTGGATTACTTATACTTTATATTTTTTTGTTTATAATATTCTTGTTATGAGATTTCCTTGACACTTTAGCTCTTTGCAATAGGTTTACACAATCAATAGTGAATCAACCCATATAGTAGTGTGTGGAGTACCAAAACTTGATTTAAATAAGGAAGTGAAGAAACTTTTCTTTCCTTATGGAGAAATAAAGAAATTTTGTTTAATTCCTGATTATCCATCGGAGGAGTTTACTGAAACATTTCACGTGCATTATTCACGAATACAAAGTGCCAGGTTTATATAATATTTTGAAAATTTTTTATTGTTTTTATGAAAAGATGCAAATTAATAAATTTACATTTCATAGAATCGCGAAACGTTTCATTGATGGTAAAAATTTTTATGGCGGTCTTTTACACGTATTTTATGCACCAGAACTTGAAAGTATTTCCGAAACAAGAGCAAAGCTTATTCAACGACACAAGGATGTTACAGTAAGAATTAAAAGACACAAAGAAGATCCAACGAATCCTGAGATTGATGAATTTGTTCCACAGTATGAAAAAGCTTAATCTTTAAATATTTTATGTTTTTAATAATAAAAATAATTTTTTTTTTTAATGTTGCAGAGAACAATATCACAGGAAGAAAAAATATCCTGCTTTGCCTTTAACAAAAGAACGTCTTGAAGCTCAATATCCTGAAGAAAATTTAAATAATGTTACACAACAAATTATAGAACCACATTCATCAAAAGAATTTTCTAATGCAAATTCTTCAACTGAAATTAAATCACAGAATGTAATTAAACCATCACCAGAATTATTGCAAGCACCATATCAACCATTTGAGACAATTATAAATCTTTCAAATTCTCGATCATTGAAACGAAAAAATTATAAAGGCCAATTGATTAGAGAGACGCCTAAAATTAAAAAATTTCGCTTTCAATTAATAGATACTAGAAATATAGCAAGAAAAGATGAGCCTGAGAAAAATGTTTTTACTAATGCAAAAAAAGTCGATAGTGGAATTAAAATTAAAATTCTACCCAAAAAGGAGGAAACAAAGCGAATTGTAATACAAGATTCAAGGTTAAAAATCAGTCTATTTTTATTATATTGTCGTGTATAGTTTAAAAAAAAAACAGGATTAAATTAACATTTTCATTTAAATTTTCAGCGTGACGCAATTAATACGACCTATTGAGAATCTTAAATCATCAATTGAACTTGCCAAAAATCAAATACGACAAGCAATGCAAAAAAAATTGTAAAATATTTATATAAAATGTTAATTAAATTTTTCTAAATTTCTAAAAAATTGTTTTGTTCCTTTTTTCTCTAAAACATAATTCGAAAATTTGTATTTTTTTGGAATTAAATATAAAATGCAAAAGTTTTTTTTTTTTCTCTTTTTGTTAAAAATTAATGCTTAATTACTTCGTATTAGTTAAATTAAATAATAATTGTCGAATCCCCATCCCATTGAGTATTATTAAATTTAGATTTCAAGCCTGTTTTTTTTGTTCTTGGTGGAGTATTTTCTTGAAATTTTGTTGAAGAAAGAAGAACCTTACGACGCAAATGCGGTGATTTTAATTCAATTCCCTGTTGTTGATTATTACTGTTTGATCTATTTCTCAATGGTGTCCGATTCTATAAAAAAAAAAAATAAAATTGTAGATAATAATTTATTAAATAATAACAAATTAATTAATTCTACTTACTTTTAATATTTCAGGTTTTTTAATTTCGTTAATTTGTTTCTTAACAGGGCTGAAATTTTTCTTAATTTCAATTTCCTTCTTTTTGTTTTTCTTCTTTTCCACAAGAATACTCTTTCTTTTGTTAATATCAGTTTTTTTTAGAGTGCCTAATACATTAGTATCGTCATCATATTCAATGATAAGATCGTTTTTAGGACTTTGATTATTTGTATGATCTTCTGATTCACTTTCACTGTCATATTCTGAATCTTCCTCTGTTTCTGGACTCAATGTATCTCTCCAAATTTTAATCTTATTTTCAGCTTCATTAATTTTATTTTCAAAATCTTTCATTGCAATGTTTAATACATTGTCAATTATTTTATCAGAATCGGCTATTAATTTTGCTTCAAAATTTTCACTTTTACTTTCAATATTTTCAATTTCAAGAGAACAATCTGATGATGAAGAACTTGTAATTGAATTTTGTAGAGAAGCATCATTTTTATTTCTTAAAATAGTAACAATACTGTTGTTTTTACCACTATTTGATGTACAACTTGTCTCAGTTATTTCATTTGTAGAATTTTGTGAATTATTTAAATTTGTCACAACATCTGGTAAGGCATTAATTTCAATAATATCGGATGAATTTTTAGTTTCACAATATGATAATCTTGAGGGTTTTATTTTAATTTCATGTCTATTTAAATTTTCTTCAGAAGAAATTTTTTCCATTTCGAGAGTTTTTGGTTTTAAAATAGGTGTTCTATCAAAATCCGTAGCTGGAGATCTAGGATCAAGTCCCAATGTTTTTTGATGCATTTCACTCAGTAAATTAGTTTTATTACAATGTTTTGAAATAAAATGTTTTGGAGTGTCATTATCGGAAAATGTTTCTACCTGTAAACGTAATTTAAAAATATTATTTAATTTAAAAATCAAAAATACAAAATTAAAATAAATTACCGTTATTGGAGTTCGTGGAACATCAACACTTGGAGATCTAGGATCGAAACATTTATCCAATGTTCTCGATGGTGGTGTTACATCAAAATTTGTTTCCAAATATGGTTTACGTTTTAAATATTTTGGTACAGAACTAATTACATTGGAGGATTCTTTCTGAGAACCATTTAATACCTACAAAATGTAAATCAAGTATTTTGATTGTTGGAAAAAAATCATTAGATAATATGAAATTAAAAATTTACCTCAATTGGAGTTCTCGTTATGCCTAATGTCGCTGATCTGGGGTCAATAAGAGATTTCTTTTTTTGTGGTTGAGGAGTACATGTGTCACGATTTTCCAAAACTAAAGCTGATGAATTTAATTCATAAGTTTTATCATGTTCTTCATGATAAAATAATTTACTAATGTAACCTCCCATTTTGGAAAACGTCTCAAATAAAAAAAATCTGCAAATGAAAATTAAATTAGAATCAACATTATAATAATGAATAAACATACAATAACAATAAGCTTCAAGACATTTAAATTTTTGTAAACACAGCCATATTTTAAAATTTTAACCGTTGAATGGAAATATTAATCGAGACTACTTTTCTCTGAATATAAAAAGATATTAAATTTATTTCTACTTACAATGGTCAAAAAAATAACTGCAAAGCAGTTAATTAATATTTTACACTTTAATGTCAAATGAACAAATACTTTCTTTTTGAAGTAAAAAAACACAAATATACGTTAAACTTTCATTGCATTTGGCATTTACAGACTGAATCAGGAGGGCCAAGCTGCAAATGATAAACACCTGTCAAGTTGTTGCACAGTGTGTCCAACCAATAGAAACATGGCGCGCATTTTAAAACACTCAACAGAAAATAACATTTATTACATTAAACATATTTTAAAATTATTTTAATAAAATATTTTATTTAATATATAAATTATTATTTATAAACATAAAAAGAAAATTGTTTGGATTGCTATTTAAATGCAATTTAATTAAAACATGTGACATGTTTCTATTGGTTGATAGGAAAATCTAGAAGCATGCGCATAGTTAAAAGATAGAGTTTTTACGAAAATAATACTCTCTTTATTTACAATAAAGAACAATAATACATTTTTATAATCACTGTAATTAAATTATAATTAAAAAGTATAAAAATTGAATGAAACAAAATTTGTTAAATGTACAAAATAAAGTATAATTTTTCTCAATGACAATTCGAAATAAGTTATATTCCTCCGCGGTTGCCATGGTAACCGCTTATAGGAACTACTTTTAGATGTTCATTTATTCGAACAGGTCTCTTCCATTCTCCATTGTATGACCCGGCGATTTCCAAGTCAAGATTTACATATTTTACAAGTAAAATACTAATACAATGGTGGATTTTGTGTTATGAATTGACGACGTGGAATAATCATCAAGTGAATAATTGTTTATTTTGCAAATTCGATTCGTTTCGCTATAATTATCGATTTCCTATACGAAGGAGGGAGTTTGGACTTGATGTCTTTGGTGTGTTTGCTCATTGCCTGTTAACAGAATTTTTCCTTATCGTCATGTAAGTACGAAATGACATTCCTTACTTGATTAAAAAAGGCATAAAATTCAACACAATGTTACGAATTCAAGTTGCATTTTACTTTTAACACGCTTTATTTTTTATGAAATCGGCCATTTTTTAATGTCTTGTGCCATGTATATAGGTTTAATTTTGGATTACGTATTCACTAATCAATAGTTTATTGTCACAACTATTATATTATTGATACACTCTCGTATACCTTATCTGCGAGTATATATGTTGAGGCCATATAACTATTAGTTACATAACTTGGAAATCAGCTGTTTAAAAATGTTGTAAAAAAAAAAAAATTGCTTTTACATCTTTACGTTCTGTCAAAATAGATAATCCATATTGCAGTATATTTACTATGTAAAAAAATTATATATTTATAAATATAATTTATTAAAATTATGAATTATTAAATATTTTTTTTTATCAGCAAATAAAATGATAAAGATTTTTTTTTATGTTTAAATTAGGTTTATTCGGGAAAATAGAAATCAAGTAAGTGGTCGAGGTGGTAGAGGTAGAGGCAGTGCTCGAGGTGGTGGTCGAAATATTAGAAATGAAAGTAATCGTGGAGGTGTCAAAGGAAAATTCAATAATCGCGGTGGAATTCAATCAAATCGTGGAGGTTTTAATAAACCAAAAAATCATGGAGAATCATTGCAAAAATTAAATTGGGATTTAGGCTCTTTAGAAACGATACAAAAGAACTTTTATACCGAACATCCATCAGTTCGAAACAGGTATTTTATAAATTAAAAAAAAAATAACAAAATAGAATAATACTAGCAGAATAAGATTAATATGTTGTTTTTTTTTTAGATCCGAAGATGAAATTCAGTATTTTCGTAAAGAAGCTAAAATTATCGTGAATGGAAATAATGTCCCTAACCCCATTCAATATTTTGAAGAAGGAAATTTTCCGCCTTATGTAATGGAAGCAATAAGAAAACAAGGATTCTCACAACCAACTCCTATTCAAGCACAAGGTTGGCCAATTGCTCTGAGTGGAAGAGATCTCGTTGGTATTGCTCAGACTGGATCTGGAAAAACACTTGGTGTAAGATATTTTAATTTAATTTCAATTTTCTTTTTTAATAATTATGTAATTTTTATTTTATCTTCTTCTTCTTTTTTTATAGTATATATTGCCTGCTATCGTTCACATAATTAATCAACCGCGACTGAATCCTGGTGAAGGGCCAATCGCTTTAGTTTTAGTACCAACTAGAGAATTAGCTCAACAGATTCAAGAAGTAGCGAACGATTTTGGCGAAACTGCATCAGTTAGAAATACTTGCATTTATGGAGGTGCACCCAAGGGACCACAAGCCCATGATTTAGAAACTGGAGTTGAAATTTGCATTGGCACTCCTGGACGATTAATTGATTTTCTCGAAAAGGGAAATATTAATTTAAGAAGGTATTATTTTTTTTATCTACTTTAAAATTTAATTATTATTTTTCAAAATTTAAATTCTTTTTTCAAATTTCAGATGCACGTATTTAGTGCTGGACGAAGCTGATAGAATGCTCGATATGGGATTTGAGCCACAAATTCGCAAAATCATTGGACAAATTCGACCGGACAGACAAGTTTTAATGTGGTCAGCGACATGGCCCAAAGAAGTACGAAATTTGGCTGAAGAATTTTTGACTGATTATATTCATTTGAATATTGGATCCCTTAATCTTTCGGCAAATCACAATATCATTCAAATTGTTGATGTTTGTCAAGAATCAGAAAAAGATTTCAAACTAATAAGATTGTTACAAGAAATAAGTACCGAACAGGAAAATAAAACGATTATATTTGTTGAAACAAAGCGAAAAGTCGATGATATTACAAAAAATATAGTACGTGACGGATGGCCAGCATTAAGTATTCATGGCGATAAAAATCAACAGGAAAGAGATCATGTTTTGCACGAGTTTCGCACTGGACGAGCGGCAATTCTCGTTGCGACTGATGTTGCTGCAAGGGGTTTAGGTTTGTTGTTTATGAAAAAAACATTCGAGAAAAAAAAACTGAAATATTATAAAGAATAGGAAATTGGCAACAATTGTTGGATTAGCCAGTGATGCGTTATAAATAATGAAAAATATTCAACAAAGTTGAAAGCTATCCAAAATGTCTGATTCTGTTATTTTGAAATTTATTTGCAATTTTCGAAATCAGTGTAATTTTTTGTTATCAATTTGCTTCAAATTGCTTTTTTATAAAATTTTTATATTCATAATTTTTTTTATTATTTAATTTATAATAATTAAAATTTTTTGCAAATTTTTTTTTTTTATAAATATTCATGTTAGCTTGCATGTCGCATAAAAAGAAGCAAAAATTCTAGAAATGTACCAAAAAGCTATGACAGTTAAGAGTCTGGTTTTTCTTTTTCAGAGGCACAGAGTTTCCTTAAAGTATGGTGTACTGCCAATTATTTTCGGCAGAAACGACTTATTTTTTCCTTCATTTCTTTAGCTGTACTCTGTACACATTTTCTTTGTCCAAGAAATTACCACATATATGATGATTTTCTCTTAAGGTAATTTCTTTTTAACGTATCAAAAGCGATCATTTAAAAATATACATTTCTAGAAAATACACTTATTTCATTGTAATTTAAAGACATGCCAAGTAGCAAAATATTTAAAATATTAATATTTATTTATTAATATTTTTTCTAATTTTTCAAGTCAGACATAATTTAAAAAAAATTAATGCACGCAGGTCTAAACCGTAAAATGCTGCCTCTATTCCAAAGCACAAATTTAAAGAAGCGATAATTAAACTAATATGTAATTCAAATGAGGCATATATTACAATTTAATAATAAATTCTTTGTTTAAATTTTTAATAATTTTATATTGTATTATTACGAAATATATTTGATTTTTTTTTTCACAGATGTGGATGATGTAAAATATGTAATCAATTTTGATTATCCATCTTCATCGGAAGATTACATTCATCGCATTGGAAGAACTGGTCGTAAACATCAAACCGGAACGGCGTACGCTTTTTTTACAACTCAAAACATGAGGCATGCTGGTGATTTAATAGAGGTTTTACGAGAAGCTGGCCAAAGCATTAATCCTCGATTAAGCGAAATGGCAGAAATGGCAAAAACCTCCAGTTCTGGTAACAAAGGTAATTTGTTACTTATAACATTGAAAATTATTTTTCATTTCGTAAATTTGTATGAAAAAATTTTTTTTGTTTTATATTAGGTAACAAACGTTTTGGAGGAAATTCCAGCCAGTACAAAGAAAGTGATAAACGTGGGTCATACGAGGCTAGAGGAAGAGGAAGAGGAGGTGGCGGTGGCGGTGGCAGAGGTCGAGGCGGAAGTAGCCGAGGTGGTGGAAATACCTATCAATCAAGATCTACCACTTTCACAACAGGATCCAATTACAATAGTTACAAACCAACTTATTCAAATCCAGGATATGACAACAATGCGCAAAAAAATTACGGACAAAGCTATAATTTTCAAGGCTATGGTGGGTCAAATAATTATCAATACAGAGATACATCATATTAAATATGTTTAGAAATTTTAAATGTTCACATGAAAAATTTTCCTAAAAACAAATAATATGGAAAAGTGACTTAGCGCTCTATATCCATAATTATTATCGTTCTATCATAAGAATTGCGAACACGCAATGAATTTTTATCGTCCAAAAATTGTTCTCTCACTTTATTTTTATTATTGCATATCAAAAACTTTGCAATTTCATATTTCACACACAGTCCAAAGATTAGATATAAAAACAAAAAAATGAGGTAAATTATTAATTAAAATTACGTATAAAAGTGACTTTTCTTTTAATTTTAGATAGTCTTGCTAAAAATATAAGTGCAATTAAAACATTTTTAGATAATTGTGATGAAGATTAGAATATTTAGGGAGATTATTATGAAAAAAAAATGAAATTGTTGAGTTACAAGTTATTTAATAACACTTGTAGATGTTTATTGTGTGTATCTTTGTTTTGTTTTCAAACAATTTTCAGTATTTGCTTGATAATGATTGCAAATCAATTCTAATTACATACTTGAAAAAGTATTGTTTTTGCAAAGTTCAGTATTAATAATGATTTATGAGTTTTTTTTTTTTTAATTACCTTGAATTGCTCGTTACATAAAGCTATTATAATTACAAAATTTATTTTAAGTTCGTTATTTAATTAAATAATTTAATTATTCTTATTTTTAATGGAGATAATATATTACTAAACTGCTGAAGGAGATAAAATAATTGTCAATTTACAAAAAATGACAGTTATTTTTTAAAAAGCATCTCGAAATTCTGTTTGATGTATTACAATTTTATATTTTTAAGTATAGATTAAAAAGATAATTTATAAATCTCTAAAAAAAAAAAATTCAAAATAATTAGCACAACGATTTATTTATTTTTTTTTTTTGTAAGTGCAATAAAAAAAAAGACTAGCATCGAGTGTGAAATATAATTGATGCATCTATATATTGTTAGGATACTACTTTCTGTGATCTATTAAAAATATAAGGATCTCTCAAAGTATTTACATCCAATTTTGTGATCTATCTTAACAAAATAAAGTTGACTTTTCAAAATATGTTGTAAAAAATATTAAAAATAAAATTCATTTTCAATTCATTCAAATTACGTTTTTGACTATCTTTTGATTGTATTGTAAATTAATTTTTCAAAAGGAAAATAGAAATAATTTATTTATATTTAATAAAATTATAAATGATAATAAATATAAATTTAGTCTATAAGTATGTATATTAAATTGGCTTATTAGATTTATTTTCAAAAAATTAATAAGGTTTTTTTAGTTTAGAAAGAAGAAAATTTACTTAAAAAAGAGTAAAAAAATGATTTAATTTGAAAGTTAATAAAAAAAAAAAGGGAGAGAAGTTTCCATGAATTACCAGGAGATGTCACACTTGTTCCCTTTCCTGTGCTGCTTTCCATCTTTACATCATCTCTGCAGCTTGGAGACGCTCTTGTTTATTAATTTAAATAATATTGGGAAAATTTGATTAAATCAAAAAATACTTTATTGAAAATTATATATCGTTTTGATGACAATGTAAGTATTTTTAATTTTCTATTATTCCATAGTATTTAGTGTAATTTGTGACTATTGCATTGTTGCCATTATTGGAGTCCATGTTGGTTGTATACACAGTGACAATTATTGACGTAATTTTTAAATGAACAACAATTTTCAGAAAAATTATTTTAAAATACAAAAATAATTTAGATTATGGTGTAAAATGATTACAATTTAGATTTATTTTAATCTATTTTCTATATAATCTGTCATATCTGTTTTATATATAGTTATATGTTAATTATATGTCAGAATTTTTTCTTACATTTTTAAAATTAATATTTTATTAAGAGAATTTTAGTTTATTTAATAGAATTTTTCACTGGAATATTGAATAAATTATAATTTGAAATAGGTTTTTGAGAGGAATTATTTTTTTGCAGGGCGTACAGAGATCGTGATCGCGGTGTGGATAGACGAGGAGGCACCGGTGGACGTGGCGGAAGTCGAGGAATGGGTGGAAGTCGTGGAGGAAGAGGAGGAAGCCGAGGAGGAGGAGGAGGAGGTGATGGAGGTGGCGTTGGAAGATTTGGTAATCGGGACAGTGGTGGTAATATTGGAGGAAGTAGATTTGGTAGCGGAGGTGGAATGGGAAATCGTGACAGTGGTTTTGGTAATAATAATTTTAAAAATCGTCAACCTGGTGAACGTCTACGAAAACCACGTTGGGATATGGGATCATTGCAACCATTTAGAAAAGATTTTTATCAACCACATTTAAATGTTTGCAATCGAAGTATGCATTCCGTTGATTCATATCGTTCAAATAAAGAAATCACTGTTAAAGGCAATAATATACCAGGTCCAAATGTTTATTTTGAAGAAGGTGGCTTTCCCGATTATGTATTAAATGAAATTCATAGACAAGGATTCGGTGAACCAACTGCAATTCAAGCTCAAGGTTGGCCAATTGCACTATCTGGACGCGATATGGTTGGCATTGCTCAAACTGGCTCGGGAAAAACTTTAGCCTACATTCTTCCAGCTATCGTTCATATTAATCATCAGCCACGATTAAATAGAAATGATGGACCAATTGCACTTGTATTAGCACCGACTAGAGGTGAGAGATTGGTAAAATTAAAATGTAAATTAAATATGTGATTAATTTTTTATTTTTGTAGAACTTGCACAACAAATTCAACAAGTGGCTTCAGATTTTGGAGCATCGTCACAAGTGAGAAACACCTGTATATTTGGAGGAGCACCAAAGGGACCACAAGCTAGAGATTTAGAACGTGGTGTTGAAATTTGTATCGCAACACCTGGACGTTTAATAGATTTTTTAGAGCGAGGTACAACAAATCTTCGTCGTTGTACATATTTAGTGTTGGATGAGGCAGATAGAATGCTCGATATGGGTTTTGAGCCGCAAATTAGAAAAATAATTGAACAAATAAGACCCGATAGACAAACTCTTATGTGGTCTGCAACATGGCCAAAAGAAGTAAGAAATTTGGCTGAAGAATTTTTGACTGAGTACATTCAAATTAACATTGGCTCTCTACAATTGGCAGCAAATCATAATATTCTACAAATTGTTGATGTATGCGAGGAGTATGAGAAAGAGGGAAAACTGATGAAATTGTTGGAAGAAATTTCAAATGAACCGGAAAACAAAACGATTATTTTTGTTGAAACTAAAAGAAAAGTTGATGATATTACAAGGGCTATTAATAGGTATGGATGGCAGGCGATAGGTATTCATGGGGACAAAAGTCAACAGGAGAGAGACTACGTTTTGAATCGTAAGTACAGATTCTCATTTAAAAAAAAAATTAATTTTCCTTGTATTAAGTTGAAAATAATTTTTTTTTTTTTAGAATTCCGAGGTAGCCGGTCTGCTATTTTAGTAGCAACAGATGTGGCAGCTCGTGGTTTAGGTGAGATTACCAATTTAAAGTAATCGTATGATGTAAGGGTCAGGCTGTGATGGTTATTAATTTAATTCATTACTCGCGTAATTCACAATAGTTGAAATGTGGTATCGGACAACGGCATATGTGCCAGACTGAATTGACACTCATATTCCAACAGCGTGAATGCAGTTTAATGGTAACAAAAAAAAAAAACAAAAAAGTACTTTAAAAAGAAAATAGATAAAAAGGTGAATTCAATTCAACGATTGAATCAAGTCTGAGCAAAGTAAATATTTTTTTTTTTATTTATTTATTTATCCTAAAATGGGAAATGTATCTAATTTCGTTTTTATTTATCTTAAATTAGTATTTAGGTAGATTCCAGATATCTTTTCAGTCTTGAAAAAAATTATACAACGAAATTTTACGCGAAATATTATAAATTTTAGAATAGTCTGAAAAGTAATCTGGAATATTTCAGCAAAGTGTAAGTAAAATAAGAAGAGGGGGATTTTTTTTTTTTTTTTTAAACATTTAATTAATCTGATCAAGGCGTCTTGTCAGTCTGGTAATAACTTGCTGTTCTATATTTTTTTTTCAGAGGCACATGCGACGGAGTTTTATCAATGATAACAACTCTGGAGAGCTTGATTTGGAATAATTAATAAAAATGGGGCGTGACACCGCCCCCTCTCTCACTCTCTCAACAAGCTAATCTAGCGCTGTGCCTCAGCTTCCCGTGCCACTCAAAAATAATTACACTCTCACTCTGTACCTGCGACGGTCCAAAGTATGGAAGTATTTTTTATAGTGTTAGGGCATCCACCAAATGAGGATGGCCGCAACTTGGAAGTTTTTTAATCCTTTAGCTCAGGTAGTTAAATCAAGGCATCAAGCTTCTCTCTGCAATACTCATTTTATAATTCACTCAAATTTTGAATTTAGTTTAAAAAAAAACAAGCACCATTTGGATTAAATTACTATTCACAATTTATCAAAATTAGATTCTAAGGATTTAAAATAAATTATATTAGTGAAATTGAGATTGCAAAATTGTGTCTTGATGCCGAACGTTTGACATATTTTATAGAAGACTGTATTTTGGTAACACAGTAAACAGTGCTCCAACTCTTCAAGAAAAACAAGGAACAGATTTTCAATTATCAGGAGAGACAGGTCCATACTTTGGTGCGGGAGAGAAGGGTGTTTGAGTCCCTAAGACTAAATGTGTGTGGAGCTCTCGCTACCTGTTGAGCGAGACTCCTTGACAACCATCTGAGCTCTGATTCCTCTACATTTTCAAAAAAATGTATTTACATTTCCAGCATTTGACAAAAAAATGAAACAGGTAATTAAATAATACACTTGCTCTTTGTGGTCAACTTAGCATGACTTCCACAAAGATACAAATAGGATTCAATGATTTTTTTAAAAAGTCTTTTTTCTGTTAATTCTTTTTTTTTAAATGAAATTAATTAATAATCCTATTTGTAGATGATTTTTTTTTTTATAAGTTTTTATAATTTTATTTTTTCACTGCTTGCTTAGTTTATTCGCTTTCTAAGTTGATTGAACCACAAAGAAACAAGTAATTTCTTATCTTTGAATGATTCGAGTTTTTGTGTAGATGTTGAAGACGTCAAATTTGTTATAAACCTGGACTATCCGTCCAACTCAGAAGACTATGTTCATCGTATTGGAAGAACTGGTCGATCTCAACGTACGGGTACTGCTTATGCTTTCTTCACACCAGCAAACGCGCACAAGGCTAATGATTTGATTCAAGTTCTTGAAGAAGCTAAGCAGGTCGTTAATCCAAAATTGTACGAATTGTCAAGAAATCCAGGAATGTACAAACGTAAATTGATTTTTATTTCATTTAGTAAATTATTTATATTTATTATTTCAGCAAGAGAGAGAGAGAGAGATTTTTGATTAATTGAATTATTTGCAGGTGGCAGATTTGGCGGTGGAAGGTCAAGTGGTGGTGGTAGTCGAGGTGGAAGCAGTCGTGGAGGTGGTAGTCGAGGTGGTGGTGGACGAGGTGGAGGCGGTATGCGAGGAGGCCGAGACAATAATGACAGAGGAGGCGGAAGATTTGATCGAGGAAATTCAGGTGGAGATCGAGGAAAATGGGGTGGCAGTTCTGGTAAATTCATTTTCTATTTTCATGAATTTTAAATTACTTTAATAAAAAAAAAAATATAATTGTTTTTTAATAGGTGGAATGGGAGGAGGTGGATATGGAAATAAATCCTTTTCCCAAAATAGTTATGGAGGTAGTGGTAGCAGCAGTGGAGGTGGTTATAGTCAAAATGGCAGTGGCTATGGAAATAGTGGAGGCAGTGGTGGCAATTACAGACAACAAAACGGTTATTAAAATATAGACCTTATAAAGAGATTCTTTATATATATATAAAAAAAAGGAAATTTGTATCTGAAAAAAGAAATCCAATGATGGAATTGAATTCCACGTTTGATGCTTTGGAATATAATATTCAAAGCATACCAGTTGCCCTAAATAATTCTATATAACTTTTAATTAATAGGTAGATAATGGCGGCTGTGTATATTCATTTTTTCCATAAAACGTGTTGCTCCAAACTGTGGCGATATAAAATTTAACTCATTTTCTATAAACAATTTAATGAGTCCCCTAATATCCAAAACAAATATGGATAATTTAAAATAAATTTATTTTGTTATTTTTTTTTTATAATCGTTTTTAGTTTATTGATTATAAGATAACTTCGAGAAAAGTAAAAAAAAAATTAATGTAGAACATTAAAATCGCTTTTACTTATCTTACAAAAAATTTTATATTATTTTTTATTGAAATGTGTTGACCTTTTTTTTTGTTTATTTTATGTTGAAATTAATTTTTTTTATTATTGAAATAAAATTATATAATTTTATAACGTTGCAGATTGGTAGACGTTGAAAGTATTCATTTATCAATCAATTACTTTATACCAACTTCTTGTACAATTTTTGAAATGAATTTCATTTATGTTTTAGTACAATCTATGGCATTGTAATATTTTTTAATAGTTTAGTTTATTATATCTAATAGGGGGAAGTAAATAATTATAAAGAAATATGTAAGGTAAAAACAGAGAATAATAAAAAAAAAAGTCGTAAATGAATTGCAAATCATCAGCTTATTTATTCAAATAAAATTTAAAAATTACAGTATATTTAATTTTGAAATTAGGTGATAATATAATTTTAAAAAATCATTAAAAAATGATAATATAATTTCTTTCTATTGTTAAATTATTTATTTTTTCAGATAATAATTAATATCTAATTGAATACAAAATATATTTGAAAAGTATATTCTTCCTAAGATTTTAATTACTTTATTTTAAAATTATAAGACTTAATTATATTATACATTTTTTAACGTACATACTGATAAGGATAAGAGTGTCCCGTGAACGTTAATCAGAAGAGTTGTACTCTTATTTCATTGGAGGAAATTTTGCTATCTAGAATCATTCGATGTGGTTCGATCTGTAGACAAGAAAAAATTAATATGTTATTATGTTACTAAACATAATAACAAATGATTTTAATATTGTTTTCTTTTCAGGGAATTCCTTCGTTTTATAAACAAGTATTGTCTTAAATTCTCTTGATAATGACTCATGTTGTGTCTAGAATTGCAAAAAGAGTTCATGTTCTAGTTTCATATATTCAATAGACAATGACTGGCATTAAATTTAATTCTTTATTTTGTTGATTGTTTCTATGATTAGAAAGATCTCGAAGAATTTTTTTCAATGTTTTACATTATATGAAATAATAAGTTTTAAAATTAGATTTTTATTATTTTTTAACAGTAGATTCACTGTATTTTAATGATGAGCAGCTATAATTCATTATTATAATTATTTTCGGTAATTAATAATATCAAGAGTATAATTAATAATCTGAAGATTAAACGATGGAAGTATATGTATAATGCTTCTGATGATGATGCTTTAATGACGTCGATCAATGAAGGTCAAAGAGTGGGAGTTCAGATTTGCACTCTACAACATTCCACACTACTGTAGAGGAAAATTTTAATCTTGCGCTTGTGTTGGGGTGCGCATGTTTCGGAGTCACTGAAATTCTAAAGGAAACAGTGATGCGTTGTATATTAAAGTGTACAGTTGTATTAAACGAACTTTAAGGTTATAATATAAAAAAAAATTTTTATTCATTTGATAAATGAGTAATATTAGTTAAAATTATTTTTATATTATTAATTTCTAAATTTTAAACATTTTCTCAAGTTTGAAATAATGTCAGAAAAGAAAGCGGAAGTTCGTGTTTGGTGTGATGGATGGTGAGTTTAATTTCTTTTTTTTTTTAAATATATATAAAATAAATTATTACTTTTTATTAATTATTATTAAAATTAGTATTAATATTTTTTAAAACAAATTAAAATGTTACATTTTACTTTTTGAAAAACTATAGAAACGATTTATTGTTATATAGTGATTTTCAATTTTTTGGCAAATAAAATTTATTGTTTCATATTTTTTATATTATTCTATGGCATTTTTATAAATATATATTTATACTTACAAATATATGCAAATTATCTATATGCCAGTTTCACATTTGTATGCAGAGGCAATCAATTTTGGTGCTAAGGTTATGCATAGCCTTTATCACCTTGGACATTTAGCAGTATTTTAACGATTTTTTAGAAGAATTTAAAAAAATATTTTCTTAATCTTCATTATGACTTTATATATCCATTTATTTTAATTTTATTTATTTAGAATTAAATTTTTAAATATAATAAACAAAATAGAATAAAATCAAACATTCCTCTATTTTGAGAATAATATTTGAAATTATAATTCATTGTTAAACTATTTCTGGTATATCTAAGAATTTATATATGATTATCACGCGATTTTCATGATAATATTAATGAATGTCTTTACTTAAATATTTTGATTGATTTCAGCTATGATATGGTGCACTTTGGTCATGCGAATTCACTACGTCAGGCGAAAGCTTTAGGAAATTATTTAGTTGTCGGTGTTCATACAGATGAGGAAATTTCTAAACATAAAGGTCCTCCTGTTTTTACGGAAGAGGAAAGGTAAAAATTTATTTAAAGAGATTTAATAATTACATATATACAATTTATCATTTAGTTTATGTTTGAATTTTTGAAATTAATTCTTTCTATAAAATGATTCATAAAATCATTTTATGAATTAAGTTATAATATTTGATATAATTCTTTTACATAAATTATGCGAAAATAAAACAAAAGTTTCTCGTTAAAATTAAAATTATATATTTATTAATTCAGTCATGAATTAGACATTCGTTTTTTTTAGTTTAAAAAACTAAAAAAATATATTTAAAAATCACTTTTTTGAAAAAAAACGTAGTTAACATACTCGTGATGAAAAAAACTTGTTTTAGAATCTAAAATATTATACGCATAACAACATAGCATGTTTCGTGAATCAGCAGAACGACTCATAAATTGCATTACATGATAAATTGTTTCATATTATTCAACATGAAAAATGCCTTCGTTTTATCGTATACATAAATATTTCCTACTATAGAGTTTTTTTTTCTCTTTAAAATTTGAAATTTTCAATTTCTAATTATATTTAATTTATTTTAATTTTTAATTTCAATTTATAAATTGTAAAATTAATTTTAATGACTGCACCAATTTAAAATAATAATTTTTTTTTTTATTTTACATTTTATTCTTTATATTTCAGATATAAAATGGTACGTGGCATTAAATGGGTAGATGAAGTTGTTGTAGGTGCTCCATATGTTACAACTTTAGAAACTTTGGACAAATACAATTGCGACTTTTGTGTTCATGGAGATGACATTACAATGACAGCGGATGGAGTTGACACTTATCATCTTGTAAAAGCTGCAGGTCGCTACAGGTACTATTTGAAAACAAAAGTTGAAAATTTACAATAATCAAATGAACTTATTACACGTTTATCAGTATTTTAAATCTATATTTGTTTAATAAATATAATTACAATGCCACGTGTAAAATTAAATTCAAGGTTTTATTTTGTTCAAATATTTTTCGTCTCTATAACAGATTAAAAAAATGTTTTTTTTATTCTATTTCTATTTTATAACTTTTTTTTTAGAGAGGTTCAAAGAACTGCTGGTGTTTCGACAACTGATCTCGTGGGACGAATGCTATTAATGACTAGACAACACTTTAAACAAGGAGATAGTGAATATAGCATTGATCATGAGCCAAGCAAAAGTATGGGACAAGATAAAACAGCTCGAAGCCCATGGACGGGATGTTCAAAATTTTTGCCAACAACACAGAAAATTATTCAATTTAGCGATGGAAAAAGTCCACAACCGGGTGATAAAGTTGTTTATGTTGCTGGTGCATTTGATCTCTTTCACGTTGGTCATTTAGATTTTTTGGATGTTGCCAAAAAGGAAGGCGACTATCTTATCGTTGGTCTACATACAGATCCTGCTGTAAATAAATATAAATGTGGCAATCATCCTATTATGAATCTTCACGAGAGAGTTCTTAGCGTTTTAGCATGTAAAGTGAGTATATTTTATTTATTTAATTTTCATAATTTATAATTATTAAATCTTGTTTTTTTTTTTTCTTTCACATAGTTTGTAAATGAAGTTGTGATAGGAGCACCTTACGAAGTGACTAAAGAACTAATGGAGCATTTTAACGTGTCAGTTGTCTGTCATGGAAAAACGCTAATAGTTCCGTGTGAAAATGGTGCCGATCCTTATGCAGAACCAAAAAGGCAAAATAAATTTAAATTATTAGACAGCGGCAATACAATGACGACAGAAAAAATTGTTGAAAGGATTATTCTCCATCGGTGAGTTTTATTATTTAGTGATAATATAAAATGCACTCATTTCATTTTGAAATTAAAAATTTTCATTATTATTTATTTATGTCGTTTTATATTTTATATTACATAATTTATTCGTTGTTATTATTATTTTATAAATAATTAGTTCCCCTTATTATTTCAATGAATCATATTTGCTTGTTTCTTTCACCCACGTTATTTTCAGTTATCACTGAATGTAGTGTTTTAATACCCTTAGGTCTGAGGAACTTCGTACAATCATTAAGAAATTGAGGTCGAAAAAATAATTTCCATTGCATCTTCCTATTTTGTATTAACCATTTGTTTTACAATAAATGTCTTTTTTTCGTATGCTAACGCTTTTTAATTTCTTTTTATTCATATCCATTTTGAATCACTTTCGTAGGATATGCAAAGAAAAAAAATGCTATTTCTTCTTTTTTTTTTTATGAAAAAAATTTATTTATTTTCTTTATGACAATTAAGGGCAGATTTTTATTTGCGTATCCCAAATATAAATTCCCATACTATATTTTTAATTAGTGTATAATTACAGGTTGGAATTTGAAGATAGAAATATAAAGAAGGAAATTAAAGAAATTGCCGCCTATGAAGCTTTCCTCGAGTCTCAAAATAATGCAAAACCAGAATGATTTTTATGATATTTAAGGCTTTATGGAATTATTTGTAAATATGAAACTACGCTAATTTTTGTTATTTATTATTAATTATATAAATCATAGGAAACTTGCCTTTTTCCATTTTAAAACTTTTACAGATTTTTTGTTGTTCAATATTAAATTTACAATGTAATTTGAAATATTATAGTGAAACCTAGATCGTTTTTTTTTTTTTTTAATCAATTTATTGAACATAACGAGTATTATTTAACTCATATGTTGAATAAAAATTAATCATTTATTTTTATGTATAGTATTTCATAATTTTATGTAAAATCATCATGTGACTGACATAAAGTAAAATTTTAAACTACCTCTTCTCGTCGAGAGAATTTTTAGTAAACTAGAAATACTGGATAAAAAAATCATATCAAAATCAAGAATAACGACTAGAGTTATGCTATACGTTTTTAGTTTAGTTTTTAAATGTTTGTATTAAAAATTTTCATGATAGATGTTTTTTCTTCATGTATTGTGAATAAATTCGCTCTGTGCTCCTTTTTTTTGATGATTTAAAAAAAAACCGAATAGTTAAATCAATAGAAAATATGAAATAATTTTGAGAAAATGAAAGACTGTCTCATAATTTTATTTGAATCAAAATTATTTTTTAAGAGCATTTTCAATTTTTTTTTTTAAATAATAAAAAATTATTAATAGATTTATTTTAATTTAGCTGTATATTATTTGATAAAATAAATTGTGCTCACATAATGAAATATAACATTTAAAATTTTTTAATAAGTAAATAAAATTTTTATTTATATTTGTCTCAAAGAAACAGATTTCTTTTTGTTAATTTTAAATAGAAAACAATTAAGAAGACACAGTGGGAAATTTTTTTTTTATATATTATTTTTAATAATTTAAATAAATATAAAAATCTTATTCTACAGTTTATATTCGTTCACTATTCATTTAAACTTTCTTCTGTTTGAGAGACTGTTTGGCGCACACTTATAAATAAATAAATATAGTAATAAATTATTATATAGAAAAAATTTTCATAATTTGATGCGCTTATGTTTATATACCAAAAAATTATATGTATGTACAGAGTTTATTACTAAAATAAAACACATTTTTAAAACATGTGAGTTTAAAGCTTAAATTCTTTCTAGTTATCAAACAATATCTATTAATTTATTTAAAATTCTAATTAATTTTTACTAATAAACTCTAAGCTATATATTAATTATTGCACGAACAAAAAGTAAAAAAAAAAAATTGCTCGATTCCTTCAGGTCACGAAATAGCATTGCGATTTGGAGTTTCTTAATCGAAATTCAGTACAGTATTTGTTTTCAAAAACAAATTATAAAAATACTCCATTAATATGGAGAGAGAAGATTTTTGTCTTAAAAATTAGTAAATTACAATTTTTAATTGTAGTTTTTTTTTTGTTTATAAAAATAAAACCGCACCGAAGATTAAAGTCTTTTGTTTCAGAAATGATTTTTTTTTTTTTTTTTAATATTTGTATTATTGTATGGTTGCTCGACCAGTATATCCAGATGATGGTTCGTAATATTTTCTAGCACGATCTCTGACAAGTTCATCGATACTTTTATTATGAGGTAATTGAGAAATACTTTGGAGACGAGAGGCCAGATAACACATAATTAGAGCCGAAAGGACCAATAATGCTCCAAGGCCTGTTGCTACATAAAGGAAACTTCCACAACTGCTTTCGAAACCTGATGTCATCCTGTCGTAAACATCTAAAAATATAATAAAATTAATGCTGCTGTTTTTTTTTTAGAATTTTTCAGTGTAATTAATTTTATAAATTAATATTTCGTACCGTCTGGCATCATAACGGTATACTCGATATTTTCCTTGAATTTTGTGAATGGAGTTGAATCATTGTATTTTTGAATTAATCGCTCCACCCTTGGGAATAAATCTTTTTCTAAATTTTCCTTTTCGGACATTCTTCTTCTGCGTTTTCCATGTCCTGAAGGTTCAAACAAGTCCAGACAGAAATCCTGTGGAAAATTTTATAAAATATTTCTAAAAATTGTAATTTTCAAAAGAAATTTTGATTTTTTTGAAATAGATTTTAGAAAATACTATACCGGTTGACAATCTTGGGGCTCCATGCAAGCCTTGATTTGAGAATGAATCCAGAGTGTTGATCTGTCTCTCATGGAACTCAATAGAAATGCTTCAAAATCAAGAAAAACTTCATTTTTCTTATCTCGATAACGAGCCGGTTGATGAGGAATAATCGAAGCAAAATCACGATTTCTACAACCGTCCTTCACGAGGAAAACACTTCCTGGCGCATGCGGTTGATCAGGATCGGGACTTACTGTTACTTCTAAAAGTTTAATGAAACCCCATGCACTCTCGGCGCTAATACGTGCTCTCAACTGTAATTTAGTGCCAATTGGAACAGCTTGATCAACTGTTTGCGAAGAACTTTGATTTGGATCAGATGAATTGCCAGCAGCTTCACGATAAAGAGCCACTTCGTATTCTAGACGTCCTGGTGTTTCTTCAACTACACCTGAAACTCTTGCTCCATGGGGACTGTAAAATTAATTATTTTTTAATTAAAATTCGATTTACTAAATTTTCAAAAAAATTATATAAAATACTAACAAAGTTCCAGCGAAACCGGCAGCTTTATGCCTCAATAATGTTGGCTCCGGTGGACGACACATTAAAATTAATTCTTGATCTGCAAGCATTACAACTCCTGGAAATGCCGGAAACCACACCCTGAGATGAATGAATCCCTGTGGAAAAAAAAATTTTAAATAAATTTTTACGAAAAAAAAATTATAAATTTGTTTCAGTAAAAAAAATAAATTGACTTACATTTCTTTTCAAGATTCCACAACGAGTAAAGTCTGTCACTTTCAAGAAATAATTATCCTCCTGCGGATCATTAGGATCTGGCCTTATTTGACAATTAATATCTGTGAGAGGGTCAGCGGCTCTGTCATCGGCAAAGAGAGGCGAACCTCTAAAACCAACAGGCCTTTTTATTTTTGCAGTTAATAAATCATTGGCCGATCCTGCTCCACTACATTGAATTTCTGAGACTTCATAATCTTGAGCAACCGTTGCAGCGACCTGGGAAAAATTTATTTTATTAAAAAAAAATTGTTTAATTATAATGTGTATTTAAAATAAATAATTACATAAAAAAAACAATAATTAATTTTGATAATAGAATTTTTTTTTCGAAATTATGCAATAAAATTGAATATATTGCGAAAAATGATTATTATGCGAACTCGGAAGTGCGATAATTACAGAAGACGTGTGTAAGTGTTCTAATTTTCATAAATGTGTGAAGCCCCGCGTTCAATCTCGAGTTCCGCACGTGCTTAAAACTGCACGCCACTATCATTATCAGTGTTGGAAGTTTTACGAGCGAACTAGTGAATGTGTATTCTGAACTTTACTTCTTCAGGAGTATTATAACGGTGTTGCAAAAAGGAGACGCTCTACTGAACACACCATAAAATATTTTCCTCTATACCAACTTCTATATACCTTTTAGACCATATATCAACACTGACACCGAAATATAGCTGAGATTTACATCGGTTTAAATGCAATTACAAATTCACAAGTAGAAATATCTATCTGTATTTAGAAACTTGCCACTGATCAATGTTGAAAAAAAAAAAAAAAAATTATTTTATGGAGCACCTGATATTATCCACATTCATAATCTTGAATCAGAAATATTTTCAAAAGGATTCAGTAACACGCGAAAATAAATGTTACTTGATACTTTATTTATAATAATATATCATTTACAAATTTTTCCTTTATTTTTCAAAAATATTCAAAAATTAAAATATTACTTAATTTTCAATAAAATTGAAGATAAGATTTTTTTTTAAAATGTTTTTATTTATCTTTTTCATTGATGAAAATTGTTTACAATTTTTTAGATAAAAGATGTGTGATTTAATTAATTTTTTTTTAAGAGAAGAAAAAAAATTTTTTATAACAAGTAATTTTTATACGATAAAAAAGAGAGGAAATTTTCTTGGTTTTTTTTTATATATAGTCAAGTAAATATTTTGATATGATTAGTCAATAAACATATCAATTACTGTCCAATTGATTAATCCACAGTTTAATTATAATTCATATATATGTGATTTTATCACAAATTGATTGCATAATTTATTATACAGGTGTAATTTTTAATCATTAGTAGATGCATTCAACCCATAAAATGAGTGTCTCGATGGCCACGTGCTGTCTCACGTGAAGCAAAAAGCGTGAAGAAATTATAAAAAGAATAATTAACTATTTATTTATATCGTTGATTTTTTTTTCTCAAATATTTTGACTCACAAATAAAGTAGATTAACAATACGATTTATTTAAATTTATTGAAGTAATAAAAAAAGGATGGTTCATTTTTTTGATTAATAGTAAATAAAAAATTTATATCTAATAATAATAATAATAATAATTATTATTATTATTATTATTAATAATAATAATAATAATAATTATTATTATTATTATTATTATTACTATTTCTATTATTATTATAGTTAATAAATAATAGTTTTTTCTCCCGGAAGCAAATTAAATTTTTTGCAAAATATAGGTTTAATTCTAATTTTGTTAATTAAAATTTCTCATCATTTTTTAACGCCCTCCAAACATAAGAAAGTTCAGTAGTATATGATAAAGTATATATTATTAACGGTTTATAAGATTTACTTGAGTAATAAAAGCTTTTATTATCCACGAGAAAGAACACAGTCATTTTTGAATATAAACCTGAATATCATTGAAAACCAGGGCACTAGAATAAGAATTTTTTTTTTATATTATCAATATTGGTGAAAAAAAAAAATTTTTTTTGCAGAACAGAAACGATAAAAGAAATTGGGAGAGAAAAAATAAAATTTTATGCGTTACCGTTAAAAATCATTATTTCGAATTTCTTTTTTAAATTGAGTGATAATAAAAAGATAAAAATAACACCTCTTTGATTTTTAAAATAAAAGCACCTGTTTGAAAAATTAAGGAAAAGGACATATAGTAACGGTATAAAAATACAAGAGCAGGTGAATTTGATTCACCAGTTGACTAAAATAATTACAAAAGCCCACGTAAACACATTAGTGGCCTAATTTTTGTTTTACTTTAAATACATGAATTTTTATGAAAGAAAAAAATAATTTTATTTATTTTATAGTGAAAGTAATTTAATATTAAATTTTTTTAAATAAAACTAATACACTTTATAAATAATAAAAATAATCTATAATAATAAAAATAATTTAAATAATTGATTAATATAAAATATATAAAAATGTTGATTAGTTTATTTAAAATTAAAATATTTAAAAAATATTATTATATTTTAAGAATAATATATATATATATATATATATATATATATATATATATATATATATATATATATATATATATATTCTTTCAGAATAGAGTAATTTTAGTTTACAACGTGTAAAATATTATTTTGAAAAGATATATAATTTTGTCAGGTTTATTGGGATTTAAATCAAGTATGGCAAATCGTTAATCATTGCTTTTTGTATCGCGAACGTAAACGGATTACCAAAGACCGTTATTCTTTGAAAAAGAACAAACAAATAAATAAGCATTGCCAGTTAAATCCCAAATTAAACAGGTATTGATTTTTTTTATTGGCAATCAATAACTTTTCCATAAAACGTATAAAGTATTTACACTTACGTATATACTTTATATTTTTTTTTCAAATAAAGAAAAAAATTCCTATTATTTTTTTATCATAAAAAAATTCTACTAAATTAATTTAGTTTCTTTTGAATCTAATAACAATATAAAATTATTAAAAATTATTAATTATAATAATTATTAATTAATAATTATAATATATAATAATTATTAATTAATAATTACAATAAAATGTAAAAATAAATTACAATAAAATGTAAAAATAAATTTTTAATTTTGTAATCTAATAAATTGTCTAAAAAACAAAATATTAAAATGTAAATAAGCAAAATTATGCAAATGCATTGGATAATGAATACATTGAAAAAAATTTATTTGATTCAAATACTCCATTACTTGAGTATTATCAAATAAATATTTATTTGAACCAAATAATTTTTATTTGAATTAAATAAAATGTATTTGAACCAATAATTTCTGTATTTGAAACAAATACCATTTAATTGACACAAATAATAATTATTTTATACAAATAAATATTTATTTGATAATAGTCAAGTAAAAGAGTATTTGAATCAAATAAATTTTTGTTTTTTTCAGTGTATGTAATTATTATTAAATTATTAATTATTGTAATTATTTTTATTATTAATAATAAATTTGTTATTAATAATAAAATTATTATTAATAATAAATTTATCGCATACACTTTGTATTTAACAAATAATATAAAAATTAATTTTTTTAAAAAAATTTAAATAAAATTAATACTCACTGTGCAAAATCCTGCAATAATGATCCTCCACATCGTAAATGTAATCCAACTTTTTTTTTGTAAAAAAAAAAAATAAAGGTTTAACACTAAAATACACTTCCGATATTTTGCATCTACCACGTGTGTACAACCTTGAATAAAACGACAAGATCGTCAATTTTCAAAAGGATGCAATTTTGACGAAGGCTTCAGATGGACTGAACCGGACCGAAGCAAAGGAGCAGGGAATCACCAGTCCATCCAGAATTTACTGTTAATGCATGCCCGATGCCTCTGCTAACAACCATATTCTTTACTTGGTTTCTGAAACCGACGTCTACAAACAAATTGCTCTCATTTTTTTTTTCAACAAATTTTTAAAAAAGGAAAAAAAAATTTTTTGTGTTGAAAAAAAATTATTAGACCTTATAAAGAATAGTTTTCTCAATTAAATCAATTTGTACCCTTAACAAAAAATAATTTTAATTAAAAAATAAAAACATTGTTTATGCCAAATAAAATTTTTTTTATAGTTCATTTAGTTGAGAGTTAAAAAAAAATTTGCATTTAATTTAGACGAATAAAAAAAATATATTTAATTTTTGTGTATAGAAATTATTTTGAAATAAATTCATTTCTTTAATGTTCTATATAATGCATCGAACACCATTGTATATAAGGAAAAATTTTAAAAACAAATTCTTTTTCCTCTTCACGGTATAGAAGGTTTGTCGAAACGCTATGCGATTCTGATATGTATAACTATAAGCAGGGGAATGAGTTAAGCGGTTACTGACTTTTCAAGAGAGCACCAATTGTCGCGGTTCAACTGATCTTTACGTCGACTGTTATACAAAAAAAAAAAAAACAACTTTATGATTAATTAAAATAATACAAATTCACATATATATTTCATTTATAAATTACTGTTTGTATCATAGGCTCATTGGACCAATACTAACGTTAACGGTTTTCTTTTTTTTTTTTTTTGCACCTTACTATTATGTACTGAAAAAAAAATACGAGCCCAAGGCACGTCAGTTTCTAGTAAATTATTTTATTAGTATAATAATGAAGAGTTTAAATTAATATGCCTGCCTACCATTCATAAAGCTCATCAACATTTTGTTATAATAAATTCAAAAATTCTCTATACAACGCTCTATAAGCAAATTAATTTCCATTTAAAAGCATTATATGATAATAATGATATATAATCGTTTTAATTGTTTTAATTAGTTTCTTAAAAGGTTTTAAAGGAAATATTTAATTTTTTTTTTTCAAAAGATTTCATATACAATATTTATTTTTTTTTTTTTAAATTGTTCCGATCTCCTATTAGGAAATATCAACTTTGTTTAATAAGTTTACAGCAGCATAAGAAGTTTTTATTACCTATTAATTAAATTCAATAAGTTAGATTCTCGTTTCATTATAATTAATAATAAAATTCTTTTAATTTGTCATTAATTAGAATTTTATTTTTAAAAAAATATCGTTTACCCATCCAAATGTCTGAAGATTAAGTGTACACAAACTTTGGAAAGAAATAGAGGATCCTCTTTCAGCAATTAGTAACATTAATAACAAATTTCTCCTATTAGAATAATTCGATTGTACCCAATTACTACTGTAAACAGCCGACGAAACATCTTTACTCTATTTTGAATTTACAAATGAAAATTATTTTTGTACTATTAAAAACTATTTTTAGTAGAATTTTTTTTTGTACCTTTTCATCAATGAGACAACCGTACCAACAATATAAAAATATTTGCGACAGCACACATGTAACATATTGTATTAACATAATATATTGAAACAAGTTCCCATCCAATAAGCTTTTTTGCTGCAAAAAAAAAAAATCATAAAAAAATTTTCCAACAACCCGTATATATTTACGGAACACTATAAGAATAATTTTTACCTGTGCTATTTGAAAAATTATCGTACAAAAGGTCAAAAGACTAATGAGAAAAAATGGTAAAACCGCAACCATAAAAAATGATTCAATTTGTTTAACAATTTTCAAAACTAGAACATGATGATTCACATATTCTTTTATTTTATCCAAAGAAATCCCATTAGTTTCATTGACAGAAGAATTTTCTAATCTACATGCACATAATTCAAATTGTCCTATTGTTATCAACATAAATCCATAAACTGTTGTGTCTAATGTTACATTTATAATAATTGAAAAAGAATTCAATAATGATTCAAAAGCATAAGTTGTCGTAAAAATAATTGGCGATGAAACATCAAATGGATAATAAAGATTGAATGGAAGCATTATTTTCTCCTTCCATTTCAATAGTGGTGTTAATGCTATTGAAATTCCACATAATGTAAAAATTGTTATGATAAATTTAAAAATTTTTTGCGATTTACGATAATATTTATCAACAATTAAATTCTCCTCAATTGTTGATGGTTTAAATAAATGATGACGAAATTCATTTAAAATTTCTCTCATATCATTTTTTTTAATAATAAAATTCACAACCTTCCAACAAAAAATAATAAATGTAAGCGAAGGATAAATTTCAACAAAATGCTCTAAACTTTCACATGTTCGAAAAAATTGTATTATTTCTGACAATGTGAAACAATGAATCAATAATAAAACTATAAATCTGTAAAATTTTCTCTCTAATGATGATTTAACATTGTCTTCCCAGAGACCACATAGCCACAAGGAAGTAAATTGACTTGGCAAAATGTCCATAATGCTAAAAGGGAAAAGAGAAAATACAAAGGTAGCATTTAACTGGCTACTGTCGATTTATCGATGTTCATGTGGTCTTTCATTATATCTACCACTGAAAATTTCATCAAAATGCAACATGTAATCAGTACGAACTATAAGGATTCATTTCCTGGTTTTGCTAATTTTGAACTTCTTGGACAAAGGTAAAGCACACAATTTAAATATATATTATGCCTACAGAACTTTATTGACTTCAAAATACGAAACACAAATGAATTCATCAGATCTAGGGTATAATTATCTGTGTGACACAACATGTGTGATTGTTCAAAGTTACCAATTGTAGCATATAATTAAAAAGCCCTCTTTGGATTTATCGAACCGGATAAGGTATATAGGTATACACAAATACCTCAGGGAAATATTTTTGAAACGAAAACTAATCTATGGAATCTATTTATTCATCTCTAAAATACAAAACGATTTTATTATGTTTTTTTTTAAAATTGTGTGATAATATCTATAAATGAGTGTTACAGCGAAAAATGATTTCAAACTGGAAAAAAAAAATTATTTTACTCAATCGGTTATTTGACTATTATCAAATATTTAAATATTTGTATTAAATAATTATTTCATTGAAATAGGTGTTTCAAATATAGAAATTATTTCAAATTTATTTTTTGCAAATAATAAATTATCTAATTCAATTAAATATATATATTTATTTGATGATAGTTGATTATTTAAATCAAATAAATTTTTTTTTCCAGTGTACTTTTATTCATTATATTCTTAATTTTCTCCTTTTGCATTTGCTTGCTTCATTAAATTTACTGCAGCGTATGAGGTTTTAACAACCTGAAAAATATAATTTTAAACTTAAAGAATCAATATAAAGCAAATTACACTGAAAAAAAAAATTTATTATTTGATTCAAATACTCGATTACTTGAGTATTATCAAATAAATATTTACTTGAACCAAATAATTTTTATTTGCATTAAATAAATTGCATTTGAACCAATAATTTCTGTATTTGAAACAAATATCATTTCAAATAATAATTATTTGATACAAATAAATATTTCTTTGATACAAATAAATATTTATTTGTTAATAGTCAAGTAATCGAATATTTGAATCAAATAAATTTTTTTTTTTCAGTGTATTAGTATAAATTAAATTATTAATTCTTGCACAAAAATTCGCAAAAATATCTTTACGAAAAAGAGTATTTTTTATACCCAACTAAATGTTGCTTGATTTAAAGTACACAAACTTCGAAAAGAAATTGGACTTCCTTCTTCGGCAATAAGTAACATCAAAAATAAACTTTTTCTATCTGAAGTATTTAAATTAAGCCAATCACTATTGTATATTGCAGTAGATATTTCTTTGCTCTATTAAAAATTATTCTTATTATTAAGATTTTATTCAGTAAAATTAAAAAAAATTATTTAATTTAATAAATAAATATTTATTTGTATTAAATAATTATTATTTAATTAAATAGTTGTTTCAGTTAAATGGTATTTTTTTTCAAAATACAAAAATAATTGGTTCAAATAAAATTTATTTAATTTCAGATAAAAATTATTTTATTTAAATAGTTTTTTTTTATAAAGTAACCGATTATTTGAATCAAATAAATTTTTTTTCATTGGAATTTCGAGACATCCAAATATAAAAAAAAATAACCTTTTCATCAACTTGAAATCCAAACCAACAGAATAGAAAAACTAATGACAGTATTGTAGTCACGTATTGTGCCAAAGTAACTAAATGTCCATTAAATAAACTATCCTCCTGAAAAAGGTGAGCCTACATTTTAACAATCTAAAAGTACCAAACAGACAACAAAAGAATAAAATAATTTAATAAAAAAAGAAATAATTTGTCCAAATTATTTTTTTTTTGTAAAAATGTTTCTTCTTTTATCGATGAAAAAAATGTAAAAAGCCATTAAAAAGAAAATTTGATTTTAAAGATACTAAAATAAAAAATTTTTATTGTATAAAAAATAACTTATACAATAACCTGGGCAATTTTAAATAGAATCGTACACAGAATAACGAGACTGCAGAAGAAGAATGGAAAAATTATTATCATAAAAAAGGCTTCAATCTGTTTAACAACATCTAATATACGAACGTGATGTTTAACATAATCCTTTATTGAATTCGTAGCAGATATTTTTTCTTTTTTACTAAAATTTTCTATTCTATATGCACACAATTCAAATTGTCCAATTGTTATTAAAAGAAATCCCATTACCATTGTATCCAATGTGATTGTACATAAAATTGAAAATGCATTTAATAACGATTGATAAATATACATTCCAATAAATATAATTGGATGTCTCACATCAAATATATGATACATTTTAAATGGAAGTTCAATTTCTGTATTTTCTTCATGTTTCATTAATGGCGTTAATATAATAAAAATTCCACATATTTCCACAAAAACATTAATTAAAAAGATTTTTTGTGATTTCATAAAATATTTTTTTAATATTAAATCCTCCTCTTTTGTTTTAGCTAAAAATGTATTATCACGAAAATTTTTCAATATCTCATTCATATCATTTTCTTTATATACAAAATTAATAACTTTAAAGCAAAATTGTAAAAATGTTAATGCCGGATAAATATCGGCAAAATTTTCCACATTATCAGCGGTTATAAAAAATTCAATAATTTCCGCTAATGTAAAATAATGAATCATAAAAAGTACAAAGATTTTATAGATTTTTCTTAATTTGGGAAATTTTGTCTCTTCATTCCATACACCACAGAACCACATTGTTTTGAATTGTCGTGGTAAAATATCCATTTTATGATAAAATATTTAGATGTTTTTAGAGGTAATTTAGTATATAAGGGTTTTGTTTCAGTTTCATAGAATTGAAACATACAATTTCAAGTCTCGAGAAACAAACATAGCAATTTATGATATTTTCCAGAATATTGAGAAAACTGTATAATTTGTACATATGAATATATTTCTCTCAAATTTTTTGATATAATTTTTATTTTTGCTAGAAGATAGATTTTCTCAACACCGTTATATAAAACTGTCTATAAGGAAATAAAATTCCATTTTTTTTTTTTTAAATTTATTTATGTATATGGTTCCATATTACGAATATAGAATGTGGTCGATATTTCAGAATCTGTAATTTTGCAATGTACGGTAAATGAAACCTGCAATTTTCAACTTTATCCAAGAATTGTGAATTATTAAATGAAAGATACCTGGACAATTTTAGTGCAAAATTTTCTTGATTATAGATCTACTGTTATAGTCTCAGTCTAAATAATCTTTAGTGTATACGATTTGTAACGCACTTGAATTTTATATAGAATTCAATAAATTACATATATGCGAAAAAAAAAAAACCAAAATGACTTTTTACACTTTATATAAATAAAGCACTATTAGCTCGATTACGGGTGAGATAGTGATATAGAGAAAGAGAGAGAAGTATATCAGTAATCTTTGATTCCATTTATATATTACTGTAAATGTCACTGATTGAGTTGAGAAATGGCAGATTGTCTTCCTAACCGTTATATCTTATCGCTTTAAGAGCACGGTTCACGTGTTTTACATGTTAATTTTTTTTTCTAGAGAGCGATTTAAGAGAACGTTGCAAATTAAAGGGAATTTAACATTATAATAGAATTTATAGTTAATTGTTTTTGCGGAAATATTGTTCGAATAAATATCGATTTCCTTTATCGAAAAAAATACACGATTTTAAATAATCGCTTGATCAAATAAATATTTATTTGGTTCAAGTAAATATTTATTTGATAATTAAGTAACGGATTATGAAATAAATTTTCGATATAAAAATGTCATTTTGCGTATACAAATATTAAAAGTATTAATTTGTTATTTTTCTTTTGAAAAGTGTGATTTATATATATTTTATGGGGTTTAAATCTCTCTTGAGAGCAACGATGTGAGGAAATAAGTCGTTTTTTTTTTTACAGAAAACTAACTTCTCTCATTCGCCTTAATCGTAATTTTCCTGCAGTCTTGGATTTCTGCGTCTGTGGAATTTGCTCAGACATTTCCGAATACCTAAGGGTCTTTAACTCCTTTAACTATATTACAATCTTTTGTTTAAAGGATAATTTTTGCTCCACTTATATTTTATTAATAAATAATAATTGAAAAATTGTTTTAGCTAATTAGAAATGATTTTAAAAAACAAAAATTCTTATTTAAAGTGAAAGATGATAAGTTGAAGATTAACGATATAATTATCCGTTATAAGCACGTGCGATTGCACATACACTGAGTTTTCGTTACGGGCCATAGCGATTTGTATATATAGCTGAGACTGCGAATCTTGAAGTGCAGGTGTTTTTCGCACTTAAAATAAATAAGTGCATTATTACAACCGTGACCACAAAATGTTGTTAGAAGAATATCACGAAGCACATAAATACCCGCCAAATAAGTCAAAAGTTTATGATTATTATGGAGCTCAAAATATTCTAATTTTTTATTTTAAAATATTACAGAAAATTCTCACCATGAAAAAAAAAAAAAATAATAATAATAATAATAAATAAAAAATTCAGCAAGCACGGAAGAATATAATTTATTCGTTCAGATCATTACTTCATTACTTAATTACTGTAAACTCTCATTATACTCATTTTTTTCAGTGTAATGATGCTGAAAGTAATTTTTTTATATTAAAAATTTTAAAATGAAAAAAAAAAAAAAAAATAGGACAAAAATAATCAAAAACTGTCGGATTATCGTATACAAGTTGTCACGGAAACCTTTTAACCTAAATTATATTTTAAAATTCGAAAATTCAACAATCGTTAATGGTGAGACGCTTTTGAATATATTTATCTGGGATGATGTTTTATGCTAAGTACTCAATCATCAGGCAAATCACGAAAGCCAGACTCATTGTAATCAATAATGGACATCGTTGTAGGTCCTTGTTCCCGTCAAACAATAAACCCCTCAAGTCCTTGTGGGTTTTATTAATAAGTGCTACCTTTAAAAGCAATCACAATTTCCACGATTCAGTTTAGTCTCAATATGTATTTCACAAAAGAAGTTTCCTTCATTCCCAAAAATCATTCTTTTCAAGTAAATTCATTTTTCTATCCATTATTAATTTTATATATTTGGAAAAATTAAATTGAACCTTTTTTTTAGTTTATCGAGATATTATTATTGATATCATCAACAATTGGTTTTGGCGATAAATTAGACGCGATTGTGCCTGCATACTTCCGTTCACTACAAGAGCCTATTCTTATTAATTTTCCTAAGCGAATTAATAATCTTACTAGAGGTGTTATGGCTCAGCGATTTTATTTACCACCGGAAGTGCCTAGTGTTCTACGTCCGGAAATTATCGACAACAAATTGAGAAGTTCCTCATGGATTGATTTTCATAAATTATCACAATCCGATATTAATTTACAAATCCCAATTAAAATTGATAATCAGAGGGATAATTTTTATAAAGAAAATTTCTTACAAAAACAAATAGACAATACGAATACAGATTTTGTCAAAATTAATGAAATGTCTTGCAGAAATTCTGGAGATGAAATTTATTTTAGGTATTAAAAAAAATGATAATTTTTGTTTAATGTTAATTATTAACGAAAATTTAATTCACAATTATAGGGTATCATTGACGCCATTAAAGAGGACCGGTCCACCAATTATAGAAAATATTGGAAGCAATAATTGTGAAATTAAAAAAGTGCAAAACGAATATAAAATTGATTTTGATGGTACACAATTTTGGAATTGTGGTATTATTGATTGTTCCAATGGATCGGATTTAAATTACTGTCTAAATCTTCGATTTCCATTAATATATGGTTTAAAATTAAAGGACGATTTCAAAATCACTTTACAATGTAGAGGTCAAGATAAAATTGTTTCACACGTGAAGAAAATTAGCATCAACTCATTGGACACGTAAGAATAAATTTTCTAATACTAAAAAAAATTTTTTACTGAAAAAAATCAAAAATAATTTAATTTATAGAACAGGAAAAATGGTACCGCAAATTGAAATCGGTGGATATAAAAACGATTTTCAAACTGATGTTGCTCTTTATAGAAAAACATTCAACTCGGAAAATATTTTTGACACTCGAATAGAATCAGGAGGAACTGTTATTTTAGGAGAGGAAATTTTACTTCGCGTTTTAGTTCGAGAGGGTGATGGTAATAAAAAAAAACTATTTAATTAATATTACTTAATTAAATAACAAAAACTGAAAACTAATTTTTTCTCCCATAAAGGTTGGCAGTATTCGAAAATTAACGATGTGACGATTTATTTTTTGGAAAGAAAACAGAGGAGAAAAATAATGAATAGCGTGTGGATTTTGGATTCAAATGGTTGTTTAAATCCAAATATTAAATCATTATGTTCGCGTGAACAATACAGAGTGTCACCTTTGGAAAGTTATTTGCTCTTTAAAGTTTTTATGTTTGAAAATATGAAAGAGAATGATGAGATGATTATAAGCGTAAAGATAACTGGTTGTCTCGATGGAGCTGATTGCATTTTAAATTGTCCAGCGGGTCACATAAGATCGAAAAGAAATATTCCAAATCAACAAAATCAGACTATTAAATTTGAGAATGATATTCAATTTAAAGTTATTTTACCAAAGACAATAACAACAACAGACGAGAACTACACAATGGATTTAAATCTTATTATTTATATTTTGTCAGCTTTAATTTTAATATCGACTATTATTTTAATTTACATCGTTCAGGAATTCATTAAACAAAATTATTGTAGATCTAATTTAAACTAAAATTGCAATTAAAGAATATTGTTATATTTATTTAAAAATTTTTTTTTCAATTATTATCTGGATAATTTATCTGGGATTTGAAAACCATCCAAATCATAACAAAGTTTTATACCCACACCCAATAGTGCAACCGAAACTATAAATTTTCTAATATGTGTTTCAGCCCATAATTGTTTAACTAGACAAAGGGAAGAACAGTTACATAAGTCGTCAAAAATTCCTTTGTTAGGACGATAATCATCAGGTTCCTTTTGTCTTCTTTTTATAGTTTCACCTAAAATGTTAATAAGTTGGACTTTATAATGAATATTACAAAAATATTTTTTGAATTATATATTTAAAAAAAAAACACTTTCTTTGTTTTGTGAAAATATTTTTTTTTTATCTAACGAATATAAATACATTTTGACAGGAAGAAGAATCATCGTAACGATACCTTTCAATTTCTTTGAAGAACATTCTGAGGAACAGGGTTTATGACTCGATGATATATAATCCTCTGATTCATCTGATTCGTATTCTTCTCGATTCCTTCGTCGATCTCTTCTTTTTGTTCTCGGTAAATTTTCTTCCACTTGAAAACATTGACGCCTATCACATCGTCGATCTCTTGATTCTTTATCATCATTATTTTCATTATCATCATCGTCACTTTTTTCAAAATCACTTTCTTCAAAATCACTTCCTTTATTCTTTAAGCTTCTACCTGATCTTGAGCATAAACTTTTTATTTCTGTACTTTTGTAGCTTTTTCCTGATCTCGCACTTTTTGACAATGTATCATCAACAGAATATTCGTAATTATTTATTTCCACCTCTACATTTAAATGCAATAATTATAATTTCAGTATTAATAATTAAAAAAGGAAAAACAATTTTTGATCATTAAATTTCACCTAAATCTGTCGATTTTTCTGGCGCTGGTCCAGATCTTCCTTTTTGTGCTTTTTTTTGTTCTTTGTAAAAATAAAGATTTAAAGAAAATTTTCTAAAAAATATGTGTTAAAAAAAAATGAGCAATCATACCAGCAGCTAGTTTCTTTAGATCTCTTTTGACTTTTGAACAAGTTGGAGGACAACTAGGCATTTTTTTTGGAAATTTCTAAAAAAACAATAAATGTTTTCACTGAAAATTTAGACATCAAATTTATTTGCACAGAATTTCTTTCATTAAAATGTTTTTAAATCTTTTTTTAAATTAACCCTACTGTCATTAAAGAAGAACAAAAAAACAATAAAAAGTGAACAAAAATAATCAAACTTCAAATTGATTAGTTACGACTATCAAGATTTTTTAAATAATTTGTAAATCTTTTTCATCTTATTTAAGTTTTAGAGCAAAAGTCGGTCTCTCTGTGTGATTTAAATATTCAATTTAGAATTCAACGAGAATGATGGAGTGGAACAAAATACTGTTAAATCTATTAAATCGTTGAAGGAAACTAAATATTCCTTATGGGAAAGAATAATTCAAAAGTTGGAAAATAATATATCACTTTACAAGCAATGGTGGGAAGAAAAAGTCTCTCAGGAAAATAAAGATCAGAACAAACCAATGCTTTAAAGGTAATTTTTGCAAAATATTTAAAATTTAAATATAATTTTTAATTTAATTTTTCAAAATTGACTGTTACTATATATTTTAAGTTTTCAAATACAAGAAACTTAAACAAAAAAATAATAATTATTTTCTATCAAGTAAAAAAACAAATATTTTAAAAACAATGTACAATGTATTATCCTAATTTTTTATCATATACAAATAACTGAAAATAATATAAATTATTCTTTAATATATTTAAACAATTCAGAATATTTTTCTCGTTCAAGTCCTATTTTTAATTCATAATCTGGTTTTTCACCTTCTTCAGCGAGTCTTATTAAATTGAATTTATTTGTGAAATTATATTTAACAGTTAATTTTGGTTCTGTGACTGGTTGTCCTTGTGCTTTCATTTGACGTATTAAAATTTCTCTCATAAGAGGTGGATAATCCATTGTTCTTGGGACAATTTTTGTAGGAGGCGGTGTATATGCACGTAAAAGATGTTCTTCTTCTTCTTTAGGAATTAATAAATAATCAGTTTTATAAGATGTACTGTCTAATTGCACGAGACCTGTCGCTGTTTTTCCACGAAAGATTTTTTCTGTTAGAGCAATGACTTTACGTAGATTCTAAAATATATAAATTATTTCGTTAATAATAAATTTAAATTAATTATCATATTTTGTTGAAATATAGAAAAATATTGTAAAACTGTTTTGGTTGTGAACAAATTTTGAGGTTAGAATCGAATACTTTAAAAATACAATAAACTAAAATAACAGATACATATTTTACTTACCTCGTGTGGATTATCAATTTTTTCAGCAGGTAATGCTTCAACTTTTAAAATTTTATGATATGTAGGTTCAGTATAACGTTGAGCAAATGTATTTCTAACCACATATCTACCAACTCCAAAATTCTTTAAATTTCCTAATATTTCCCACAAAGTTTTACCTTTGAAATTAGTTGTTCTACCAATATATTTTATCGGCATTGTATTTTATTTACAAAAAGAATATAATTTATTCAAGAAACAATTTTTTTTTTGTAAATATAAAACATAAGATGTTAACTGTTTGAATTAGGTTATGTTTACTTTGTAAACTTTAGTCGCCTGGCTGAAAGCTACTGCTTTATCATCCGTATAAAGCGGGAAAACATCATTCAGGCGCCAGTTATAATTTATTTCTACAATAAATAAATTTACAAGAAATTAAATTAAATATTTAATTTTTTGGTACATTAATTTTAAAGAAATAAAAGATTAAAAATAATTGAAACGAAATTTTATGATTTTAAATAAATTTATTGGTCCATATATATAATTAAGAAACATTGCAAGGAAAATGCATTACTGAACGTTCCGGATGACTAAGCAACCGAATCTTTAACATAATTTGTAACTTAGAAGCAAATCTCAAATACATTATAAACATTAACTATATCTAAATGTTTAGCGATCGAAATACGAAATGCTATTTACATATATTAAAATGAATCGCTTAAAATAACTCAAGTATATCACAATATACTTTTAAATAAATAAAATATTACGATGCTTGAAAATATATAGTATAAAAACAGATCAAATTTGATATTCAGAACAAAAAAATTAATAAATGAAAAAATAAATTAATGAAAAAAAAATCTTAGTTTTAATTTTTTCTGAATATCTTATTGAAGCGTGAAGTTGTTTTTTTTTTCTTAAAACTGATTAACGACTTGATTGATCCAATCAAGATAGTAAGAAACTCGAGAATAAACTCCAGGAACTCCAGCTTGACCACAACCAATTCCCCAGGAAACAACACCGGACAATTGCCATTTTCCATGTTTTTCACAAACCATGGGACCACCGCCATCACCTTTGCAAGCGTCTTTTCCCTCTTCACCACCAGCACAAATAAATCCTGGATGCAAATTGAAACTTGGTCCCAATCTCGTTTTTCTCATTTGATTCTCACAAATTGGATTGCTGATTACAGGAACGTCCACTTCCTTTAGGATATTTTGATATTTTCCAAAATCGCCAAAAGCATCTTTACCCCATCCAGTGGTCCAACAACGATTGCCAGTGAAATCTTCAAATTTCTCTGGAAGACATGCTGGACTAATGTGAGGATTTTTCTCAAAATTAATATCATGATCAATTTTTAAAATTGCCAAATCATTGTAGAGTGTTCCAGCGTAAAATTCAGGATGCACATAAACGCTCACCACATCTCTTTCAATGTAAGGGAAAAATTCAACATCATGATTTACATCCCATTCGCCAAGGCGAGCACGAAGATCTCGTCCTGCATGAGTTTTAACACAATGTGCAGCTGTTAAAATGTGACGAGACGAAATTAAAGTTCCACCACAAACGTAGACACTTTCAGATGGATCTTTCTTTAAAATTGCTACTTGCCATGGATATTCACCTGAAAATAATATAATAATTATTATTCACTGGAAATTCAAATTTTTTTGGAAATAATAAAAATTAAAAGGATAAAAAAAATAATTCTCTTACCGAATTCCGAATCACCATCAACATAAACGGGATTCTTTATACGACCATTGATCCCTTGACTGTTTCTTACTCCACACTGACCGAGTTTTCCGGAAGGACGACCAATAATATTTGCCCGCGGGCAGCACACCTGACGTGGTCCACATGCAGGTGGTCTTCCAAATTGTCTCTGTTTCAAACAAAAATAAATCAAAAAATTAAATCATTTTCATTTTAAATTGTTATAATTGTTATTTTTATCAAATTAATGAAAAATTATTTTCAAATGTTAAAAATTTAAATTCTCCCTAATTGCATGAATATTAAAGTAACTTTTTAACAATGAACAAGAAATGAAATTAATGTCCGTTGATCATGGAAGGATAAGCAAATTTCTCAAGAAGAGAAAGGTGATCACTAAAATGTATTTAATGGCAGTAAAAGTGCGTCTATTTATGTAAATGTAAGTAAGCTAATTGTAAAAGTAAAAAAGTCATAAGAATCAATGATATTGAAGAATCAATGATATTCCTGAATTAATAAATATTCAATGATAATCGTCGATGATTTCATGTGGTCCAGCCGTGAATTGTCCAGAATCAAGTGCCCTCGAACGTTCTTACCTCCTCAACATCCCTCCTCCTTCTTGATGGAAAAGCAATTTTTCCACCGTCACCTTCATTTTTTTGATTTTCCCTACTACGATAATCATTATATCCATCTGATTCATAATCACTATCTCTTGTGCTTTCAATAGAATCATTTGTTCTAGCATTTCGATAATAGCCATCATAGTTCCCATAGTCACCAAAATTATCTTCATCATAATCATCTCTATAATAACCAGGATATCCATATCCATATGGCTTTTGTTGTTGTTGTTGTTGATGATGATAATAATGATGATGATCATGATAATTGTGTTGTGGTCGATAATTTGGATAATAATTTGGTGCATAATTATTGCCACCATGCAATAAATGCTTCTTTTGTGATAATAAATGAGTGAATTTGTTGACCAATCCATGATTAGGTGTCACATGAAGATTCACAAATGGCTTTATCACCTTCTCACCGTAGTCATCTTTTGTCACCTGAACAGATACCAATGGATTCACCGAAACCAGACCCAGATTGATGCCCTGACCTCCGCTACCATAGCCAGGATATGGATTTATCAATGGATTACCGCCATAGGAATTGATTGGATAACCTCCTCCAGATTGAGGTAGACCAAAGCTCACGCCCCAGGTTGGCATCAGATTCAATTTTGATGTGTCCAGTTTACCGCCTATTAAACGCTGTAAATAGAGCCAAAGAGAGCCACGTCGATACAGAGGTCCTAGGATTTTCAGAATGTTAGCGCACGTTGGTTAATTTCCTCACAATTCTCAACATGCTAGAAATCTAGTACACTCAACTAAACCGACAACTAACAATCAGTGGCTAGATATAACTAGGTTGTCTAGAAAATAGTCAACCAGCTCATCCAGCAACTTAATGATAGTCCACTAAATGGAATGATTCCTGAAAACTAATACGATGAAATTCTAACTTCTAATTCAGTCACTAAATGAGAGTCAAGTCGATAAACAATTTAAATATGATTCATTGTTAAATAGTCACAGTCAGAGTATCAGTTACATTCAATGTGCTTCAGCAATAATGAATTATGCAATTAATTGTTATTAATTAGGTTAGTAAATTGATGATTATGGATATTAATAATCAAATGAATTCGAGACATTCAAAATCATAAAAATAAAGTAACTTACACTTTGGGCTTCAGATTTCTTGTCACTAATAGCGTCGATTTGCTTTGTATCCCTCTTGGTCCTTTCCTTATTTTCCTCTTCTTCTTTCAATGTTTTTGTCTCTTTAGCTTCTTCAGTTGTATTAACTCCTTTCGCAACTCGAATAACGCTGGTACTGTTTGCATCAACATCAATAAATGTCTCAGCTTCAATATTTTTTCCAAGACTACGAGGATCAATCGCAAGATAAAGATCATCCTTTCGTCCAGCCTGATTAAGAGTCGAGCACTGATCAAATGGAACGCACACGCAATTGTCATAATTATTCGATCCAAATCCACCATCAAAACCTGTTTCAAAATTGTTCGAACCAAATCCGTTTGCTCCTAGTCCATTCGATCCAAATCCGTTGGCTCCTAATCCATTAGCTCCTAACCCATTTGATCCAAATCCGTTTGCTCCTAATCCATTAGCACCTAACCCATTTGATCCAAATCCGTTTGCTCCTAATCCGTTTGATCCAAATCCGTTTGCTCCTAATCCATTAGCTCCTAATCCGTTTGATCCTAAACCGTTCGGTCCAAAGGAATTGGCTCCAAAGTTGTTATTATTATTATTATTATTGACAAAGCCGCTGTTTGATGAAAATCCCGAGTTGAGTACCTTTCCAGATTCAAAATTCTTTTGACCATTTTGCAATGAATTAGGTTTTGGCCTCTCATAAACTGGATATCTATCGGCATAATTATTTGAAGCAGCGCCCAAAAGATTGTTTCCAGTTGATGGTCCCTTGGTGTTAAATGTTTTCTTGAAGTCCTCGAAATTATTTCCATAAGTGCCACCATTTCCGTAGCCATAACCATTTCCTGAAGTGACACCAGCTGTTCCACCAAGGATAATTGGCCCCTTATCGACTACACCATCACCATGAACATAATGATGATGTACGTGCTGTTGAACTCCAGTACCCTGATTTACGAGCACCTGTTTCTTTTCAATGAACTTGTCCTCATAGTCAATATCACTCTCGATACCAGCTTCATAAACTGGTTTTGATCCAGCAATGAAACCAGGCTTTTTATAAGATGGATATGGACCAACAAATGGAGGTGGCCGTGCTCCGGCAAATCCTGGTTTTGAATAAATTGGTCCTGTGCCAAAACCTGGTGGATATGGTCCTGGTTTTGGTGGTCCATAAATTGGGGGTCTTTTCACTGGAATTGCAGGAAGTGGTTGACCAACTGGTTTTATTGTTACTGGCTGTGCGTAAATTACTTCTTGCGGATGAATATCACGATGGGGTGAATAAAAAGGTCGTCTACCTTCTACATCGTCACACTGTAATAAAAAAATTAGGGAAAATTAGTTTTGTGGAAAAAAAAATTTATTTTTACAAAAAAAATTGTTGACTTACTCTCATGAGGCCAAGGGAGCAGAGTTTATCACGAATATAAGATCGGGCAATTGAATCGTTTCCCTGTTGAAGAGCATTTTTCACATTTGGATCTGAATAGACCTCATCGTAACCATCAAGATTTCTTCCTTGACGATTTGAAGTTAAAATATCTTCGACTACTGTTTCCACGTGTTGTGTGGAAAGATCCGAAGGATCATTAGAATTATTGGAGCCAATTTCGTATACTTGATGTTGCTCTTGTTCGACTTGAAATGATGGAACTGCATCAGCGGCAGAGAAACTGACAGGATGAAAAGATTCTTCTTGATTTGAAGGAGCGGCTGCTTGATCCTCTTGCCAGGACCATTGTTGTTCATTGGATGAAGCGGATGATGAATGTCCCGAAGATAATGTTTGATAATTTACTTGTGTTGCTAGACCTTGACCAATAAGGCCCACCAAAAAGATGAACCACATTTCCATTCTGAAAAAATTAAAATTAAAATGTAAAGTATTTTTAATTTTTATTTATTTTTGAATAAATTGTTTTTAAAAAAAAACATTTTACAAAAATTATCGTTAAATTAAATTTATTTTCAGACATTACGAAATGAAAGGCTTTCCGTCTTGGCACTTTCTTTTTGTATTTTGATGTCTTTCAATATCGTGTAGTACATGATCAGTGCGTGGAGTTTTCACTTTAAAAGGATGAGAAATCAGACACGTTGAAAAAGTAAATTAGTTAATTTGTTTTTAAAATTTACTTTTTAAAAAAATAATTCAAATATATTAAAAAGTTATTTTAAATTTTGTTTTGATTTATATTATATAAAATATTTGAATAAGAAATTTATTCTTTCTAAATTTATTGAGAAATATTATAATTTTTGATCCACTATTTAAAATTTTAATTCGGTTATACGTAATTTAAGATTATTGATTGATTTGAAGATTGATGATTAGCATAAGTTGTATATACGTGCCTTTTATAGCATTCAACGAAAGTGAGAACAAGTTCAGGTGAAAGTCGTTTGACGCGTTTCTTTATATTATAGCATTTGCTATATTTTAGTAAAAGTAAACACTTATTTTTGAAGATGCTCCAAAAGATAAAATTATTTGATATAAATAAATTATTAGATAATAATTTGACAAATTATTAAATTTTTTTTTTTTTTTAAATAAAAGTTGGATTAAAAATAAATTCAAACTTTTATAATTAAATTATTTAATTTCACTATATAATTATTTACTTTTTCTGTATTAATAATAATTGAAATTTATTTTTTATAATTAAATAAAATAATAATGGTGTCATAGTAATTATTGTAGCTCATCTTCAATTATCTTATTCAACTGGAAATTTAAATTTCTGGAAAATCCATTTCATTTAAAATGACAATGAGAGGCAGTTCTGATTACATAAGATTCTGATGATATGAATGTCAGTTTAAATATCTTCACTCATCCATAATTAATTAGTGCACCCGAATGCGAATTAATTACAATAGAATTTAATAATGAATGGAATATATATTTTGTTCTTCAATCCTTTTATGATTCATAATTTTTATTTCAATAAATTTTATTTGCGAAGTTTTAAATTCTACTTGGATAATTGAGTGACATGTTTCATTATAGTAGCAAATTCGATATTAACATACAATAAGGTCTTCAATTGAAGTAGAGAAAGTCAGTCACGCCATTGAACTGTGTGAATACAACGTTTTGCGAATAATACTTTTCTGTTTTTTCATATTACAATCAAAATTCGAAAAAGGAAAATGACTTTCTATAAAAATTTTTAATTTTTTTTTTTTAAATAAAAATTAAAATCAATTTTTAAGAACTATGATTTTTGAGTTTTAAATTAACTCTATTTTCAAAAACACGATAAAATGAACTGACACTTTTGCACTAGATCCATATTTTTTTTTTTTTTATTGAAGATGAAGAAGATAATTGAAGATTCGATTGTTGTTGTTTTTTTTTCGCGATATAAACCTACCTGTTTATTGATCACACTCTCACGACACTAAGTTTCTTAAACACGGTTTGTATGTCTTATATAGCCTCTTTCTCTCTCCTCCTCAAAACACTTTCTCCATGCTCAGTATACAACGTCTTATGAGCTTTACGCACTTATATACTTACTCTTAAATACTCACCTTTGGGGATGCTGTGCCTCCAATGGTGGGGTGAATTGTGACTCACTCCTGTATAAGTTACCGGATCTTTCGGTCTCTGAACTCCCGTGTTATGTATATTATATAAATTCCACTATAAATTATTTCACATTGATCTTTCTTCAATTTTTATCACTCACTGTTCCTTAATCATCACTCACAAATTGAAAATTTTTTATATTACAAGAAAATTAACAAATGAAGCGAAAACTGAAATTAAATTTGCAAAATCCAAAAAAAAATTATTTCATTCAATCGGTTGACCATTATCAAATAAATATTTTCTTAAACCAAATAATTTTTATTTGAGTCAATTAAATTTTAACAGTTTCAAATTCAGAAATTATTGATTTGATTTAAATAAAAATTATTTAAATAAATTTAAATTTAAAAAATAAATATTTTTTTGAAAATAACCGATTATTTGAATGAAATAAATTTTTTTTCACTGTAGTTATTCTAGTAAATAGTTGTTTTGGGTAAATTTTTTTTTTATCAATCAAAAAAAAAGAAATTTTTGCCTTCCTTTCGTAAAAAGAATGTGATTTCAAGGTAAATAAACTTTAATACAGAGAAAATGAATAATAATTTTAAAAATTAATAAAATAATTAACTATATATTGCAAACGGACATTAACTCTTTTATAAATGCAACAACTTCAGCGGGAAAAACCCACTTTCACACAGAGAAACAATTCCTTCTGACTTTCAATTCCTTATTCTTCAACCCTATATAACCACAATTATTTAAAGTAGTTTTTTTTTTTTTTTGAACTATGAAATTATTTTCGCATTAAATTTCGATAAAAAACGATTGTCATTATAATTTATTTTAAACTAAAATAAAGAATTAAAAATGTTATAAATTAGTTTCAAGGCGTCCCTCTACTATAGAATTCAACGAAAAGAGATTTCAAAATCTTTTGAAAGAATCTAAAAATTTGTCAAAAATATATTTTATATCCAATTCTTAAAAAATCATAATATTACATTTATGAAATGAAAGTTTATCCTGGAAATTACGCATTTAATGTTTTTGAAGATTCGAAATTTACGTAATAAAAAATATGTATATACATCTCATAAGGTAATGACACAGTTTTTCATGATTGTAAAGACGTATGTATAATCATTGAATGAACGCGAGCAGGTTATTTAATTCTTTCAGTTTTGTCAATGAAATTACATAATTTGTTCTAGAATTTGTATCCTGGTATTATACATAGTTATAGACAACAATTTCACCAAATTTTACTATCTAATGCATAATATAAAAAAGAAATTTAAAAAAATAAATGTTGTCTAACAAAAGCATTTATTTTATTGTATTATTAATTAAAGCATTCCTGTATAAAAATTCAAAAAAAGAATATCGATTACGTCTCTTAAATAAAATATACTGAAAAAAAATTTATTTTTATTAAAAATAACTTATTATCAAATAAGTATTTATTTCCATAAAATAATAATTATTTTTTCTAATTAAATGATATATTTGTTTCAAATAAAAATTATTGGATTTAAATAAATATTTATTATAATAATAATAATAATAATAATAATAATAATAATAATAATAATAATAATAATAATAATTCGTACTAAATAAATTTTTTTTTTAGTATTATTTAAAAGAAGAAATCTATTCTATTTATTTTTAATATGCTTTAAAAAATAAATACTTGTTAACTACAGATAGATAAGTATTAGTGCTCTTGATGTTCTTTTCCTTGTAAATTATTACAAAACAAATGCGATCATTTATTGGCAAAAAAGAAGAAGAAAAATTTATAGTTTCTTGGATAGGCATGATCATCATCATCATCGCCGGACATCCGTTCAAATGAGAGTTCAGCAACCTTGACCTAAACATTACGAAACAACTCTCTCAAAATGAGAATGAAATAAGAAGAAAAAAAAGTGTTCAGGAAAGAAAAAAAATGAAATGTGATCTTCATTTTTTTTTTAATTCAATTTTTTCTTGGAAAAATTTTTAAGATTGGATTCTATTTATATACACTGGAAAAATATTTATTTGATTCAAATAATCAGTTACTTGACTATTATCAAATAAATATTTTTGAATAATTAAGTCAAATAATATTTATTTCAAATAAATTTGGTTCAAATACAATTTATTAAATTCAAATAAATTTTTATTTGAATTATTTATTTCAAAATAGTGAACCGTTTATTTGAATCAAATAAATTTTTTTCTAATAAAATAATTTGCATATTTTATGCATTTTTCTCTAATCATTTTTAGGATTTTATAATAATATAACAATTATTATAAAAAAAAATAAATGTAAATTGAAAATCTCGTGAAAAGTAAATAATTCACTCTCATTTTTGCGTGTTAAAAATAATTCAGGTCAAATGCTATGCCTTATAATCAACCGAAAATACTGATCTTGATGAAGAAGCTATAGAACAAAGAAATGGTCGGCGGGTGGAAACAAGGTTTTTGTATTTAAAAAAAAATACCGGTTAGTGTATTCTTCACATCCGGAGGAAATGGGATTCGTATGTTTGCGATTTACTTTCTCTGTATATGGAAACATTAAATGAGATAACTTTCTTCCTTCGCGAGACAACTGACACCATATGCGCGTTCAAGTCACTGAATCACCAAATTAATATCACACAGTCTTAATTACGTTTATCATAATAACAAATCTAAAGAAAGTAAAATTATGTGATTTTTTTTAGAGGTCAAGGCTAAGAAATGACATACACTTGTTTTTATTTTTCAACAATTGCAAATTATATGTCAATAGTGGAATTTAAATCGTAATTTTAATTATTATTTATTATGAATAAATAATCTCGCATATATAAAAAAGAAAGAGTTGAATAAATATTGTGAAATTTCATTTAAAATTATATACCTATATATAATATAATTGTTTTTTATTATCATTGTTTTGTTGGGTGTTTGTTAAGATTTGGAGCTCTGAATTATTCGCTCTGTGGTTTTGGGGTTCCGGGAGAAAGTTTTTCGTGGATCTTCGTCCACTCGGGCGTAATAATTTTTTTTTCATAAAAAAAGGAAGGATAATTATCAAGTGCATTATTTTATTTATACACCTGTTTGAGAATTCAATATCAAATATTTGAAATTAAAAAAATTTTTAATGTAATAATTCAATATTGTATGTATGAAAAGAATAAGAAAATGTCAGAAGGGAATTTTTTTTTCTCAAAAAAAAACATTTTTTGAGTATAAAACATTAGGTTCAAAATTTTTTGATTTTCCAAAAATAAAAAAAGTTATGAAATAATGGATCAAATTTTGAATCGATTATAAATCGTCAAAGCGATTTTGTGTAAGTATTACGACTTCGAAGTTGTTACATAAGGGGGATTTCCTCGGCCACTTATATTCTGGGAATTCTGTGTTCAGTATAGATATATCCTGCTAAAAGTGACAGGATTATCTTGACCTAATTTTGCAAAATACGAAGAATTTGTGCGTATTTATAATAGATTATAAAATTTAATAATAAATTATATATTATTTCCTAATTCTATATAATTTATTTCTTATACTTCTTTTCAAATAAATTTTTTGTATTTTCTTAAAAAATATTTAATTAATAACTGTAAATTATTTTATTTTTAATGGTTATTGTATTTACACAGCCATTGTAAGAAAAATTTGTTATTTTTTTTTTTTGAACAAATATTAATTAAGTGAATGAAAAATAGTTTTTGAGTGTAATTTTTTTTCGTTCGTAATGTTGAAGTTTATATTTAAAAAAAAAAATATATATATATACATATAGTAGTCATGTACAATAGTATTTTTTTATAGTCGAATTACATAAGTATGACGTTATCTACGTGATAAAAATCCTAACGCGTCTCGAGAAAGTCTTCACACATGATTCCACTTTCCCTCTCGGTATGATTTGTATAGTTCACAAGTCATTTTAAAAAAAGTCTTATTTTTTTCAATATGATAGGTTTTACATCAAAAGCGTAAGATAATTTATGTTTTACAAAAATTTTGTACAGGAAAATTGAAAGTGAATAAAAAATTCCATTTTAAAACAAAACTTTTGTAATTTGCAAATGAACTATAAATTGAATATCACTTTTCTTTTCTAGAAAAAAAAAAAAAAAAAAAAAACTATATCTAGATATTTTCACTTTTCAGGTAAAATTTCTTCATCAAAATAAAGGACGCAATACGAGAGTTTCATAAGCCATTAAATATTTAGCTATACGCCTACGAAAAGAATCAAAAAGGCAAGACTAGTAATATGGTAAAAGATATTGTGAATAGTAAACTAAAAAACAGCTTCAAGATTCGCGAGAACAAAATGAAATGTAAGATTTCTTTATAGTCTGTTTCTCTATTTTTATCATATAAACTGATATGTGCATAATAAATATTAAAAGTGACTCAAAAATGCTTTCACTATTTATTATTTTAAATATATTTTATGTGAATGTAAATTATTTAAAGTTGTCATTGTAAAGACAATGTACTATTTGCAAATTGAAAATTAGGATATAATGTTGTAATAAATTTGTCAATTATTTAAATTTAAATTAATTAAATTTAAATAAATAATATTTAATTATAAAACATTTAAATAATAAATGTATAAAAATGACAAAAAAGTCAATTCAATTAATAACAAAAGTTATTTAAAAAAATAATTTATTAAAATAGAATAAAAACCTGCAAAAATACTTGATTAGTTTTAATTAAAAAAAAAATTTTCTCACCACGACGAATTTACTGAAACAAATAAGAACAAACACAATACATAGAAATAATAAATTTCTTTTACATTTTGCTTTGAAAAACTATTTCTATTCTACAATAAGACCGCGCGATGCAGAAAGTAACAATTTTTCCAAAATGTAAAAGAATTATTTTATAGAAAATAAAAAAACAACATAGTGACAAAAAGATATAAATTTTATGA